TATAAACTAATCCGTTAATAAAACTCAAAATGCATCTGAATACAACGTGCATCTACTCAAAAATATGTTATTGTAATTATTTATCTAAAACTAAAATTGCGAAATATCTAAGTAGTACATAATCATCTTGCATGATGGATCTATCGTAATGTTACGAAAATAAAACAAAATTTGCGAAGCTTTCAAAAGGCTATAATTATCATAAACCGTTTCATCATCATTCATGTATTTTCTATTTAGAAATAAATACATTGTATCCGTGATTTTTTTCTACCATAATTTAAAAACATAAATGATACTCGTTATAATTCTGCTTTGAACTCTAGGTCATTTTCATTTATTTTAATTAGATTTTATATTAATTAATTCGAAAATATCTGCTTTGCTTTGGAAGAAATCAAATTTTATCTATTTATTTATTTGATTGATGGTGAAATCCAATATTTTCTAGGAATATACAGCTTACTTTGAGAGCTTTATGAATTGCAAACAAGTATAAAGTGATACAAGTATTGTGTTTCTATCATGACTTTTCTAGTTTGGAAATTGATATCTTGTTCCTATTCCAGTGTAATTATGATCATATTTTATGTGTAACGGTAAGTTTACATTCATGAACAAATAAAACAAATATATCATATGTTCACTGTATAATTACTATACATAGCACATAAACAAGCGACTGCAGAATTTATCTCAATAACTGATATTTTGAACCAGTAACACGACATCAATATCATTTTGAAACAATGACAATTAGCTCATTGTCTTCCATTCTCTGCTGCTATTGTAGGCCTACAAACACAGCACTAAAATGCTATTCATGTTTTTGGGCTTCGATACAAAAGTTTGCTAGGGGAAAAGAGAAATTACATGATTGTTAGGAAACTCAATTGTCCTTGCATTATAACTTTACCATGTTTTAAGTCTACACATTAACCTTTATTTTAGTTAACCATATTTTTGTAATGGATTGATCCCCATATAAAGTTTAAGGGATTTGCAATGACATCGTTGACCATTTTTTGTCAGGGATAACGTAAAAACTCCTGTTTTTAAAACAAGCATAGAGACTTAGATTATGTATCGCTTACATTGATATATTTTCATATGTCAAAAAAATTATTTGGCAAAATTACTAGTAAATGATAAAATGACATTATCTATTTTGGGAAGTATTTTAAAAATGAATTGTCGGCAGACCATAACAATATCCCAACAGAATATTTTTAAAGATTATTTTGCTAATTTAAGAAATGACATATCAATTTATAGCAGTATTGAGGCTGAAAACCTTTGAGAAGATTATTGTTTTGATTAGATAAATACCGAGTATGAGGAGTTAACTAGATAAACCAATTACTTGAAGTAAAGTTCAAAATGCCGTAAAAATGTTAAAACGTGGAAAAACACTAGGTATCGATTGTCTCATGAATGAATGAATACTTTATAGAAAGCATTGATATGTTAGATGTCCATATATAAGACGTATTTAATGCTAAGTCTTCTTTTCTAGAACAATGGACACATGGAATTATTCGTAAGAAGGGGCGTACTTATGACGTCAATAAGTAAAGTTAGTTGTTTGTCAAAATATTTACCGCTTACTTGTTAGAATTGAATCCTTTTGTGAAAGAAACAATATCATATCAGATGTACAGTTTGGTTTTCGTAAAGAGCGTTCTACTATATATGCAATTTTTGTGCTTATGGCATTAATTTAGAAATTTGTTAATGAAAATAAACGTTTATATTTTGTTTTGTCGATATGATGAAATGTTTTGACAATATAAACAGAAATGCTTTATGGTTGAAAATGTATAAATTACGAATAAAATGTAAATAAGTTGCTGCGGATTATAAGAGCCATGTATCCAAAAAGTTAAAATCTTGTGTCAAATCTTGTTCAAAATTATTCTGATTATTTTTGTTATGCTATAGGATTGCGACAAGGAGATGTAATTTCGCCAATTTCTCTCTTTGTAGAAGATTTATTAGAGTTATATTTGCAAACCGGTCAAGAATCAGGACCGTCATTTGATGATATTATCTTGATTTTATTGTTTCTTTGCTGACGATATGGCCATCCTAGACAAATCAAAATTGAAACTTTTGTTTTGCTCGGATTGAAATTGACAAGTCAAGTATCTGCCGAATTACTTATTTTGATAAGGTCTTAGCTCGTGATTGCAGCAGCGGTTTTCTACGATAAGAAAGAGAGAATTGACATCAGCAAACAGTCTAATGATTGATTGTATGTCCAAGACAATGTCATTGATATAGACAATAAACAGAAGAGTTCCAATATTGAGCCTTGAGGAATACCAGCGTTGATTTTAAGTAAATCTGAAGTAGATCCAGAAAATACAACTCGTTGTTGTCGATTAGATAAATAGTCTTTGAACCATTCAAGAAGTTTACCTGTTATACTTGTCAAAGACAATTTATGTATTAGACCTTTGTGCAAGACCCGATCAAAAGCTTTTGAAATATCACAAAATACCGCTTTAACTTCTTTGCCTTCACCAAGAGCTTGGCAGAAAGTATAATAAATTGAAGTGAGTTGATTTACAGTAGAATCTTTGGCAGCAAATCCTTTTTTACACACAGCACATACATGGGCTAATTTCCACTGTGAAGGATTTTTACCAGACTGTAAAAAGAATGAATAAATAGGCAACAAAGTGGTTCAGCAAGTTCTTGTGAGAGTTATTTTAGGATTTTATTCTTTATGGGGTCTGGGCCTACCGCTTTTCCTACGCAAAGTGATTTCAGTATTGATGAGACTTCTATAGCTAGTAGTGTTATATTTATGTTTTTAAGTGATTATGAACAGCTTCCGTTATTTCTGGAAGTTGTTTGTTGTTATCAGCAAGTTTGTTTGTTGTTATCAGCAAGTTCAGTGATTGAAAAAAATATTAAAGGCATTGGCTTTGTCTATGCTTATTGTGTTTTGTTTTGTTTTGTCGTTGTCAGTGATAGTTGGTATGTTGCCACTTTGTGTATTTGGTTTCATAAATTGTTTCAATATTTTCCTATAATCTGATGATGTCAGATTGTTTGATTTTAACCTTTCAGCAAGTTTGCATGTGTGACTGGTGCGTGCATTTCTAATAAGTTTTGTTGTTTTGTTTCTTTACTGCTTAAACATAACCCAATGATATGTATTATTTGACTTTTAAGCCTTATCGTATGCTTTTCTGCGCTTTAATTCTGATGTATTTTCTTATTTCATTGTGCATCCAGAAAGGATGTGTTTGTCTGATTGTTACTGTTTTGTTAGAATTTTTTCTTGATTAAGTTTTTGTAGTTTGGATGTAATATTAATTAAGTGCATATTGATTGATATAGTTATGTTTAAAAGTGTTCTAATCGGAGGTTAATATTTTTTATCAAAGATAATTATAATTACCCTTATCGGATTGCCATAATTATTATCCTTTTAAAAGTATTAAACTTATTTTAAGTAAACTTAAAGCAACAGAAAATAGGACAGTGGTATCGTAACTCCACAAAAACAGATTCAGGGGAGGAAAGGAGACCTAGATCTAGAATAGAACTTGATGATTATGTAAAATGTGTTGGTTCAGTTATCAGCTGAGAAAGGCCGTTCTCCATGCAAATGTTAGCAATCTTCTGTTTAGATGAGAGTTTCTGTGTATCAAGCTTAAAGTCACCTGTAACAATAATATCTATATTAGTATCTTTAGCCAATCCAATTGAGTTTTCTATATTTGTGACAATATTTAGAGAGGAGTTCGGTGGACGATAAAATGTACCAAGGAGAATATTTTTGTGCTTAAGTTTATTTCAATCCAAAAACATTCTGTGTCCCAAGAAGGACCAAAGAGCTCTGCTATATGACCCTCGTGAGACCTCTGGTGGAATACTCCTAGAGCTATCATCTGGGACCCATTCACTGAGGCAAATATCTGGAAACTGGAAATGGTGCAGCGCCGAGCGACAAGAATGATCTTCTCAGACTACAGAAGAACCAGCTGTGTGACGCCAATGCTGCAACACTTACAGTACGTGGCCTACCGCCCATGCCAAGGTGACCATGATGAACCGCATAGTAAACGGCCTAGTTGAAGTCCCAACATCCAACCTCACCCCAATCAACTTTGCTCGAGGACATGGACTTCACTACCTGGTACCATTTGCAAGAACCCAGTGCTACCAGCGATCCTCCTTCCCAGACACCGTCCGCCTCTGGAACAGTCTTCCCCAGACAGTTCAATAGGGAAGTATTACCACTCATTCTCCGATAGCCTGTCAAGTGTTTTTACCTTTTTACCAGCACTATACATAGAACCTTTTAAATCACTTTTGTACATACATAGACACTTCTCACATCGCGCTGCGCTAGGCCGAGTATATGCCGGAAGGTGTCTGTACCATATCGGAAGAAGAAGATTCTGTCTGTCTTTTTTGTGTGGTGATGAATAGTTTTCGAAATGTATATAGTTGAGGTTTTTAATCATGTTTCAGTAAACGGTAAAATGTCAATATTAGAGGATGTCTTTTTTGCTAAGAAAACTCTGGACATTGTAATCAGTGGTAAATAACAAATTTTGTTAAATTAATTATTAGCAATTTTAAGCGTCATGAAAATTTTATGAGTTTGTAATTATGGTAGATATCACCAGAAATTTGTAACTTAAGGAAAATTAAGTGTAAAAATTAACTGTCTCCCACTGTAACCTTGTATCCCTTGTCATGAGGGAGTGAAAAATAATTGTGGTTTTGTGTCATATATGAATTATGGTCGCAGACGCGGATGTTGTTGATTTAGGCCCTGGTTGGGATGAACATCACCACATAAGAAATTAAAGTAGTCGGAATGATCGGAAATAACGTTTCAAAATCTTTGTTGGTTTTATCACGACTGAATATTTACATTGCATAAACAAACAATTAAATCAAAATCGAACTGGACATTTTGAAAAGTAGACGACATGGATCTATGCAGACAGTCGTAGAAATATTATCCAAATCCAAAATTTCCAATTTTTCTATTTTTAGAAACAAACATTACAACTTCCGGAACACGTCAATCGCGTTTTGTCACAACTTGTACATGAAATAATGTTTAATTATAGAAATATTTAACTTCTGATAAAATATTTGTTTGTGCTTGAAGGTAAAAATCTTTATTTCTATTAGATTTGACTGAAACAATTTATAAATTAACGACAAATTACCGAAATTAATTATTTTTTTGTTACAGCGTGAACTTCCTGTTTTCGTTTTGTTTATAATGAGTCACATGACTACATTGAGAAATAATTCGTTTCATATTTATATATGATAAGTTACACTCTGTTTTCAGTGACGTGGATACTTCTATGTCAGCATTGCCATATCAGCTTTGTTCAAAGACCTTGACATAGATTTACAGTAATAGAAAATGGCAGGTCAATCAGCAATCTTGGATATGCTTTTTGACAAGTCTGAAGGAATATTGAAGGAGGAGGTACCTGAGATACAGACATTAGACTTTGTAAGTTTGTCTGGAATTGTCGTACATTTGCCAGGAAGTAGGACAGGATATAGATGTTTACATTTTGTGTCATGATTCATGTATATCACTATATGTCTCACATCTGTTGCATCATATGATCATTTGAAAATTAAGGACCAGCTGGCTCATTATGATTGGTTGTTATATTTACATATTATTGACCATTCTGAAACTAGGACTTGTATTTTAGCTAGGAACTTCCTACATGGAGGCATAAATAATCTAGATTTAGAAATTGTGTTTAATAAAATCAGTTGAAAAGAGTCATCATGGACTCGCTTAACATAATTACCTGGTTGAATGATAGTAACTATTCTGTACAGGATATAGATGAAGACTGGGATTTAACAGTAATTGATTTATGTAGTTACTCTTAAGATTTCATGCTTTGCATAATTGAAATAATATGTAAAAAATAACATTTCAAGATTGTTCTTATTAGCTTGTTTCAGGCTTCCTTTTAATTAGTTCACAAACTTAGTTATAAATACGAAATATAACTTTATATGAAATATAACAAGAATGTAAGAGATTCATGCAACATTTCACAGAACACTTTATGATATTAATTTTTTTATGAAGATTTATTGGTATTGAACTTTTTAATGTTTTACAGTCTAACCTTGGCTTGATGTCAGAAGACTTTGGCACTTTGTTTGGTGATTGCCTCCTCGCAGATATAGAAAAATCAACAGCCCCACAGACCCCATCAGCATTCACAGATCATGACTATGTCATGCAGCCAGCAAAGTCACCTGCAGGAAGTGACAGTGGAGTTTCAGTAGACTCGGGAGGAAATTCTCCTCGTAATTCAGAAAATGATATGTCTCAGTTTAGTAATGATGTAACAAGCATGTCGGGTTCACCCCATAGTGACTTTCAGTACAGTCCTCATCAAATGGTACCAAATGATGAACTAAGCCCAGTGTCAGTTGCAGATCAGTTGTCCTGTAGTCCAGGGCAAACAGAAATCGATAATATGGACCTTGAACATTTTGACTTTTCTGAATTGGACACTATTGATACTAGTGCATTGATCTCAGATAAATATGGAGGTGGCATCATGGATGAGGATGTTTCAATAGACTTAGGTATATTCAATTGTTTAACTGATTATTTGATTATTTCTAGTACAGCTGCAGAAAAACTTGTTTAAAAGACATCAAAAGATGAAAGTTATAATTTAAAAGTTGAAAATTTATATGAAGCTTTTTCTCGATACATTTTACAGATGAGGGAATTTTACGAAATTGGCTGTTGTTACAAACACCATGTCACTGCATATACATGTAATAGTGTATAGAAAAATTAAGTTTGTGAGGACTGGTGTAAAGAGAATGAAATTACACTTTGACTTGTACATGTATGTGTAAAAAGAGGCATTAAACAAGCTATCATTTGCTGTGCTTGGGGGTAGTAATGTAGCCAAAATATCAAAAAGCATTATACCAGCATTTAAGATATAGTTTCCATAACAAGTGTTGAACATTATTGGACAAATAGATATGAATTGTTCAAGCATCGAAATCATGTTTTCAATGTCACTCCTATGCTAGCTTGCTTTGCAATTATAAATAATTGGTAAAAAATTGTATTTTATTTATTAATATTTTCAAATATCTTTTACATACATGTAATCATTACATAAATTGATAATGTCATTAAACCCAGTTTACCTGGAGAATTGTATAGAAACTTTCTATAGAGAAAGTGCACTTTACTGTCTTTTGGATGAAATTGTTGGAATTTTTCTTATTCACCATGAACAGGAAGTTTTGACAAGTTTTATTTTACCACATGGTTTGGTAATATCTAGTTTTCCATTATCATTAATGGCTTATGTGTTGATAATTTTAATTATTTCTTTTGTTCATCTCATTTTAGGCTCTCACACTGATCTTATGACCTTTGACACCACCACAAACACTGCAGTTAATTATGATGGAAGTGAAACAAAGACAATCAAAATCATTAAAGTGTCAGCAACCACAGAGTCATTACCTTTTACAATGAAGGATGTATCTACAGGGACAAAACTTGGAAACTTTCCAGAGCTCAGACTTACAGAGGAGGAGAAAGACCTTCTGTCAAAAGAGGGTGTAAATATACCCACAGATATGCCACTTACCAAAGAGGAAGAAAGAGCTCTTAAAGCAGTTAGAAGGAAGATTAGAAATAAGGTAAATTAAGTGACTGTGATGCATGGTGATATAGTGTAAGGTGGTTTAATTGATAAAATGGAACTGTATTTTACAAGGTCTGACCTTTTCTGTGAAATAGTTGGCATTTGTTTGATTGAAATATTGTCAAAACTAGCACTTAGCCCAGCAAAAACAGTTCATTAATCTTGAAAGTAACAACCTATTGGATTGGAATTTTATTTGAAATTAAGATAATATTCTGTAAATCTATTTATTAATAATTATTATCCATGAAAAACTTTTTTAACGGAAAAAGTCATAAATGCCATATTTCACTAAAACTGGATTATTTACATGTTAAGTGATAGTCTATTGAATCTCTTTAAACATTAAGCTGTTAGAAAATATGAAAATATTACAATCTTGTATCTACTTAAATTGTGATTATTTTGATGTATTTAAAAAAAAAAAGATGCACAGGTTGCTGTAAAGTATATTTAAGTATTGAAAATGTGTTTTTTATGAAATTTCGTTTTTATCTTAATAATTCTTTCCATTTCGACATATTATTGTATTAAGTAATATGAGTGACCCTTTATAACTTTGAACAGTTTAAAAAATGGAGAATTAATTTACTATTTAACAGGTATCAGCGAAGGAAAGTCGAAAACGTAAGATGGACTATGTTGATGGATTAGAGAAAAGAGTGAAGAAATGTACTCAGGAAAATCACACATTACATAAGAAAGTTGATCAACTTGAAAAACAAAATGTGTAAGTTAAATGTTGATATTGCTATATACTATAAAAGTGAGATTAAAAAATTTTTTATAGATAGGATTGCTGTTTTAAATAAGTATGAAAGAAATTTGGACACAATGTAAAATACGAAATATATTTTCAATTAAATGCAGGAAATTACAATGTACACAGTCAGTCATTAAGTGAATCTTACTTGTGTTACATATAAAAATTTTTAAAAATGTCCTTTATTATTCGTAGTCCTTGACTTTAATTTTTGTTTTTAATTGTGTTCTACATACATGTACATGTATAACTTTGTTAGTCCCCTACCGGTTTACCGGAGGGGACTTTAGGTTTACCCTCCGTCCGTCTGTCCGTCCGTCTGTCTGTCAGTCCGTCCGTCCACAAAACTGGATCCCGCGATAACTTGAAAAGTACTGAAAATATTTTTATGAAACTTGGTATATGGATAGATGGCAGTATGGAGATTATGCACGTCTTTTTCTTTTCTTCCTATGTTGAAAATTCTGGTTGCTATGGCAACAAATAGGCTGAAAATATGGCAAATTTTACACATAAACTGGATCCAGTGATAACGCAAAAAGTACTGGAAATATTTTTATGAAACTTGACATATGGGTAGATGGCAGTCTTGGGATTATGCACGTCTTTTTCTTTTCTTCCTATGTTGAAAATTCTGGTTGCTATGGCAACAAATAGGCTGAAAATATGGCAAATTTTACACATAAACTGGATCCAGTGATAACGCAAAAAGTACTGGAAATATTTTTATGAAACTTGACATATGGGTAGATGGCAGTCTTGGGATTATGCACGTCTTTTTCTTTTCTTCCTATGTTGAGAATTCTGGTTGCTATGGCAACACATAGACTGAAAATATGGCAAATTTTACACATAAACTGAATCCAGTGATAACTCAAAAAGTACTGGAAATATTTTTATGAAACTTGACATATGGGTAGATAGCAGTCTTGAGATTATGCATGTCTTATCTGTTCTTCCTATTTTGAAAAATATCAGTTGCCTTGGCAACAAATAGGCTTAAAACATGGCAAATATAACAATATTTGTGATTAGTCAAAAAGAGCTGAAATTTTTTATGAAATTGCATCTTTAATTCAAGATATATCTCCTCTTTAAGAATTTTGCTTTTAAAATGTTATATTTTGGTAACAGGGATGTTTCAAATATTATCTTTAGAGTGTCCTTCAGTCCGTCTGTCTGTCTGTTCATAAAAACTGTTTCCTGTGATCACTTTTAAAGAACTTTTCCAACAAGTTAACTTAAAATAGAGAAAAATTGAAACATTAGTGAATGGCCAATGGCCCTTCAGAGTGTTGATGGGGTTCTAACCGGTAGGGGACTTATGGATTGCTTGCAATACTATGATAATTGCTTGTTAGTAAAGGTATTCTGTCCATGTACAGCATTGTATATGTAATAAAATTCTGTCAACTATAGTATTAAGGTTAACCTTAATATCATCCTAAAAAAAATTAAGATCATCTTTTAAAAAAAAAAAATTAGTTTGCCACATCCTTCTGCTACCTCTTGCTTGATTGGTTGGATTTTAGGTTCTTAAATTCATTTATTTTTCAAGACATAAATTGTACTGAACTTAGCTTTGAAACATATTATTAATATTTGATTTATCATTGAAAAATCAAGAGCAACACATGTATATAATACTGTAACTTATTTTTAATTATCTACATATTAAATATGTAGAAAAGTGACTCTTTTTTTAAATATCTATTTTAAGCATAATATTTATTTGTAAAGCTGCAAGTTTTAAACATGTCCGGTCCGTATTTGTTGTTTATATAACAAGATATGTGAGAAAATCTGCTGGATTTCCAAAACATATGATGACAATATGTAAATAAAGTATAACTATAAGAGAAGTTATAGATATCAGAATCATTTGTTTTGTATGATTATTTCAGAACATTGTTAAACCAGTTAAAGAAACTACAGACAATATTGAGTCTGAAATCAACAAGAACAGCCCAGGCATCTACATGTGTTATGGTACGATTTTATTGTTACTATGTAACCTGTGATATCACTGCTGTATTTAAAATGATACAGAAACAAAAACTGTGGCATATAGTACACTACATTGCCCATTGTGAATTAACTGTGAATTTTTGCTATTAAATGATTTTGTGATTTATACCACTCTATTATCAGTCAGTATAAGTAAATTTTCATAAATATGCATTAAATTAAAAAGAAAAGAAGAAATTTTCTCGATTTCCTAAAGTCTTGAATACATCTTTTTAAAGATCAAATATAGATATACATGTAATGTAAATCGTATGATTGGTAAAACTTTATGGGCGACATGTGTTGTAAGTCTCGATCAATAATGGTTTACGTTAATATGTCCATTAGCAAAATATGTTGCATTTAATGACGTAGAATCTTTTGGAAATGGTGTATTGATTGAAATGAAACTAAACAAAAGCTTTTATTTCTTATTAGATCATTTAATTCATTCTATTTATGTTCTTGCATTGTACCATATGCAAAGTCTTTGTTATATTAATGTATGTTATTTTTGATGAAATATTATGATTTTCAAACCTCTGACATTCTGTTTTCTTCTTATTTCCAGGTTCTTCTTTTATCATTCGCATTTTTGATAGTTCCAAACTTTAACCCATTCCGAGACAGTGACTCAATGGAGGACCTTAAGGCTGTAAAGATGCCTGGAAACTCCAGGAATCTGCTTCACAAATCAGGGGATGACCTCCTACCTGGAGATGATAACCCATATGGTATCACTGTAAAACCAGCTGAATTCTGGGAACAACCACCAAAAACCCCTGTCCTGCCAGAATTTGGTAAAGCTGTTATTCAGGATTTAGAAATTGATGGAGACGATGAGATAGAAAAAGAGACATTAAATACTAACAATCAAGAGAATGTTGTATATGTGCAAATAGAGAAATCTGTTGGTGGGGTAGATATGGAATCAAATGTTACATATGTTTCAAGTGAGGCAGAATATAACAAAGATACAATGTCGGAATCAAATGAAAGTCCAGTGGAAGCAAACACAAATAAAGGAACAAAACGGAAGCATGACCTTTAGCCAGGGTTTTAATTGTTGTTAAAAGACACAAATGTTTTTGAGATTTTTGTATTTGTTATGATATTTGTACAAATGTGATATTGTCTAGTGTTTGTGTTGATTGAAATGATGACATTTCTAACAAGTTACAAACTCTGGTTAACACATAAGCAGCAAATAAGGAAGTGATAGGCACTGTGGCTAGCAAGTCAGACCTTTACCATAGCACATAAATTATCAAATTAGCCTCACAACCTGCAGCGACCAATATGTTATCAACAAGTTGTATACTTAAATACTGTACTGTGTCAATCAAACTGGCCTCATCTAAATGCATGCAATGTAGATGTGTGCAAGGTTTCTATCTTTTCCAGGTATGTTGGTACAAAATATCAGAAACTTAATTTAAAGAATGCATAATATAAAGTTACATACTTAACATTTTCGTTTGTAACATGTGTGGCAAAAATTCATTCAATGTATACATGATATGCTTTATTTCATGTTAAGTTTAACAGTTGAAGGAATTTCTGTGCAAGATAAATAGTGTAATTCTAGATAGTGATAGTGAAAAGTGTGATATAACCAGTAATGAATGGGAGCGTGTTACTTTGATGACATAAATGCATCACATGTACTTGATGCTTGTTTAATTTCTATTGTATAATTAATGAATCTTTTAGCATGAAATAAAAGCAAACTACAGATCTTCTTGTACATGTAAAGGGCATGAAAGAATTGTTAAAAAGCTTGAATGTATCGAGTAATTGGTCCCTTACATTCAACTCCAGTTATTGATCTTATAAAAAAATACGAGAGTCTAGCAACATATCATGTTTCATCTTATTTTACTTACTAAATGAGATCAGTAATACAAAGTTAGAAGGACTATCATCGTTAAACTTAGTGTATGAGAACTAACCTGTATATTAATTATATGAAGTGAGAAATGAAAGATTTCAAATCTTAAAATTTAGACAAAATCATGAACAAATTATGATTGCCAAACTAGTCTTAAATTTTATATCATATTTCTTATTGTAGGAGTATGTATATCAGTTAATGGCATGCATCAGTGTTACATTAATAAATACTTGTATATATATCATTTCATCAAACAGAAAATCATTATTATTTGTCTGCTGACAATTTTTCTAATTCATATCATAAGGTTTTCATTCATCTCTCCTGACTAACAAGACTTTCATTTATTATGTGCTAAACATTTTTAAAATTGTTATATTTGATGTAATTATATTGATACAGTATCTGTAATTAAAACACTTTTTGAATTATTTTGGTAGAAATTGCACATTGTAACACTCGATGTTTTACAGCATTGTGTAGCAGTTTTAACCTCACAATTGTTATTGTTGTTTACTTACTTATCTTCATTTAAGAAGAATAAATTTTGTAAAGTAAAGAAAAATTGCTTTCTTTTTTTCTTCTTCAATAAACCCAGAGAGTTGTGATAGACCAGTCATCTACATATTCACATAAACATCATCAGGTTATGTAAGATGTCTTTTAGATTCAAGGATGCCAAATTCCTTTAAGAATAAAGCTGGAGATTTCTTATTACATTTACTTGAAGGATATTCACATGTTAGTGTATCTCCACATTTATTTTTATGAAAATATAGAAAATGTTGGGTTTTTTTTTTTTAATATAAAGAATGCTGTTAAGTGAACAAGTAAAGTGAGATACATGCAGTAAAAAGGCCTTAGCAATTCCAACATTTATCTTAAATCAGTCAGCATATTCTGACACAGCCATTACTATGTTACTAAGGTATAAATGTTGCAAGACCAAAATAATTATGTTGTAAATTCAGTCATTATTTGCAAAGAACACAAAACATTTTTTTTCTGAAGTTTGACCTTATAAACTTATGTGTTTGCATACAACTACAATAGAAGAAGCTGACCATAGAAGAACATCTTTGTAAAATTAATTTGAAATGATGCACAAACTTTTTCACCCAAGTCATACTGATAAAACAGACCTCATATTTAGTAGCAAATGAAATTATCATATCCAATGAATGAGCTTCATGGTCAGCCTGTTTGTTATAAAACTTTCTAAGCTTCATCTTCAAAACAATTCACCAGAATTAGATGACACATTTTGCCCATTATCATTAGCAAACAAAGCTGGTACAATTCAAATGCTGTGGCCCCTTTACTGTGATATCAATCAATTGGTATACATTTATTCCTGTCAGCGCTCAGTTACCATGGCTGCTTTTCAGAAATGGACGATAGTTCTAAAGATAAAATGTTTCAAAGCCAAGTTGTGCTATTAACTTTATGCAGATTTTTCTGGAATTACTTGAACCCAAGCTATGGCCCTTTGTAATGTTAAAGCATTACACATATACATGTACATAGTATATTTAATTAGGTCTACTTCTTTTTAAGAGTAGTTGATCTTTCATCATCATCACCATTATCATATCTCGCAATATTCAAAACTGGCTCATTTTATTTCAAAGAATTATCCACCTTCAAGCCATGAATTTAGGGTAAATATTGTTATTTCAAATTAAATGTCTTTCTTTATTTCTTAAGATAACAAGATATGTTTGTAAAACATGTATGCCCCCTATCAGCAGCCAATTAGTCATGTGATAAGGTTATTATGCATGACTTCTGACCCAGTGATCAAACAATTAATAAGGGTTATCAAGTATCTACTGGTCATGACCTTGACCTTTGACCCCTTGACCCAAAACTCAATAGGGGTCATCTGCTGGTCACGACCAATCATCATACAAAGTTTGAAGTTCCTAGGCCTAAGCGTTTTTAGTTAATTGACCGTTTTTACCTACAAGGTCAATGTTACCTTGACCTTTGACCCCTTGACCCCAAAATCAATAGGGGTCATCTACTGATCATGACCAATCACCATACCAAGTTTGAAGTTCCTAGGCCTTAAGGTTCTTTAGTTATTGATCGGAAACCGTTTTTGCTTACAAGGTCAATGTTACCTTGACCTTTGACCCCTTGACCCCAAAATCAATAGGGGTCATCTACTGGTCATGACCAATCACCATACCAAGTTTGAAGTTTCTAGGCCTAAGGATTCTTTAGTTATCACTCGGAAACCGTTTTTACCCAAGAGGTCAATGTGACCTTGACCTTTGACCCCTTGACCCCAAAATCTATAGGTGTCATCTACTGATCATGACCAATCACCATACCAAGTTTGAAGTTCCTAGGCCTTAAGGTTCTTTAGTTATTGATCGGAAACCGTTTTTGCTTACAAGGTCAATGTGACCTTGACCTTTGACCCCTTGACCCCAAAATCAATAGGGGTCATCTACTGGTCATGACCAATCACCATACCAAGTTTGAAGTTCCTAGGCCTAAGGGTTCTTTAGTTATCACTCGGAAACCATTTGGTCTACGGACCGACGGACCGACAAGTGCAAAGCAATATACCCCCTTTTCTTCGAAATGGGGGCATAATTACTATTTATTACCAACTTAAATCCACATCATCAACATTAATTTCATTTTTTGTTACAATTGTTTAAATTTTCTTTTTGTAACATCTGTTTAATTTCTTTTTATATTTTATTGTTTTAAATACTCTAAAGTTTTTTTTCTAGTTTTTAGTCATCATTCATTGAGGGATTGAAACACAAATGGCATCCTCGGTGAACCAGACTATTTACCATTTACCAATATCAGTATTACCGGTAAATGTAGTATATACAGAATGTTTACTGTGGGTTCCGGCTATGCACAAATGAGCCGCGTCACGACAAAACCAACATAATGGGTTTGCGACCAGCATGGATCCAGACCAGCCTGCGCATCCGCGCAGTCTGATCAGGATTCATGCTGTTCGCTTACAAACCCTATTACAAGTAGAGAAACTGATAGCGAACAGCATGGATCCTGATCAGACTGCGCGGATGCGCAGGCTGGTCTGAATCCATGCTGGTCGCAAACCCATTATGTTGGTTTTGTCGTGATGCGGCTCAAATGTACACTTTATTAGCCCTAACAAATCATACAAGCGTGCATGTATAAATATTTTATAATGTGAGTCAATATTGACCCTATCATGTTGAAATTTTCAATAAATACAGTTGACAGACATGGTATGATATTCCATCTATTCAATTGTATAACAAACACAAATTTAACACACATTCCCATCATTCTGTGATCTCTATTTTAAAGCAGCACGCCTCCAGATTCATGCTAAATTTCATGAATTTTTTAAAATTGTATTAAAAAGTAAACAACAAAAATAATTTTCACATTGCAAACCACACTAACAACCCATGTAAATTACAAAAAAAGAGGTCAAAATATACAAAATTGCCCTCACTGCGTTACTAACGCTGTAGAAATATGGTGAAAATACTGCAAAATCCGTCATGAATGGCATTTAATTTGAAAATTATTACTTTAATTTTGAATCTATTTACTTTTCTTAAAGTCTCAGAAAGTGTGATTTTCTTGAAATATTTTTTTATCGTCTGGAGGCATGCAGCTTTAAAGTAATATATGCCTACCTTTACTAAAAATATACAACGATAAATCAAACTGCAATGTTGATATCAAAAACAAGGTAGGCATACATTGATTTAATTTTGGGTAGTTTTAAGAAAATCTTGGCTTATTACTGGGCTATAGTCTGTTGCACTCCACGGAGAAGTTCAGGAAGACTGTTGTCACTGTTCTCAAGCAGTAATCTCACCGCCGATGATAGCCAATATTATGAACTTCAAACTTTGGTTTTATCAATGTCTAAAGAACAACATATACATGTCCAGAGCACCAACAATCTTTCTGAACATTTATAAACAACAACGTAATGGAATACCACCAAAAGTTCTAGACTTAAATGAGACAGAAGCTATACGGAGTGAAATGAACCGCCTCATAAGAAGTTTTGGTGCAGTGTTACAAACCATAGCCTACAGATATGCAAAAATTGTCCAATAGTTAATAAATTTACCCCAGTATTATGAAAAAGATTGGGTCTCATCAATGCGACAACGCTACCAGGTTGTAATTAACAGGTAGGGTGGGTTAATACGATATAGAATAATTTTCAAGCCATAATTTTCAATGATATATTTATTTTGCAACATTGGCTTATATTGCTCCACATTTATTGGGAATGTTAATTAAATTTGTGTTACATATGTATATACCTACACACTGTGTCACCAGACTTATCATTTTTCGGATGTTTAAGAGTTCTAGAGATAACTCTTGAGAATGTCCAAATTCTACTGATTTCTTTTTTGGTAAAAATAATAGTTAGTAAAACAAGACGTGGCTAATTTCATATTTAAATTCATCAGAACAACTCCAATATATAGGGTTACAGGTCATATCCCTCAATAACTTCACAAGATGTCATGAAGTAATGCTCAAATTGACTGTCAGTTTTTAAGAACATGATAGCTACATATTTCCTGTTGTCAGGGCAACAATGATTCTACATAAAATAGAATTCTGTAATATAAACTAATAAAAGTGATATTCAAATGATTTTGTTTTCAAATGCCCTGTTAAATATTTTCAAGTGTAAAAACAAATATTTAACACATCTGTTATAACTTTGTGATACCCTTGAAAGTAACTTTATTTCGTAATATCTTTCCTTGTATACATAATGTACACTATTGTTATTTCTTAAAAAATTTAGAATTATTCAGTCTTATTGTTTCTATCTTTAATTTTTTCCAGTATGCAGGATCATCTTCACTAAGTTCTTCCAGTGGTGTAGTCTTCCTGTCTATCCTTAATGTCCACAGCCAATCTGGGTAATCCTCATCAGGTCCAATCACCGGATCTTCTCCTTCTTTATTTATGTTACCTCCGCATAGACGTGTGCACAATATTCTAGCATCTGTCACTACCTCTAGCTCTTTCTTCTTTACAGGTGCAGCTCCTACGATAAAGAAAAAAAAAAACTGGTGACACAACTAAAAACTCATAACTATGTGGAAAACAAAAACTACATATAAACTTAGCCAATTTGTTTTGGTCAAGTTATAAATTAAAGCAGCATGCCCCCAGATAAATGCAAATATTTTATGAAATTTTGCAAATGTATTTTAAAGTAAAATATTGTGAAGTGAACAAAGCAAGAATCACCACCACTTGATTTTTTCTTATTTCTCTATTTTATTTATGTATAAAATAATAATAAAATAAAAAGTTATGACACTTTATGCAGATTTCAATAATTTCACCTTGCCAGTCAAGGTTAAGTAAAAGGCAAGGTCATACATGTATTTGACAATCTAACATTTCTCATATTCTCAGTGTGCCAAATTATTTCAAAAGCAAAAACAGCCATCAATAATAAGTACTATTTTGACATTGAAGTACATTGTATAACCTTCACCTTTCTAGCTGTTGACCTGTCATTCGTGTGTGACAAGTTTTCCTTATGTGCATTTAAAGTATGTCTATAGTTAATTCAAAATCCATTCAAATGACAGAACTGATGAATGGAAATTGGCATTCATGTACTTTACACCTTAAAGATCTTAGTTTGACCTTGATCTTTAGGCTATAAACTTGTTGACAATCATAGATGATGCATAAAAAGTGTAAAAAATCATAAGTTAGCATATGTGATCTTGACCATGTGACTATCAACCATGGACAATTTGAATATGAAAAATACCATCAACAGATACATGTATTATGGCTGTATAAAAGCAAATGATTAGGAATCGAATGTCCAGCTGAAATGGTATTTATAAGTCCCCCCTAACAATTCCTAGATATTATTGACAGTACATGTATATAAATATGGGTGGATTTTGAACAGGCAAAGATGACACAAGAGCAGTTAGATTTGGAACCAAGCAAACACTGATTTTTTACATTTTTGAGTCTGCAGAATTTAGTTTACTGAGACAGTATCTGTGGTTGTTTCTAAATTCGAAAATTGAAATGTTACCATTTCATGTTTAATGTTGAATTCTGCTTAAACTGGTGTTAGGGTGCATGACTGGTTGCTTGCACTTTCCAGAACTGTCCGTGAACAGACTTTATCAAACATTGCCTCAGTCCAAGCAAAATTTTGCTGTTATGGTTCCTCTTTTTCTCTATTTGATAGAATATAGATTTTTTTCTTTTTAATTCATCTGGAAAATGAATTAAACCAAGTTTATGATGCCACAGATGTCCTACTTGTGTTAAAATGCTAATAATGCTAGTTACAAAGATGCCAGGATACAGTGATTCTTTTTTATATCTTATATACAAACGTACAGGATGTTTCTCCTTGCCCCAAAGTAGCTTAATTTTCCGCTTATAATGCTAAATATTCCCCCTATTCAAAAACCATGACTAAACAGCAGCTGACTTCAATGTTAAAAAATTTAACAGACAGAATTCTGTAACTGTAAGCTTCAGATATAGATGTACTTTTTATTTTAACAGGTCTAAAACTTCCTAATATTTATTGACAGTCTGTAAATTTATGAAAAGTCTAAAACTTTAAAAAAAAATTAGCTTTATAGGAGTTGTTTTATAGACTGTTTACATTAACAAATGTAATGAGATAAATGTCAACCTTTTATGACGATTTTGATTTTTTTGTTAAATGTAATAATTGAATGTCATCAAAATGTTCTGAAACCATTAATTGAGATTTAATCATTCTATCAGTTAACTTTTTTGGTTTTTTACCTGCAATTCTGAAATAAGAATTATAATACTTCTTCTATTTTGACACATACTTTGTAATGAAACAGAAATATATCACACCGTATTACCGGCGGCAGTGATGGCAGATCACTGCAGTGATGGCAGATATCTTAAAATTACCGATCGATACAGGTAGGTTATAAATTTGGTTGGTTTAATTATATTACACAAATACGGCCCATTTCATTGCTATAAAACTATTGTCCATTGAATGGAGATACTGTAAGGTAATTTTGGACTCGTTTTTTCCTGTTTTCAGACTATTTTGAGCAGGTTAAAAGTGAAAGCCTTAGAAAAATCCGTGAAAATGTCTGTTTTCTGTTCAAAATATCTCAAGTTTTAAGTAAATGGCAGGATTTCCTGTTATCAATATAGACGTTCATCCATTGGGGTCACGCAAGCCAAATATCTACCCCGTGAGTCTTTTCTTGAAAGTTTTACAGACGCTCAATCTTGTCCGGTCGAAGAAAAAATGCTGCCGTTGTAGGCAGATACATATTATAAATGCAGGAAATCCTGCCATTTACTTAAAACTTGAGATATTTTGAACAGAAAACAGACATTTTCACGGATTTTTTCCAAGGCTTTCACTTTTAACCTGCTCAAAATAGTCTTAAAACAGGAAAAAACGTGTCCAAAATTACCTTACAGTATCTCCATTCAATGGACAATAGTTTTATAGCAATGATATGGGCCGTATTTGTGTAATATAATTAAACCAACCAAATTTATAACCTACCTGTACCGATCGGTAATTTTCAGATATCTGCCATCACTGCAGTGATCTGCCATCACTGCCGCCGGTAATACGGTGTGTATATGTAAATTTACCGATCCAAAACTCCATAAAATTATGCATGATCCATAAATTTTTCATAAAATCCTAGACCTTGTTAAAATGCAATGAAATTAATTAAAATATTGATTAAAAATGTGACTATATATGTTTCATTCTCTATTGTTGAAGTTTGTTTCAGATCTCCTCATTGTTAATGGATTTATAGTACATCACCCCTTCAAAGAGCCAAAATTTGTTTTTATTTTAATTCACAAAAAAAAGATCATCAAGGTAGATTTAGTTTATACAAATTTTTTCAGTTTGATTGTGTTGGACGCTATTAGCTAATTGAAATACTCTCAAATCCATTCCTGGAACCCACCAGTACTAAGCAATGAATGTAGTCTGATACGTTAACCACTCAGCCACGCTGCCACAGGTAGAATTAAGCAAGGTAGGTTCAGAGTGGGACCACAGGATTACAGGTCAAAAGTATCTATTATCTGTCCTGTGGTAAACTTGCCATGTGGTCAACTCGACACCATTTTAGTCAGTTAATCATGAAAAAGTCAACTTGTCACCTTTTTGGTCAATGATATTCAAATATTTCAGGTCGATTTCTCTCAGTAGGGCGTCAAGTTTGGTATTTTTTGTACTTAACCAATTTGCTACAATACCTTAAAAATTTATAAAGGTAGACAGACGTTTCACTATTGAGACGGTTCACAACAAGACGATTCACACCAAGACTCCCATTTGGGAGTGAAACGTCTTGAAGACATTTCACTCCTTTTTATACCAAAATTTTTCCAAGACTTATGATATACTAAAAATATATCGGATTTAACATTAATTAAATTTGTTATATAAACAAAAACTTATAATGGAGAAGTTTCTGTTTCCAAGACTTTTGTTTTAATTGGATGTTATCTAAAAACTATTTTTATGGTCCAATAAACAACTGATTAGTAAACTGTTGATGCTAAAGTGCAGTGTTTATACAACTGATTTAATGGTGATGTCAACCTTTTAGTTGTTGGTCTCAGTGTTTATAAAACTAATTGGTTGATGAGATTAATGTTAACACCACAATTATCTACGTTTGTTTAATGGCTACTGTTTAATAAATTGATTAAAAAATAAGTCAAAAGAATAATTAATTTTATACACATCTTTTGCATAACATTTTAAGCTTTACATGAAATAACAAATATTTTAAAATTGATATTTTTTATTATTTCAACAATTACTTGTTTGATAAAAATAATTGATATCAATTTAATGACAATATTTCCATGTGTCTTATTTTTTATGAAAGTACTAATGAAAATATTATTGTCAAGGATGAGCATAGTATCGTTTATATTATAGTTTATGTAAGTATGAATTCCTTTTTAACAATTGTGTGTTTTATTTTGAATAACCAACCATATCTTTTATCATCACCTAAATTAAACCATTTTTCAATGCAACAAAAATTAAAAAAATGTATATTACAGAACTTTAATTGCTTATCTACAACAGAAAATCATGCATCAATATAAATAATCAATCCTGACATGGCTATTAAAAATGGAAATAAATTTGCTAACTTTACTAAAAAATATCTAAAAAAATGGGAGTGAAACGTCCATACAATTGACAAATTGGGAGTGAAACGTCCAGGTGTGAACCGTCTTGGGAGTGAAACGTCTCAATAGTAAAATGTCTTGGGAGTGAAACGTCTGACATTCATTTATAAATAGTAAACAGAATTTTCTGATAAACTTAATAGTAAATGTAATTTAATGATAATATATCAACCTTTGAAATAAAAGAAAATTAGTGACGAGTAAAGGGACGAATTCATTAAAGGATATGTTGACTACGGGACGAGTTGACCAGAAAGGTTTCGAGTTGACCACGGGCCGAATTTTTTTACTCTAAATTTGACCCGGGTCTGTGAATGGACACCTTATCTGAACATAATTGTATTTGTAATGTTTTGTGTACCTTTCTTAGCTGCATATCTTATAGACTGTGTTTTCAATGACCGACGACTTGTGTGTGATATAAGGTTGTTTATAACATTTGTACCTAAAACCCTGCAAAAAATGTTACAAGACATATTTCCTATTTTTAATGCAAAAATTTATACAATGGTTACTTCCCTTACAATCTTGTATAAAAGACGGGGGTGATAGAAAATCCCGTCATCCGGGATGTCAGGCCAGGGATATATATATATGATTATGATATTTGTATTATGACACAGATAAAATTAATTATGTTTATTTTTCACATACATTTACTTTTATTTCCAAAACAATTATTATTACAAAACAATCGCAAATTACCAACTTCGGAGTAAACCTCCGGAAAAGTTACGGCATTGCCGGAGGATTTTTGTACATAAACACCGTTCAAAATGGCAGCCCCCATACAGCAATGTGAAAAACCGAACAGACCCGAGTTGAATGAAAACTGCAGGATATCTTACATATTGTCCTTGTAGATGTAAGAGTACTCCACTTTTCTTTTAATCAAATATTTCTATTGTTCACAACTGTGATCAGATACAACTTAACAATGATGTCAGGCCAACTCGGCCCTTTGTCATTTCGTACTGGTCAGTCCACACCCCAACCCTGACCGTTCTTCCCAAAACCGTTTTCTCCCCTCGCAATGTTAGTTTATTGGTGATGGCAATAATAGAGTGTAAACACATATATTTAAATATAGTATGAAAAAGGCAAAGCCTCAAAGCGAGCTCGATGTACTTTTTACGTGAAATAGTATGAAATAATCGCTCATTTTTATTTCAAATGCAGTAACGAGTGCCGTGAAGTCACACGTACTGTGTTAAATATGGCTCCGCCCCTGTCGTGAAATGAATAACGAGTTTTGAAAACGTTGATAAAACTTTGTTTATTTTATTTCACTCTATAATTTTTCAAGCGAAATAAAGATTATTTAAAGTGAAATAAATGTAAAACTTAAAACGTTTGCGACATTAAAATAGCGTACTTGATTTGTTTGTTTTGCACGTGCTGTTTGGCGCTACATTGTGACGTCACGTAAACAATACTTTAAACGTCTGTACAGCGTTAACGACTGAATAAAAGATATTGGTGTTCGGATTAATTTTCTTAGTTAGACCATTTTCTTTCATTCTAAATAGTTTTCACAACAAAATTCGACAAAAAATTGTTTTTATTTATCAGATTTTGGCGCCTTTGACTTTCATTTTTTATACACAGCTTCCGTTATTCTGGTTTCCTGTCCAATTATGGTTCCCATAGACGTGCGGGTGACCAGTCTACACATCCGTTTTCAGTCAGAATTCCTCAGTTTTTATCGTTATCTTTAAATTCGAAAGGTTGCGATGTGTCCAATTCGGTACTTTGGACGAAAGTTTTCAAAACCATCACTTAGCAGGTACTCGCGCTACCGTTAAGCTCGCTTTGCGAGCAGGCCCTTCGGGCCAGCTCGTCGAGCTCGCTATTACATAAATCTTAAATAAGAAAGATCATAGTCTGTGTTCCAGGCTGTCAATTTTTTATGCTCCCCGAAGGAGTCGCCACTTTGTCAGTCCGGTTGTCCGTCAGCTTTTCTTGTCCGGGACAAAACTATATAACAATATGAGGTAGCAACATGAAACTTTGTAGGTTGATATATCTCATTGGGTAGATGTACAGTGAACAAGAACCGTAATTCTGCTTTTCCTTATTTTGGAATTATTGCCCTTTGTCCATTTTTATACTTTGAACTTTGTTCAGGACATAACTCTAACACTATAAAAGATATCAATATGAAACTTTGTAAGAAAAATAAATTGGTGTTGTTCAACCTATAGTCAGAAAAATCTCCGAACGTAAAGGGGGACCACTGCGCACGCGTCGGCGTTTAAAAAATCCCGTCCGCGATTTTTGTTAATCTCTAATCACAGTTGTTGTTTTAACGTTATTTTAAAGTGCTAATTTATCAAAAAGGATATGTTAAAGTAACTTTTTATCTTTATAATCGTTACTCTAGTTCTTATCAATGAAATGCATGTTTACTTTCTGATTTTGCACATCATTCTCTCACCGGAAGTGTTACTTAGCGTCTGCTAGCAATAGTCTAAATTATGTAGACGCTCATTAAAAGCGCTCTGATATCTATATTTAGCTCCAAAGGATTTCAAAATGGCGGCGCCCAGTTAACTAAGGATTTTTTCACTGCTCATTAGGTATAGGATATAATTATATTTTTTTGAAACTTTCATTTAGTTTTAATTTGATTTCATTTCAATTGTTACGCGTCATACATGTTATCTAAGAGCGCTACAGCCCTCGCGGGGCCTTCCCTCTCGGACTTTTCGCGTATAAGAAATATCATCATGAAACTTTGTAGGTAGATATATCTCATTGCATAGATGTGCTGTGCACAAAAACTGTAACTCTGCCTTACCTGATTTTGGAGTTATTGCCGTTTGTTCATTTTTACACTTTGAACTTTGCCCTGAACATAATTCTGAAACTAGAAGATATCAACATGAAACTTTGTAGGTAGAAAGATCTCATTGAGTAGAAATACAGTGCATAAGAACTGTAACTCTGACTAGCTTTATTTTTGAGTTATTGCCCTTTGTCTATTTTTATACTTTGAAGATTGTCCAGGACATAGTTCAGTAAGTATAATAGATATTAACAAGACACTTTTTAGGTAAATAGATTTTATTGGGTAGATGTGCAGTACACAAGAACCGTAACTCTGCCTTGCCTAATTTTGGAGTTATTGCCCTTTGTTCATATTAACATTTTGAACTTTGTCCGGGACATAACTCTGACGTAATAAGAGATATGAACAAGAAACTATGTAGGAAGATAGATACAAGTGGGTAGATGAGCAGTGCAAAGAGCAATAACTCTTGTTTGGAATAATTGCACTGAACTTTTTCCGGAACTGTACATAACAAGAGGTATACTTTTCTGTGTCCAAAACCTATTCGGGGAGTCTCAACCGGTTCTTGTTTTATGTGCTTCTGTTTGGCAAATCGACATTGATATTATCAAAACAGGATAGAGAATAAATAGCGTTATGTTATGAATAAGCAAAAAATATTAACAGCTTAATCCCAGGCCTTCGTTACAAGCATGTCAAGATAATATTCACTTTAATGGGAAAACATTGTTAAGAGTCTTGATATATATTATACTGTATTAAAAACTCAATATCAAAGACTATTCTAATATTTATGTACAGAAGTGTTAACAGAGGTCTTGCTATATTGCATGTATAATCTAAAGTGTCTATCAAAGAGGGCTCAGAGAGAGAGTTCTCAGAGTGTGCATATTTAATCAAGTAGGCGGAGCTAATCTCTAAATACTTACAACACTACACATATACGATTTCAAATAATACTATCTTAGAATGTAGAAAACGCTTTTACATTTCAAACTTTCATTAAATTCTTTGTGTTACATCATTTCTAATTTTATTGACTGAGTTTAAAAATTGATTAGTATGCATTTGATGTTTGCAACCTTCTCTAATTCTTTCCAGGTTTTTCCCATCTTTTTAATTTCAGTGTCTATGTTTCTTCTCCATGTTTCTCTGGGTCTTCCTCTATTTCTTTTCCCTTCTGCTGGTGTCCACTTAAGGGCTATCTTTGTGATGGAGTTATGCTCTTTCCTTATTACGTGGCCTAGCCATTTGAATTGTTTTTGCTTGATGGTGGCGATTATACATTTTTGGCCTGTTCTTTCAAAGAGATCACTGTTAGATATTCTCCTTGGCCAGTATATTTTACAAATTTTCCTTAGGCAAGTGGAGTGAAACCCTTTCAATCTCTGACTGTCTTTCTGTGTAAGCCTCCAACATTCTGAGCCATATAACAGAACTGACAAGATGTTGCTTTGGTACAGTCGTACTTTGGTTCTTTCTCTGATGCTGCTGGATCTCCATATTTTATTCAGTTGATAGAAGGCTGTTCTAGCTTTTTGTAGCCTGTTGGATATGTCCTTTTCTGTAGCGTTTGTCTTGCTTATAATGCTGCCAAGGTATGTAAAGTCATTTACTTCTTCTAAATCTTCGTTTCCTAGTTTTATTAAAGGTGGTGACGGATGAAGTTGCATTGTCTTGGTTTTCTTTTTGTTTATGTTTAATCCGATCTGCTTTGCATTTATGTAAAGGTCATTTGTTTTCTTCTGTAGGTGGTTCGATGTTGGGGACAGAAGAGCTATGTCATCTGCGAAGTCAATATCTTCCAGCATTGATGTTAGTGTCCATCTTATTCCTCTACGTTTATTTCCTGTTGTTTTTCTCATGACCTAGTCTATTGCAACTAGGAAAAGCATCGGTGACATGATGCATCCTTGGCGTACTCCACTTGAAATGTTAAACCAGTTTGATATATTGTTGTTGTGTAGTACACTGCATGAGAAGTTGTTGTAAAAACATTTTATTATGTGGACAAGTTTTTCTGGACATCCATAGGCTGCAAGTATCTTCCATAGGCTCTCACGATGGATGCTATCAAAGGCCTTCTCAAAATCAATGTAATTTATATGGACTTTACTGTTCCACTCAATGCATTGCTCCATAATGTTTCTAAGGGTGAAAATGTGATCAATGCAACTCACTCCAGGTCTGAAGCCTGCCTGCTCTTTTCTGATGTTTTCGCTATTGAATTGCTGAGTCTCATACATAAAATCTTACAGAAGGTTTTACTTGGCACAGATAACAAGGTTATGCCCCGCCAGTTGTTGCAATTTGTCTTATCTCCTTTCTTTGGAAGCTTTATAATCAGGCCTTTGCATCAATCTTGGGGTAGCATTTCATTCCTCCAAATTTTGTTGAAAAGCTCTTCAAGTTTTTCAGCTATAAACTTAGGGTCTGATTTTAGCATTTCTGCAGTAATGTTGTCAATCCCAGGTGATTTGTTGTTTTTAAGACTTTTTATGGCTTTTATTATTTCATCCATTTTTGGAGGATCTATATCTATATCGAAAGTTTCACCAAATGTCTCATTTATTTCTGGTAGTGTTTCTGGAACTGGTCTGTTAAGAACTTCTTTAAAGTGTTCTGCCCATCTTTCAAGTTGTTTTTCTTCTAAAGCTATTTTGTTTCCATTTTTATCTTTTACAGTGGAGGTGTCACTATTAAACTTTCCTGCTAGTTCTTTTGATATTCGGAAAATTTCCCCCTGTTGTCCTTTTCTTGCTGCCTCTTCTGCCTCATTTGCATTTGTTTTGAAATATTCTCTTTTGTCTTTTCTTAATTTCCTTTTGGTTTCTTTATTGCTCTCAGAGTAATCATTGGTGTATTTAACGATCAGCCTTTCAGACCTTGCATTTTGCTTCTTTTGCTTTAATTCTCTTCTTTTGTCAATATGTCTCCAAGTATCAAGTTGTATCCATTCTTTGTCTGATCTTGTTTTTGTGCCAAGTATATCTTCACTGGTCTTTATGATGCCTTCTCTCAGATGTTTCCACTGACTTTCTGTATCATTATCTAGTCCTCCTATATTTGCCAGATTCTGAAATCTGTTTCTCAGTGTGATAGATTTTTTTTCTTCTGTGGAGCAGGGTCTTTAAGTCTTGCTGTATTATATCTTTTCCTTGGTGTTTCTGGTTTCTTTGTGTTTTTCCGAAGATGAGCTCTTACTTTTGCTAGTAAAAGATGATGGTCACAAGCAACATCTGCTCCACTGCGAACAACCACATTTTCGAGTGAATGTCTCCACTTTCCGTTAATAATGATGTGATCTATTTGATTACTGTCTCTGCCATTTGGTGATATCCATGTTTTTTTGTGTATTTCTTTATGTTGAAAAAGTGTTCCGCCAATGACACAGTTGTTTAATTCACATATATCTGCTAATCTTTCTCCATTTTCATTGATGGTACCACATCCATATTTTCCCATAGATTTTTCTCTTCCCTCATTTGAGCAACCAACTTTGGCATTTAAATCTCCAATAATCAAAAGTATGTCATGTACTGGCACTTTGTCAATGGCTGTTTGGAGCTGTTGATAGAAATTATCTTTTGAATCTTCCTCTGCGTCGTTTGTAGGAGCATAACAGACAATGATGGATGTTTTTACATGTCTGCCATTAAATCTTGCTGTTATTAGTCTTTCATTTATTGGTAGCCATTCAATAAGACTTTTCTTTGCATGGGGTGTCATGATGATTGCTACACCTTCTCTATGGTTGTTATCTTCTCTTCCTGAATATACTATAGTGTTTTGGGAATTGGTTGTTATCATCCCATTTCCAGTCCATCTACTCTCACTTACGCCTAGTATTTGGATGTTGTATTTATGCATTTCTCTCTCTATCTGCGCAGTTTTACCTGCTTCATACATTGTACGCACATTCCATGCCCCAATGTAACAAGATTGCTTTGGATTTAATAATGATGGCCTAGTCGTGCTATGAGCAGTCATTTGTCCAATTCTATTTGGGGGACCATCATCACTATCCTGATAGTGGGTTTGTGTCTGGTTTGCAGTTTCCGTAACTAAAGTTGTTTTTACAGGGTGGAGCAGTTAACACCACGCCTAACCTCCACACTGTTGGGCCGGGTTTTCTTTCAGGGTTGTCCTTCCCTTAGATGGCTGTAGTTCCCACTACGATGAGGTCCATCTCCCCAGATTTTCTGTTTGGATTTTCTTCCATAGCCTTTGACTTTCCCAAGTCACCCACAAGGCAGTGGGCTATTTGACCCATAGTTGGGGTAAGGATGATGAGTGCTAGGGCATATCCACACACGGTGGGCCTACACACTGCATCTCTGGGGCCCTTTCTGCTCCGAGATCTCCTTCAATTTAGCCTGAGACACTAAGCCTCAGTTACCGTGCATTTCCACTAGGAGGCATTGAAGGAGTCTTGGTAGTGCAGAGGCTATGTACTGGCAGGAAAAGATTTACGCACTCGACTCTCCCTTTCACCTACAAGTAGGTTAGCCAGCGACAACAAAGATCTAGAGACGTTCGATCCATGCCGTACTAGACCCATATCACTACCCTGTGGTGTTACCACCACCAATGCAATTTAATATACTTAGCTCACAATTTTTTGATATTTTTTACATTTAGATACAAAATGAAATTAGTCTTCAGTATATTTTTCATGAAAAGTTTTGAAGTTTTTAACACCTTTTTCAGGGAGTTTAATCTAATCAACACCTTGACATTGTCAGAGATTAAGGTAAATGGTGGTGATAAGTGTATAAAACACTGCAATTGTCATTATGGTCCAGTGAAAAACCAGTCAAAAATCAGTTCATTTGTTTAAATAGCTAGTAAACTAAAGTGGTTGAAGATAATTATGTGCTGTTATATCAAATAGAATATTAACTGTTTTGTTCACTTATAATATCAAAATACTGTCTACAATATAATTCTAACATACATCATGAAAGACTTTTAACAGTTAACTTACCACATGAAACTTAGGCAACATTTAAACAGAACATGAAAGGCAATTTAAAGATGAAAACAAACAGAAAAAAATCACTAATCAGCTATAATTGCTGACAAAATTATAATATGTGTGACTTTCAACATAAGTAAAAATTGGTTTCGGATGAACTGTCTGTAAAATTAATCATCTTGTCTAGGTTAATTTATTTTTTTAACTGTTTTGGTCAACATGTTGCAGTTTATACACACATATATATATATAGGGGAAAAATAATGGTTTTAAATGATTTATAAAAAAAACTTAAATTTATATAAAATAAGTCTTATTGCATTGATATTGGTTAAATTGTATATATGTGTAAATTGAGTTGATCTTATATACAGTATAATTTTATTCCTCCTGATAAATATATAAAAATAGTAACAAGTTGACCAAATAGGTGACAAGTTGTTAATGGAGCAAGGTAACTAGTGGTAAATGCTAGCTGCCCTTTGCCACTTAATAGTCTATTGTTATGGAATGAACGCTATTCTTTGTTATGTTCTCTTTTGTTCTGTTTACAGTTTGATGGCCCCCTTTCCTTATTCTGTAGTGCGTACAGACAGTTCAATTAATAAATTTCTTCATCTATCATATTAGTATCAAAATGAAAGGTTTAAGATTAATGAATGTATTTAAATTTGAAAAGAAGTATTATCACTAAAAAAATAACATTGTTTTAAAGTTGACACTGTCAGTACAGGTATAACCAATATTATTTTTGAATGTCCCCAACCTAGGCTAATAGTGAAATGCTTTTATAATCTTCTTAAAAAGAACAATGCCCAAGGCTTTGGCCTTTTCCATGAAGAATCACCTTGTGATTGGCTACAAAGAATAATATAAATCATGCCCCTGGGGCATAATTGGCCCCACCTTGGGATCACTTAGTTTATATAGAGCTAAGAGCTTAGATATTATCATGAAACATTTACAAATTTTCAAATATTTAAAAAATTATGCAGCTTGGGTAAAAATGACATACCCTGTATGGTCTCATTACTGACCGACTTTGAAAACTAGAAATTATTACCTTTTCTAGCAATGAATCTGAGGTGTACAATCCAGGGCCATCATGGCCCTCTTTTTAATATTTTTTTAATATAATTTTGATGTTTGTCAACTGATGTCCTACTCTATATGTATAGCTTCTACAATAATATGGTTAAATCCTTTTGTATCGGAAATATATTTTTTTCCTGCTAAACAATTTCAATGTTTTTAATCGAAATGCTTTTTTTTGTTACAGCTTAAAGACACAAGATGGAAACTGTTGAATTAAGTGTGTTATCTACTTTGGAATTTCACCAGAAATGCAAGATGAGTTTGGATATATTCAGAACTTTGGGTGTAAACATCGGATCATTTGTTGAAATAAAGACAAACAATAAGACATGTATTTGTTCAGCTTGGCCGGACCAGGAGTATGCTTCAAATACAATAACATTTAATAAATCAGTTAATAGTTGTGGCTTTACAAATTCAAAAAGCCATTGTATTGGTGAAAATGTGAAGATGATGTTAAAAGGTGCTGATAACTTACTGAATGAGTCATGCATTGAAAAGGTTCCCTTGAAGAATGAGTCATGCATTGAAAAGGTTCCCTTGAAAGATGAAAATGTTATAAAAGCTTTGAATACTACAAATGCTCTTGAAATATTTGTAGATGTGGTGTTTTTAAATCCTGGAAAGGTAAGGGAATGTAAGAAGAACCGTGGATTTTTGGAGCATATAGTTACATATTGCAGGAATTTGCTTTTTAGATTTTGTGTAAGAGATTCTTTCATTATCAAATGCCAGGCATCTAGACTGGCACAAAGTTATGGAATATCTGATATAATAATAAATCATGTTACATCTGACAATAAATCTAATGATGATACAGGATTTGTAATTAGTAAGTTAACAAAGGTGACTGTTGAAACAGTTCACAGTAAGGAATGGTTTGATCAGATGGTAGAGACAAAGCAAACTTTAAACAAACCGGGAGGGTTAGATAATGTAATCAACATGTTACTAGACTTGATCAAATTACCACTGCAACAGAAAGACAAGTTTAGACAATTAGGTGCCCACCCACCTCGTGGAATTTTGCTATATGGACCTCCAGGCTGTGGTAAAACATCATTAGTCAAATATGTTTGTGCTGTAAATGGTATATTTCTTGTGACAATCAATGGACCAGAGATATTTGGCCCACGTCCCGGAGAGACAGAGGCAAATATAAGGGCAGTATTTGAGAAGGTGACTGTAATGAGTGAGGAAGGGCCCTGTGTACTGTTTGTAGATGAGATTGATTCATTATGTCCAGGACGAGGAGGTGCTGGTAATGTAAATGAAGCTCGAGCTACAGCTCAGTTTCTAACATTATTGGATGGTTTATCACAGGATAGTAATATACTGGTCATTGGAGCTACTAATAGACCAGCTGTGTTGGATACTGCTCTACGTAGACCCGGTCGACTGGACAGAGAGGTAATATACAAGATTATATTGATCTAAGTACTGATTGAATATTGAAATATAGGATTGCATTTAAGTAAATCTTTTTGTGGTACTTAAATGTAGGCTTGGAAGGCAGTCTTTTGTGCATAAGCTGAAATGAACATACAAAATAATGACATTATTAAAATTTTGATGGGGGCTGGTTGTGGTTTGTTGTCATTAAATAATGCTTATTATACTTTGTATAGTTATCATCTTTTCTAGCAACTGTATAAATGACACATGATATGTGGACTAACAAAAAACTTCTAATTCATTGGTTTATTTGTGCATAAATGTTTGAAAAAGTAAGAAGTTACAAACATTAATTAATAATAATTTCATACCAGACATGTTTTAAAATAGATTTTATATCTTGTAAAACATATTCCAGATTGTATCAATGTCTCGTTTATAAAGAATTTGTACAGTGTGGAAATAGTAAGTTTTTTTTTAATTCAGGTTATAAATTTTTTAGGTTGTAATAAATCCACCAAATCAACAACAAAGACTGGAAATTCTCAGGTCACAGATCAAGGGCATACCACTATGCAATGATAATGTTAATCTTGATGAGTTAGCAGAGGTGACCAATGGTTATGTTGGTGCTGACCTTGCGTCTCTGTGCCACGAGGCAGCATACGTCGCCATGTCAGAGACGGCAGCTGGTCATAACACAATGGTAAGACTTTAATATGTCTTCATCTTTTGATTGGTAAATTAACCTTCCCAACTCTCTCTTGTGTTACAGATGTGCCTTGTTTTGAATATAGAATTGATCATTTCAAGGTGTAAATACTTCTATAGAACAGCTGGCAGTAGATTGAGGTCAGATTACAAAAATGAGTAGGCAGCCCAAGATCAATACATTGTACTCACTGGTTTTGAAGTTCTGCATTTTCTTCCTCTATAAGAGCTCTGTGGAGCATTGGCCTTCATGTCCTGATTATGCAACTTATATTTGATTTTTGATTAAATTTCATGATTTTATAGTCTCAGTTATATATGCGTTATACAAACATATCATAACATCTCACAATATGTTAATGTTACAGTTTAAGGGGGAAAAAAATTTTTTTTTTACTGTAAAATGCTTTTTACATAGAATGTGATTAGTAAAATATTCTATTCATATAGTTCCATTGCTGAATGTGTTGAATATTAAAACACAGTATGCCTGTATCAACACTAGCCTTTTTACCTCATCCAATATATACATGTATATTATCTTGGTTTTGATTGAATATATATATAATATCAGTTTCACATCACTTAGGACAATAGTGTTTTATTGTAGGATTCTATTATATTTTTAGGTGAATCAGAGTCACTTTAATATAGCAGTAAAGAAAATACGGCCATCTTTACAGAGAGGAGCAGAAGGGGTAGTAGATCTACGACCAGTCTACTGGGATGAAATAGGAGGCCTGGACACAGTCAAGAAACAAATAAAACAAGTACCTGTCATCTTGAAATTTGACATTTGGAATAAAAAATAATTGGAACTTTTCTTATGCATCAAAATATTTTTTTTTACTGTTAAGTATTAATGATAGCAACCAATGTCATTAAATAAAGGGCCCTTAACTAGATGTAAAGTTTCATAATCATTTAGTTATACATATGACAGTGTCTATTTAATTCTAGGAAATATTTTTAATTCTAGGAAATATAAATTTCCTTATTAGTGTGTTGTACTTAGTATTTGTGCTGAATTGTTATTTTGTGCTCAACTGACTCAGACTGAAACCTAACCTTGCAGTAAGGAATCTAAAAGGATCAGTGGAGAAAATAGCTGGTCAGAGCTTTTGGTTAATTAAAAAAAACTTAAGATTGAAACTTTTTGTGACGTACAACATGTATATTTCAGGCTGTAGAGTGGCCATTACAGTATCCAGAGGCATTTGAACGTATGGGATTAAAGCCCCCTCGAGGTGTGTTATTGTACGGTCCCCCAGGCTGCTGTAAGACAACCTTGGTTCGAGCTGCAGCAACTTCTTGTCATTCTACATTCCTGTCTATCAGTGGAGCTCAACTTTATTCACCCTATGTCGGAGACTCAGAGAAACTTATATCTGAGGTATGATTTAAATTATTAATCTGTTAAAATAGCATTATACAATACAGAAACTTTCCTCTATGTACTATTGTGAGATCATTTTGTCATCAACGTATTGAATAGTTTATTCCTCTGCTTAACATCTCTTTATAGATACGAGTATTATGTTTCTGAGGAATTATTAGCTCATCTATAGGAAGTATATGGAGAGCTGTCCTACTCACCCCAACATCCATGTCAAGATTAAAGTTTTTGTGCCATAAAATATTTTTACAATAACTTTTTTTATCTTCAAACTTCAAATATATGTTCTTTATCATCAACCACATCATATGGTTCATAACTCTGTAAGCAATAGTTTCAAAATTTTCTACCCTTGAACATATTTTTTTTGAAATAATGTTATTTTTTATTCTAACATCTTTATTTTGTAAAGGATCTACTGTAAACTTCAAATATATGTTCCTTATCATCAACCACATCTTATGTGACAAAGTTCATAACTGCAGAAGCCATATTTTCAGAATTATCTCCTCTTGAACTTAGAATTTTCCTTAAAATTGTTTATTTTTTACTCTAACTTCTTTATTTATATTGGATTCTCATCATAAACTATAAGTTTACATTTTATATTGTTTCCCATATCATAATGATGTGACTAGGTTTATAACTCTTGCATTGCTATTTCCAGAATTATCTCCCCTTAGAATTTTCCTTATTTTTCAGTAATTTCTTGATTCCTTCAAACTTTAAAAATATGTTTGTTAAAACACCTACGTCATATGTAATAAGATATATGAGTCTAGCTCCTGTATTTCCAGAATTATCTCCATTTTAAACTTGGATTCATTTTATATATTTTTTTTTAACAGTTATCTTTGTTATGAATAATAATAACTTTTCATAATTGTATAATTGTTCTTTTTCATAATTTTGCATCATGTTTGACAAGGTTCTTAACTCTAGTATCTTTATTTTAAGAGTTATTTCTGCCTTGGACTTATAATTTTACTTTTAAAACTTTATATACTTTTGGCTCTTATCATTTTCGTTACTGAAGGGATTGACTTAAGATTTCAATTTGTTGCCCTTTCCATTATAAATTTCTGTTTAACTTTTATTGACATGGTCACAAGCTAATATGTTGTGCAAAAATGTTTATTGACATGGTCACAAGGGTATTATGTTGTGCAAAAATGTTAAACATTTGAATGTTTTTTTGATACTAATACAGAAATATATTTTATATTATAACTGATTTTTTTCTTCATAGTTTTGTCTTCCTAAATTACTGCATTCAGTATTTGATTAGTCGATCCTGCTGTTTCCTCTGATAGCTCTTGTTTTTATGCTGCCTTCATCATTTTATAAACCAAATAAATGTAAACACTTTGTATATGTAACAGATTTAACTGGTTAATACCTATTATTTGTGTTTATTTGTATTTTACCGAAAAATCCATTGCATAGTAATGTTTTAATCACAAAATATGATGATAAAGAAAAATGCTTAAATTTATAACAAGTAAATAAAATTGCTACTAAAAGAAATCAAGCGTCTAAAAGTTGTGTTGTTTCTCTCAGGTATTTCAGAAAGCAAGAGTGTGTGCACCGTCAATTTTGTTTTTGGACGAGTTGGACTCTATTGTAGGTAAGAGGTCGGAATCTGGTCATCGTGGAGTTCAGGAACGTATTCTTTCAACACTGTTAAATGAGATGGATGGTATTGGTGTGAGACTCGGGGAAGGTGCCGGATCAAGCTCCCAGCAGAAAACACTTGAGGGCCAGTCACCTCCTGTAGAAGTGTGTTTATATTGTTTTCTTTCTCTAAAATCTATTTATAGTTTAAGGAATGTATAAAGATTCACTTTAAAAATGTTCTTAGAAATATGACAGAATTTACTTTTTTTACCACCAAACTTAACTTTTAAGTAAGAGAAGTTGCAGCAAATTTTAAAATGACATAGTCCTTGGTTATTTCTGTGGATAGTAAATCAATCACTCAATATGTACACATGACAACGGTTTTACTACTTAGAATATCTTTTATTAATATCAACACAAATTTGGATGAATGCTGCATTAGCATTGATTTGTAAATGCTTTAATTAATAGAGGATTAATGCATGTTCTTTGTGCATTAACATTTAAATATTCTGCAGAATGAGGACACATTTAAAGCCTGAGGGATTTAATAAGTCCCAGGGCTATTCTTACAAAAAAGTATATTTCTAAATTGGTATTTGTGCCTTTCATCATCTAATTTTGTATTAAGAAACAATTGAGTGTGCCATGCTTTCTATGTGCTAGTTGGATGTAAAGTTTTGATAATAAAACTACCGGGGCCACCAATGCATTAAGTTGTTTTTACATTGCTTTGCTGCATTTAAAAAAATGTGCAACAACTACAAGTGGTTGCAAGTATCTATTCATTAAGACATGTTTCTTCTCCATTTATGTATACATGCATGCTTAGTTATTTTACGAGAATAATGATAAAAAATTTGAAAATCAAAATATTTCAATACCATGCACAAAGAAGTTTATCTTTTCCATTTTGAGAAAAAGTGGCAATAAACAAGTAGATGAATATCTTATCCAATAGATGTCTTTAATTTGGTTTATTGGTGGCATGACTTTTAATTATTGTTAACTACATGTAGTTTATTCTAATCCTTCTTATGCATAATTTGTGCTTTGACTTGAAACTGCCTCTAGTTTGTTAGGATTTTTTATAACATGACGTTCAAAATGAGAAAGTTTAGTCTGACTGCATGAAAGTGCTGATTTGTCAGGCTGTATAATATTGCATGTTTGTAACGTCGCTTTTCATTGGATAATCATGACATTTATACAGTTTTATGTACACAGCTGCTGATTTTGTTGAAAAATCACATTTTTCCCCTAAAAAAGGGAAGTTTGCAGTATAATAAATTAGTCATAAAGATTCATAACAGGTTATATAACCGATTGTTTGCAATATAACCCATGCCTAGCAGCTTGGGTTATGTACATGTATACAAACAACCATTTATATATGGCCATATTCTCTGTCAAAAATGTTTATAACTAATAGTATACTGGTGGCATTGTTTAAACATAGCTTCTAGTATTCAAAGAGTTATTGAATGTAAATATTGTGCTCTGTTTTTGCAGGCTGATGTAAAAACTGGTGATAAAACAGTGGATAACAGGTCAGTGTTAGTTGTAGCAGCAACAAATAGGCCAGATCTTATAGATGATGCTTTAATGCGCCCAGGACGTATGGATAGAATCATTTATGTTCAACATCCAGATATACAGGTTAATTTATTTTTTAAACACCAGGTACCTAGGATGTCTGCAGTGACATTGTAATGGGGGAATTATAAAACTTATTTGAGTGTTAATGTGCTACCACCTTACAACATTGTCAGAATGAACTGATATTATAACCATTTCTTTCATCTTAACCTTAGATACTTTTTCCTTGCATTTTAAGAAGTTTTCCAGCAAGCATATAGAAGGAAAAGGGTTCTACTCACATGTGTTCTTATCATGGGTACAAGTTTTGACGCATTCACCTGAAGTTCAGATAATGGGTACAAGTTTTGACGCATTCACCTGAAGTTCAGATAATGGGTACAAGTTTTGACGCATTCACCTGAAGTTCAGATAATGGGTACAAGTTTTGACGCATTCACCTGAAGTTCAGATAATGGGTACAAGTTTTGACGCATTCACCTGAAGTTCAGATAATGGGTACAAGTTTTGACGCATTCACCTGAAGTTCAGATAATGGGTACAAGTTTTGACGCATTCACCTGAAGTTCAGGTCTTTTTCTACTCCTGAAAGCTCCTTTTTTTTCTGTGTAACACCAGAGATGTAGATAACATGTTATCTATGTATCTGGTAACACCAATTGAAATTGATATAATACTAAATTCATGCACCAATGTATTATGTGTTTAATTATAATTATTTTATATATACATATACTGAAACATTTGCACAGATTAGGTTTTTGAGAGCTGGTGTGACTGCAAACCCTGAAGTCTCCCCTTACCCATATAAGGAGAAAAAAATGAATGATTTTGTTGAAGTCTAATTTTTAATGTTTCTTTATGAAGTATTTTTTATGCATATTTGTCTTTACAGGCAAGGAGAGACATTTTACAACTGTACACAAAAAATATGGTTTTACAAAACTGTGACCTTGACGTATTAGCTGAGAGAACAGACATGTATACAGGTGCTGATCTGGAGTCCTTGTGTAGAGAGGTAGGCCATGACATAATTGAGCTACTGGTTGGGGACCACCACAACCAAACAACAACCAAACCTGGGCGGCCCCGAAAATGCCTGATTTAGTTTTTAAACTTTTTTTATTTGTTCAATGGTTGTCAATCTACCATTCACTTTTAAATTAAGAATAAATGCATATTTCTTCTATAAGTTAGTAATTTGATTTATTTCAACTTATGTAAACAGTAATATTTTAATGTCTATTTCAAGAACATTGACATTGAAAATTTGGACATCAAGCTATACCTGACCTCTTATACTAGCTATAATCATTTGTAGAGTAAACAATATAATATCCAAAACTTCAGCATTTGATGCTAAAATAATGTATTATTATCATGTTAAAAATAGAAAATTAAAACGCCCAAGCTTACAGCATTTGTCCGTCACATGGTACTGTAGTGTGGGCAATTTAGGTAATTTTGATGCCCTCCTTAACGGATCTCAGATATAAGTGTCAATATAATCAGAAATAAACAAACTAGTTTGTTAGTGAGGATTTTCAGATCTTTAGCTTTAAAATTATGAAATCTGTATGGAAAAACGTTCAAAAATTGTCTGGTTGATTGTCCTCGACCAATTCACATCTTTATCTATTTGTTAATGTTGTAAGGCAGTATTTGTGTGTCAAGCTGTATGACTGAATACTGACATAACAGTGGAATGTGGGGGCATCTGTGTTCTATGTACAAATTTATATCTTTGTTTTTTTATTTTATTTAAAAATAGGAAGATTTTCAAGTTTGTTGTATACTTTTATTCAAAAGGCTGTATATCAAGTCTTTACCTTTACATATAATTTTTCAGGCTGCCCTGTTTGCTCTAACAGAGAACATAGAAACATGTACTGTATGTGCGGAACATTTCGAGAAAGCTTTAAGAAGTGTGCCTGCTTCACTTAACATTCAACTTATAGAGAAATACTCTTCTGCAGCAGATAGCATGAAAACTGGCAAGATTAGAGGTGGAAAAAGCTGACGTCTGAATACAGGACATTAACACTGGCAAGATAAGATGTGGAAACAGCCGACATCTGAATACAGGGCATTAACACTGGCAAGATTAGAGGTGGAAAAAGCCGACGTCTGAATACAGGGTATTAACACTGGCAAGATTAGAGGTGGAAAAAGCTGATGTCTAAATACATTGCATCAACACTAGCAGGATTAGAGGTGGAACAAGCTTGTTTATGAACTTATAAGAATTTTCTTAAGCTAGCATTTAAAGAGCTAAGAATTCAGTGGGTTCAGTTATTATTTGCAGATTTGTCCTAAATCATAAATGGCTCATTGGTGAAAGCTACAGCTTGTCACAGGAATAGGAACTTCATGCTTTCCAGTCTTGTGATTAAATTGGAGATCAGATGCCTATGTGCCAACTATGAAATTCACCAGCTTCATCATGCAAATAACATTTTAATAAACAAGAATTTTCATTAAGCTTCTTGTTAGTATAAACCTCTAGTTTGTAGCAATATCTTTGACAGGATCTTAAGTTGGTTACTCTTTATTTTTCCAGGCTACCATAATCAGTTCTAATATCTTTCTAGAAAAAATTTCACTACATGTACTTCTATTCATATTCAAAGTTGTTTGCTCTAAACAAACCTAAATTTTTCCTGAATGCCACCTAACAGGGGGCTATCTTACTTTAATTATGCCCCCATTTCGAAGAAAAGGGGGTATATTGCTTTGCACTTGTCGGTCCGTCGGTCCGTAGACCAAATGGTTTCCGAGTGATAACTAAAGAACCCTTAGGCCTAGGAACTTCAAACTTGGTATGGTGATTGGTCATGACCAGTAGATGACCCCTATTGATTTTGGGGTCAAGGGTTCAAAGGTCAAGGTCACATTGACCTTGTAAGCAAAAACGGTTTCCGATCAATAACTAAAGAACTTTAAGGCCTAGGAACTTCAAACTTGGTATGGTGATTGGTCATGATCAGCAGATGACCCCTATTGATTTTGGGGTCAAGGGGTCAAAGGTCAAGGTCACATTGACCTTGTAAGCAAAAACGGTTTCTGATCAATAACTAAAGAACTTTAAGGCCTAGGAACTTCAAACTTGGTATGGTGATTGGTCATGATCAGTAGATGACCCCTATTGATTTTGGGGTCAAGGGGTCAAAGGTCAAGGTCACATTGACCTCTTAGGTTAAAACGGTTTCCGATCAATAACTAAAGAACCCTTAGGCCAAGGAACTTCAAACTTGGTATGGTGATTGGTCATGACCAGCAGATGACCCCTATTGATATTGGGGTTAAGGGGTCAATGGGCAAGGTCACATTGACCTTGTAGGTAAAAATGCTTTACAATCAATAACTTAAGAACCCTTAGGCTTAGGAACTTCAAACTTGGTATGGTGATTGGTCATGACCAGCAGATGACCTATTGATTTTGGGGTCAAGGGGTCAAAGGTCAAGGTCACATTGACCTTGTCGGTAAAAATGGTTTCCGATCAATTAACTAAAAACGCTTAGGCCTAGGAACTTCAAACTTTGTATGATGATTGGTCATTACCATCAGACGACCCCTATTGAGTTTTGGGTCAAGGGGTCGAAGGTCAAGGTCACATTGACCTTGTAAGTAAAAACGGTTTCAGATCAAAAACTTAAGAACGCTTAGGCCTAGGAACTTCAAACTTGGTATGGTGATTTATCATGACCAGCAGATTACCCCTATTGATTTTGGGATCAAGGGGTCAAAAGTCAAGGTCACATTGACATTGTAAGTAAAAACGGTTTCTGATCAATAACTAAAGAACGCTTCGGCCTAGGAACTTCAAACTTGGCATGGTGATTGGTCATGACCAGCAGATGACCCCTATTGATTTTGGGGTCAAAGGTCAAGGTCACATTGACCTTGTATGTTAAAACGGTTTCCGATCAATAACTAAAGAACCCTTAGGCCTAGGAACTTCAAACTTGGTATGGTGATTGGTCATGACCAGCAGATGACCTATTGATTTTGGGTCAAGGGGTCAAAGGTCAAGGTCACATTGACCTTGTAGGTAAAACGGTTTCCGATCAATTAACTAAAAACGCTTAGGCCTAGGAACTTCAAACTTTGTATGATGATTGGTCGTGACCAGCAGATGACCCCTATTGAGTTTTGGGTCAAGGGGTCAAAGGTTAAGGTCATGACCAGTAGATACTTGATAACCCTTATTAATTGTTTGATCACTGGGTCAGAAGTCATGCATAATAACCTTATCACATGACTAATTGGCTGCAGGTAGGGGGCATACATGTTTTACAAACATATCTTGTTATTTTCTGCTTTTAAACAGGTATATAAAAATGTAGTCTGCCATATTTTGCACAATACATATCTAGTTTTCTCAGGATTGTAATTACGTATTCAGGGGCATTTGTAGCCAAGTGGTTAAAGTCTTTTACTTCAAACCACTTGCCCCTCACCACTGTGGGTTGAAATCTTAACAGCGACTTTGGATTCTTTGATGTATGGAAGATATCCAGCTAGCTTACGGAATGCCGGTGGTTTTACTCGGGTGACTGTTCATGCCTGAAATAATGCATAGAAATCCACCAATAAAGCTAAGCTGTACTGTGTTGGTATGACCCAACCAAAAAAACAAACAAATATATTTATTTATTCACTTTTTAAACTATGGATATATTTTTCATTAAATGTTTATTTTACTCATCTGGAGCTGTCACTATAACTGATTGGCTGCCGCGACAGCGAGTATTTGTGGGTGTGACTAATCAGTGATGTAAAACTGTCTGTTATAAACCTTGAGCTAAAAATAGCATGCAGTGTTAACCTGAAGAGAGAATGATATTGAAATATCAAGTGATGATGATACTGAAGCAACAAGTACCCAGTATCAAAATTTAATTTGAGCAGAACACAAATATCCACTGAGACTAAGTGAGTAAACTAAGATGTTTGCGAAAAAGGGAATTCCTGAAGAGAATGCAAACTTGTCAACACATGAACAAAATGGATCATCTGAACTGGCTAATAAAAATGTTTGTTTCCACTGTCTTAATTCCCCCTGTGTGTCTGCAAGTCCTCAGGCCTGGTTAGGAGATGGTCGCTCAGCAAGACCAGGAAATAACTTGATACGAAAAAAACTTTGTAGGAAATACTGGACTATGCTCGACAGAAGTGGACTTTGGAGCAATAGTGTATATTTAGAAAGAAAGGAGAGACTTATGCTTGCAGCACATGTTGAACTGACTGTAAGAGAAGTCATGCCTGACTGTGTTCTTCATCAAGTCGGACAATTATATCCAAATCCAAAGGATGTGCCTTACATGGGACATTTCTTTTAAGAACAACTTGCTAAAAATGTTCTTGACAGGAATTTAAAATATTTTTAAACTGTTAATGTATAAAAAAAATTATACATAATAATTATGCAACATTTAGTTTGATTAACATTTGTGAAATGTAAATTTTGACTAAAAGATATTTACAACAAAATATAGTGTAAATGAAATATACCTGGAAGTTACTTTCACTGTTTTCATGAAGTTTAAACCATTTAAATACAAGTAAAATCAGTACTTTAGAATTAAAAAAAATCATTGATTAATGGATTTTTGTAAATTTGTTGTATATAAATACTCTTTGATAAAGCAAGGTCAGTAAAAGTTATTGTTTTTTCTTATCATGTATTCAGCATTCCAATGTGTCGTCTGCCTGAAATATATATTGTCTGCTGCAAATTTCTCACTGAAATAAACACTGCCACGTGCTTCTGTTTACTACTGAAGGTTCATGACCTGTAATGATCACATGGCTCCTCCCAGGGAAATTCAAATTTCAAAGCAAGTATTTTTTTCCAGAAACGCCCTTAACAAAGTTTTATTTTGAATAATTTTGGTCAATCTTTCTCAAGAATATCTATGCCTACATACATGCCAAGTGTTGTTTTAATGCATGTGGTAATTAATCTTAAATCTTTGAAAAAGGGTCCCTGAAGTGAAGCATGCATAAAATTAATAAGAAACCTGCCCTAGCGCCATCTGCTGGCTTTTATAGTCCAGTTGGGCCTTTAAGCAATATTTCAGATACAGAAGACGAACAATAGTAAAATCAATTTATTTACTTGATAGACAAAACTTTTCATGACAATTATTATAGATCTTAATGAAGGTTCTGTAGAACTGAAACCGATAGAAAATAAATAAACTAAACCAGCTATGGTGTTAATGTGTTGTACTTCTCCAGTTTCTTCTTATTTTGATGACTATCATTTGTGTAATTGGGTATTGATGTATGTTCAAAAACTGTATTGACATTTAATAATTAAAGAGCAAAGACAAAGGCTAATAAATTCAAAGGTAGATTCACTCGTTGCTTGTTCTATTGAAGTCATTGGTTGCTATGAAAATTTATAGTTTGCTATGAAAATTCAATTCAAATTTTAGCTCAATCAAGAGACCCCTAAAAGGGGCAAATCAAATTAATATGAGCAAACTTGATAAAAGACTACCTAAGAATGCTACAGACAAAATTTGGTGATCATCCATCAATTAGTTCTGTAGAAGCAGATGTTTTAAGATATTTTTAGCTTTAGCGGCTCCTAAAAGCAGCCAATCAAATTTATTTGAGCAAGTTTGATAAAGGACTACCCAAGAATGCTACAGACAAAGTTTGGTGATATCCATCCATTAGTTCTGTAGAAGAAGATGTCTAAAGGTGTTTACTATTTTTAGCCCTAGAGACCCCTAAAAGGGACCAATCAAATTAATATGAGCAAACTTGATAAGACTACCCAAGAATGCTTCCGACAAAGTTTGGTGACCATCCATCCATTAGTTCTGTAGAAGAAGATGTCTAAAGGTTTTTACTATTTTTAGCCCTAGAGACCCCTAAAAGGGGCCAATCAAATTAATATGAGCAAATTTGATAAAAGACTACCCAAGAATGCTACAAAGTTTGGTGATCATCCATCAATTAGTTCTGTAGAAGGTGTCTAAAGGTTTTCTATTTTCAGCTCTCTTGACCCCTAAAAGGGGCCAATTGAAATGATATGAGCAAATTTAGGTGTGACTGTCACAGGAAGCTACAGACCAAATTTGATGTAAATCTGTCCAGAGAAGAAAATGATTGTTGACGCATGATGATTGACCATCCCCCTTTGATACTAATAGCTCACCCTGAACCTATGGCTCTGTTGAGGTAAAAATAAGAAGTGCAGATTACTGGTTCTTGTGCACTGCACTTCTTAATGAGATCTATCATCCTATGAGGTTTCAAGTTCATGGCTTTTAAAGTTTAGTTGAAATGGCCAGGACAAAAATAAAGTATGACAATGAACAAAGGGCAATAACTCAAAAATTAAGAAGTGCAGAGTAATGATTCTTGTGCACTGCACTTTGGGTCATTGGAAGAAGCATGCATACCAAGTCTGGAGTCAAATCCAACTTATAATGACTTGAGTTATGCTCTGGGCATGCCTATGGGGACGCCACTGCCAACAAAAGTAACCCCTATATGTCACCTTTTTCAAGGAGACACAAAAATTACTGTGCACTGTGTGGTGCCAAAATGTTTTATCCGTTCCGTTTTGCAAAGTGTGAATAGCCAGATTTTCATGCTTTACATATTGTAGTTATTTGTGAAGATGTTTGCAACAAAGAAGATTTAGTAATTTACTTTTTATTTAGATAAATATTTTCTTGATATAGTAAAACATCATAAATTCAAATTAAGAAAAGGTTTGACAAAATTAACTGGAAGCAGAGTGACCATTGCACATAAACAAGAGGGCTGTAGTGGCCTTTACATGGCTCACCTGAATATTAAGGCTCTTAATTATTGACAAGGAACCATTAATATCATTTAACTATGAATGAAAAGCAGAGAATTATGAATGAAAAGCAGAGAATGTCTTAATTTCAAACTGAAGTCATAACATTTGTATCTGCAAGGTTTTTGCATATTTGATCTGTGTGACCTAGTTTTTGACCCCAGATGACCCATATTCGAATTTGACCTAAAAATCATCCAATCTTTCTCACCCATTGCCAGGAAATTTAGACTGAAACAGTAGCCTCTTTAGTGATAACAAGGTTTTTCGAAATTTGGGCTGTGTGACCTAGTTTTTGACCCCAAGTGACCAATATTCAAAATTGGCCTATAAATCATCAGATCAATTTGTGACCAATTAGCAGGATATTTGACCAAAACAGTAGCCTCTTGAGTGTTAACAAGGTTATCCCATACATGTATTTAGACTGTGTGACTTAGTTTTTTACCCCAGATGTCCAATCTTAAATAATCTTAACAACTTTCCTGTTTGGCCTCTAGAGTGTTATATCTAGTCTGTGACCTTGTTTTTGATTCCATAAGACTTATATTCGAATTTGACCTAAAAATTATCCAAACAATCTTTCTGACCTATTTCCAGGATATTTTGACTGAAACAGTAGCCTCTAGAGTTAACATGATTTTTCTTCTTTTGGCTGTGATTAAGTTTTTCATCTGAGATGAACAAACTCATCCGTGCAATTACAACAAATACCCTGACCAACTTTTTTGACAATTGAAGTTAAAATGTGATCTCAACAGTGTTAATGAACTAAATGTGGAAGAAACAATTCAAAAAGCTCACACTCAGCCAGCTCACGTTAGCTAAAAAAACAATATAGTTAGTAAAACAGATGATAATGATAATATATAACATCCCTTCTGAGCACATGAAACTTATCACCCTCAATATCAATATGTAGGGAATTGTTCTTGTTTATCCAAGTTGCAAATCATCTTTCAATTAGCTGTTGGAAATGTCTAGAAAGGTTTATCATGGAAACATTTGATTACAGTAGAATCCAGTATCATCACAGCTTCACTGTTCTACTTTCCTTGAGGAATTATAATGCAATAAGATATAATGCAATCAATCCATTTAAAACTTCCATAGCTTTCTCATTGACTAATCTTTCCATTGCAATGGAGCAGAATTGTCTCTCATTTATAACCCTCTATAAACAGTTAACACTTGTAAAGGTAGAATATCAATAATTCCTTCCCCTTCATTTGCAGGATAACCAATCCAGTGGCATGTAGTGTGTTGTTTGGCCAAGAATTCTGTGCTTCTAGAAAGAATTCCAGGCGTATCAGTATGGAGTTGAGAGGATTGATTCAAGGTCATGGGTTCGAGCCAACTGACGGTAACTCCTGGCAAATACATGCATCACCCTAGCAAAAGTCCTATCATCAAAACATGACCGAGCTGTATTGCTTTTATCAAAAGGTTCTGTGAAAAAAATAAAAGAATTATGTAAACACAGTATCATTTTTTATCACAGAATAACTACATGAAAATGAAGAATACAAAATGAACAAAGATTGGAGTAAAATAATACATTGTTTCTCCATCATACGGTATTGAAATAAAACCTTCATTTGAAGCTGCTTTTCATTTACACAGATATGCACAATTTTTAGTTTTAATGATTTTTCAGTTTATTCTGGGTGGATCGATAGATGACTAGTCATTCTAGATTCCTGACAAACATGGCTTGTTCTCTGTAATTAAAACTAGCTTGCCCTAATTTGTTGAGTTTTAGATGTCTAAAAAGAAATTTTATGGATATTTCAATTGTGATGGCACCATTATATATATTTCTATCTATTCTGATGGCATAACCTGTTAACATCTCCAATAAATAAAAAATATTCAATTGAATTAATATATTTGCAGTGAAAACAAACAAATATGAACAGTTACACTGGCAAATAAAATGTGTGTGACTGGCAAAGAAAAGTAAAATTCAATTGAATTAATCCAGTAAACTCCGCTTATAACGAACTCACTGGGACATTCAAAACCTGTTCCTTATATCCGGAGTTCCTTGTAAGCATATAGCGAATTAGTTCCTTGTATCAGGAGTTTTTATAGCGAACAGATTTACATATAACGAACTGATTGTTTACCATTGTCCGCCATTTTTGAAGAGCATTTGATTAAGAAATAGAAATATTAGTCATTTATTTATATTTTAGACACAATACCCAAGAGCGTACTTTTTGGAATTTGAAAATCATTGCTTTTTCAGTTTTTTCAGTTTTAGTTTTACTCCCTATATTAATTTCACATAAAATATAATATTTTGTTACTAAACTCTTTTCGTTTTCTTTCCATGATTAAGAATAAACAAGATTTCGATTTTTCCTTCCTTTTATATTGAATATCTTCTATTATAATTTAAAGGTGACTTTTACTAATGTAAGATATAGATTTCTTTTCATTTAAATCAAGCGTACTTTGCAGTTTGCAATGGATCATGCTTGCAAGCATGCATGATTATGTTGAAAACCGATTATAAATTATTATAATTATTTTACTCAAGCAAAACTATTGAAGAAAATAAATAAATAACCGTTTTATCTTGGTGAAAAGAGCTCATGCTAAAAATATCCTAAATAGAAAACTATACAAATTCATTTGAATAGATGTATTGAAGTGCATACAACGATAAACGGTACATTCGCCCGAATTTTAATCCGTGCGTTGAAAATGCGGGATCTATTTACGGATGGTATAGCCAATATTTTGGAGTTCGTTATAAAAGTGTAATTTTCTGTACTATTAACTAAATTGGGACTAAGAAATGAGTTCCTTATAAGCGATAATTCCTTATAACCATGTTCGCTATAACAATATATTTTTATATTAAATAAAGAAGGGCAAAATTCGGGCCAAAAAAAATTGTTCCCTATAACCGGAAGTTCGCTGTAACCGTGTTCGCTATAAGTGAAGTTTACTGTATATTTGCAGTGAAAAAACAAATATGAACAGTTACACTGGCAAATAAAATGTGTGTGACTGGCAAAGAAAAGTAAAATAGATTTAAATTCAAGTAATAATTTACTTGTGACATTGATGACTGATTTGCGGTAATTATCACCATAATTCTACTGCTTGATTCAGGCAGTAACAGCTATTTTTGCATATTCTGACATCTTTTAGGTAATTTATATGGATTGGAAGTGCTGTTTGTAATGTGTAAATAACTATCTTTGTTCACTTCACAATATTTAACTTTTAAATATGTTTTCAAAATTTTTAATGAACGTAAGCATGAATCATGCGGTATGCTACTTTAACTCTTATAATGTGCATGTTATAAATGAGATCAATTATTTTAGTTCACATGCTATTGTTTCCATCATAAGATCTAAGACTACAAACAGGTTTGTCATTAAGAGGCACTGTAGGCCAAAATGACTACCTAAAATGCCTCAAAACTATGTTGTATGTGATACAAATAATCACTTAAAATTCAAAATGGACTTCTCAGAAAATTTTTATTGACAACGCAGCACAAACCTTCGATTTTTAGACATTTCCACATGTTCTTCTCTGATAGTGGTGTCCATGATTGTACCAAATGTAATGGTAGTTTAGTTCCCTGTCTCACACTTATCACATCATCATCAAAACTAAAATGTTAACAATTTAATACTAAAGAAAGCATTTATATTACTTCTATATAAATCTAACTTGTACATGGTATGACTGTATGCAGTATGACAGATGCCACTTAGTTTAAACATATTAATTTAAGCTTGATTGCAAAACAAGGTGTTGCAACTTGTATTTATCACTTTCAAGTCCCCTTCCTGGAACTAACCAGTACTGGTGTCATATCAGGAATCATAATTGTGACCAAGTAGGGCTCCAACTCATGATCCATCAGTTGAGAGGCAGACACCTTAACGACTAAGCCACTGCTCCCCTTAATGCCACTGTCAATATTATACTCACACCTAGGATAATTATCAGTAACAGTTTCTTAATCTGTAATTTATGTATGTTATAATGCCAATATCATGATGCAGAAGCCCCAACTACTTTAATTTTGATAGGTTTTGTGTATTTTTCATAAAAAAAGTTTAAACTAGTAAAATATAATTTTTCTATAAAAACTGTGTTATATACCATCCTAACCCCACCCCACCCCTTACCTTCTCAGGGTATAAAAAGAAATTTATTCAACACTGGGATGTATTTTTCATGAAAAAAGTAAGAATAGTTCACCTGAATTCCACACTGTAATATTTGAGCATACCCAGGAACAGATCACCGAGACTTTGAGAGTTTTTACTCTTAAACTTGATTCTTACATTCATTTTGAGGTTTCTTATATCATCTCCATAGTCAAATAAATCCTGTAATATACAAACATTAAAGTCATGTGTATTTTAAGCAACTTTTACTGAAAAACAACAGCAAAATACCTCCATCTGCATGCCTGGTTTTAAGTCAACCTGTCACTGGTGAAATCATTTATTTACATTAAAGCTTTTTCTGATGTAAGATCACCACAAGATACAATACTAGTCCTACTATTGAGCTTAGCGGAAAGATCTAAACTTTTATGTAGCACAAAGTACTAAATTCTGTAGAGGTCAGTTGCATCCTCTTAGGTATGAGCTAAGATTTATAAATTGTTCAATTTCAACAGTATTCTCTTAAACACATTATGACAAACAGCTTAAGAAAATAAGATCGTCTTAATATCTGGTATTTAACATTCCAGTTCAATAAAATAAAAAAAATTTAAAAAATCATTGTGTATTGGTATGTTACATGCTTATATAGAAGGTTAAATGTGTGTTTTCCCAATAAAAACAATAAAAAATTCAATTTTGTAATCAGAATTACATTACATGATACTTACAGGGTACAATTTCTGTATGGATTCTAACACTGGTGGATTGCAACCATCTGAAAACAAAATATGCAACTTAATATCCATATATCATTTTACACAGGATGAATTTTGATTTACACAAATATCTTTATTAGAACTACACAAATGAACAAGTTTGTGAAAAATTATATAGAGGATATTTGTTTGTTTTGTATGCAAGATCGAAATATATTTCACAGACTGGAGGACCAGATACAATATTTTCATGAGGGATTACTGCATATATTACATACACAAATACAACAAACAGAAAATCTGTATTTTATACAAGTGTGATCCTGCTCGACATTATGGGAGTACATTGGGTTTGAATGTATAGATTAAATATGAGGAGGTAAACAGTAACACATTCATTGTAAGAGTATCTTGATCTGTAATTCATGGACTTTATGTCTAGAATTTAACATACATGACATTTCCATGTCTTATGACAATCTGGTCTCAAAAAATCCACAAAAGTCAAATACAAGTTCTCCATCATGATATTCTTATTATAACCCTATCCTTATCCTGACAGTTTAGACCCTTATTATCCTGCTTATCGCATAACTCAACAATACATGTATAATACAAGAATTTTAGTGATACTTACATTGTAGATAGTGTAACACCATCAAGCAGAGAGAGTAGCTAGATATAGTTTTCTTTGAAGCATCATTTATGTCATGGAACCTTGCCCATCTCTTGGTAAACAGAACTAGTGGCCGTACTCTCCAATCCACTAAAACATTGAACAAAATTGACGCAGACATCAATACATGTTGTTTTTCTGAATTTTACGCCAAGTTTACTACATTTTTGATCATAACTTGGCAGTCAATCCACCTCACCAGCTTTCCTGGATAACTAACCAGTAACCAATTACTTCTCTTGTCACAGTTGTCTTATCATAGTCCAACTTATAAAGTGACACTGTTGAAAGCAACTAATGTAAAAATTATCTTCACTGACTTCAATAACAGCCAGTATAGTAAAGTATAAGCCATCATGCACTTATTTAACGGATACCATACATTATTGAGTACAATACTAATTTCTATTGGATAAGGGCTCAGCTTTCAAATCTAAAATGGACAAGATACTAAAAACTTTGTTATTTTGAGTTCAAAATAGATTTGAAAATGAAAACTAGGCGAGGATGAGTACAATATGGATTTGATATTGATATTTTGGACTTATTACTTGGGAAATGATTACAATAATTAATTGATAAATAGTGGATATTGAATGAGTATAGATTTAACACTAAATTTATTGAATGTGTGAATAAAATTGCATTATGCTAGCATCCGTAAAGAGCATAATATTGTTTAAGTCAGCATGTTCAATAAATTCAGCATTAAATCAACATGAATATATAATATTCTTTTTATCACATATCCAAGATTATAACGGTTTACAGGTAAAGAGTCATTTTTCATTGTGTAACACTATGCTATGTTTGTATGTAACGCAAATGCTGTCACAACAAATTGTTATTACACTAGTGTAATATCTGATTATTTACATGTACATGACTTTATTACACTGAAAACTGCTGTAATACATATGGAATATGCAACATCTCACACAAGTGCTTACATTTACCCAAGGAGTATACTATCCTCAACTTGTACCCGAATCCATGATCCCCACAACAAGAAAACTACAACAATACTTTAGAGATGTAGAATGGTTACACTTACTTGCTGCGTAATATCGGAGCAGATGTGTATTGCGTATACCAACTGAGTTATTTATGTTCAAATCACACTCTACACCACTACAAAACAAAACAACAAATTAAACATCAGCTGAATTTCTTATATATAAATCTGTGAATTTCTTTCCTTGTATGCATTAATTTCTTGTATCTTTGAATCTAAAAAAAATCCTTTCCAAAATTTAACCATAATGCAAACCTTTCACAGAGACATAATTTAATTTTATAAGAAAGTTAGTTTATAAGAAAATTAGTAAGTTCATTAGAAACATTAGACCATCTTTTATTTATTTATACATGTATATATTGTGGTTCTTTTTATTTTATCTTTATGTTTAAATACATGTACTTACAGGTAAAAATCATGCCATACCACTTGTCTATTAAATCAAATGCACTTTTGAGTAAAAATCTTATCATATCAACATTCAATTGCAAAATTTTTATCACAATATCCCTAAACTGAACATGGACGATCAACTTTTCAAGATTGGTGATGGCCGAATTTCTACCATTCAAGATATGATATCATAATTAATATTAACATAATTTCTGCCATTCTGACTGGTAGAAGAAGCCCTCCAAAGATCTTTACATTCATTATTCTGTCAGTAAAGGACAATGCATGCAAGAAATTATCACCCATAACAAAAACTTACACATACACACAGTATCCAAACTGCTCTCCAATATTTCCAAGTTTTCTATGTATGTAAATGTATATTAATAGATACCAATCCTACATGCATTGTTGCAAAATAATGCACAGTTTGAGTTTAAATGTGTAGGAATATAATCACGAAGGGATTAATTACAAAGCAATTGAACAAAAAGCCATACATTATTATAATATAATACATAAAAAATGAATATCTATTTCCATTCTAAGATGCAAATAAAATAAAAGAATTGATAACATGTTGAACTACATTGACATAGAAGTAATTTTCCTGACATCACTTGGTTTATGGACATCATACATGTATCTGACGTCATATGACGTGTAAGCATTCCTTTTTTATGCTGTGCATATTTCATGTAATAATGCACTAGACTGTGCTATCTGTAAAGGTGTTAGGAATTATTGTAAATTAATTGGTTTAACAGAAACAATCATGTTACAATGACAAAGTAATACACTGTCCAGTTTGCTATTTCTTACTTTTCATAATCTTCAAACTTGAGTATGGGAACTCTTGCTCTGATCACTTGTGATTTTCTAACAAATCCTGGAAAAATAAAAATAAATGCATTTCACATTAATCAATGTATCACTGACTTGCCTAAATACAGTCACGAACTAAGTAGAAAGAGGTAAAAAATTCTATAAAAGTAAATTACAATCAAGGGTCTTAATCAGTTACTATCAACTGTCACCCTTATCAAATCTGTAAAAGTTTCAAGTGAAAGCCTTGAAGTTCATACTGTGCAAAAGTTTTGTGCTCTATCAAGTCAAAAGCATTCGACAAGTGTGTATGCATTCACTACAATGTATAGTAATTAACTTACTGCATCTACGAAGACATTTCTGTATTGCCATCAATATCTCTATTGCCTCCCTTTTTCCATCAATCTACATGAAGAAAAGTGTGATAGATTTGCTAATGGTAATATGATAGGTTACTAACATAATCAACTCTTACTACATTAAATACTTTAATAGACTTATTTATCTTTAATTCTGGACAAAACCATTTATTATCATTTATCAGTGCAGACCATGATCAGGTGTCATGGATGTGTCGGCTAATCTTGGTCTGCAATTGTTGTATGTGTATGTTCAATTGCCACCAGCTGGCTAAGAGTTAACTTTAAGAACTGGTAAAAGCAGTGGAAATTAACCCCAGGTATGTGTTTTATTTTGAAACTAATCAACATGATGATTAAGGAAAAATATGTATTACATGTATATCTTTTTTTATAAAAATAGTAATTTTCTTATGTCTGAATAAGAAAACAATAATAGCTTCACTTAATTAAATGCATGCTATTCAGTGTTTCTTTTCTAGGAGATTCCAGCTAAGATGCTATCAAAAAAGAAATGTAATATAGATACAACAACTAGCTACTGGTGGGGACAAGATTCTAGGACTTGATCCTGCAGTAGCTAGTTCTTTAATATGTAAGGTGTAAAGCATTGCTTTTTAAGCCACAGAAGAAAGATAATTGTTAATAATTTAGCTGGAGTAGCCAGGTATCAAACAAGCAATCGTTGTAATATGACATGAATATTAAAATGAAACTTACTGGCTGTTGACTCAACATCAGACATAGATCCATATCACTAGTTCGTGTAGCAAAACCACTCATAGATGATCCTACCATATATAGACCACTGTCTGAAAATATAAACACACGTTCTAGCAATTAAGAGTGCATCGATACTGACAAAACCCTATGTGTTATACTGTGATACTATACAGCCAAGCCATATTGTAATGCATTAAGGCCATCCATAAAAAATTGTTTGTTTGTAGTGCTCCGACCGACCCATGAAAATGGCCCCGAATTTTTACACCTTCGAGGATTTTTTTTTTTTTTTAGATCATCATTATGTACCCATTCTGTTAAAAAGGACTTTCTCCAATAACTTTTCAGAAAAATTTTGAACTGAGAAGTAGAAGAGTAAAAGAATTTTATTCTAAAACCAAAATAAACGCACGCTTTTCATCGATATTTTGCCAAACTTCGACCCCGAACATCGGCGATTTCACATTCGCCAGAAATCTTAAAATTTCGCAAAGGGCATAAAAATTCTCAGTTTCCAAGCCAAACATGTGAATGAATTGTTCTTTTGTTAATTATTTAACATTAAATCTTATAAAAGTCGATTCCCTTTCGAAGATATTAGCTAAAATAATTGCCGATCAGATGAATCTCTTACACACCACACTGTGTGAAGCTGTACTCGATTTTCCTATTCATTCCACTACTGTAAATACTGCATATATATATACGTACACGGTAATGATGCCCTATTAAACCAGACTAAAATTCGATTTATTTTTGGTATAAAAGTGAAAAAAAAACGATTGCAACTTTGTTATGTGAAAGTGGACAGAAATGGTACCCTCATGAAAGTTTTTTTACATGAGTTGACATATCTAACTTGAATACAATTTGATTTTTTTGGGGTATAAAAGTGAAAAAAAAGATTGCAACCTTTCTTCAAAGTTAATATACATACATCAATGAATGTTAAAATGGATTACCCTCCGTAACCATAGGCCACCACTGTATACATATTTTTTTACACAAAATAATACTAGAAGAACTTTATAGTTGACATAAATTAATTTAAATCATTTAGCCATTCAGGATTGTCAAAAAATGAGGTTACACTAAAACTTGTTGAAAAAACAAGTTGATTGATAAAATTTTCGCGGGAAAGGCTCGCATAATATAATTTTATTCAACTCGTGCAATAAATTCAGTATTTAACTTACACTCATTCAATATCCTCTATTTATTAAATAATAAATAAAGGTTTTGTATAGCTGAATGAATTGAAATCACCATTCCTTATGCATAGTTGTATTGGCTGATGCTTAACTCAGATATCTGCATACCAGTATATTGTTGCACCAATGCAATATCTTTACACTTTCACATAGCATGCTAAAGATAAGTTTTTGAAAAAAAAATACTTAAAGGGCACACCGCGGGAAAAAAATGCAATTTGTAACAGTAAATGCACTTTCAGGCAATAAAAAAACTTTGTGCGAGTAAGTGCTATGTGATAGTGTGTGTACTTTGTGACAAAACATGGCACATGACATAGAGGGCCTTTTACGATAGTATGAGTTTTGTGACAGCTAAGCCCATATTGTGCAAGGAAGTAAATTGATCTTTCAAAATATGAATAAAAGGATTAAATACTTACATGGAAAGACATCTTTAAAGATGACATACAAAGCATCACGTAAATCTACTTTGGCCTTGTAAATAGCATCTGTCTGTCTATATGCTTCAAAATAACGCCATATACCCTCGGTTATCTATGGGAAAAATCAAAGCACAATTAAATTTTTGTAGAAAATAGCACCATATTTTTATAACATAAAATATAAAATCTGTTGCAAAGCGAACAAAAATTAATGATTTAATTAATTAACGTTTACCTCTAAGACTGTAAATATTTAACAGCAAGTTATGGTATTTACCTTATCATTCATTTTATCCTTCACAGACACAGGTATTTTCACTGGTTCAGATTTCCTTTTTTTCCCAGTATATTCATAGTCATCATATTCCTCCGAGTTTGACTGGCTGTAAGATCTCCTGTAATATATTACAATCATTAAATCTATAACCATTTTGAAATCTAGCTAGAACTAGACATATCACTATAGGCAATAGATGCTCCTCTATCAACCTTAACCTTTGTCAAGGTTTAAAGGCTGTATTTAAAAAAATGTTCAAATCTATTTCAAGCACCAGTCTCACTGCCCTTGGACCTAATAACCCTTCAATTCCATCACAAATTAAAGTACCACCATATCTTTCACTAGGCACAAGAATACTTAAAACTTTACCAATAATTTCTAAAATTAAAGACTGTACATTTTGGCCGTGAAAGTTATTTTTACATACCTTAATAATGACCTTGTAAGGGAAGTCTTTTCAACTGCCCTTGAATGCAAGTCTAAAGGAAAAAATATGTGATATGCAAAAATGTTCAAATCTTTCACCTTTATTAACTTACAATATAAAATACATTTAAATATCAACTTGAAACATTTAATCTATACATGTCTTTATCAGACAATAACAAACTTTTGAGATCCCCTGTTGTATACTGCGGCACTATTACTGTTATTGTTGTTTGTATTATGATAAATATTTCTCTCAGGAAAATTTCGGCTTGGCTGCTGATCCCACTGAGGTACCCGAGTGTACCCTGAAAAACAAAACAAAACATGATTCCACACAAGACAATAAAATGTATGGTCAGTTTATAAAACATAATTTGTCATGTAAATATGATTTAACTACACAAATTGTCAATAAGAAGTTAAGACATCACAGTATTGTTGCCTTAAGGAGTAATATCATAGAAGTTAGGAAATAACCACTGAATATTTTGCAGAAGAATAGTTTCAAACAATATTTTAATTAATTTATTTTTTTGTTGGCTTTTCTGTTGCACCAGCACAGAATAAGTCATATGGCAGCTTTCAAGCTTTACTGGTAAAGGAAGACCTCAGGTGCCCTTCCATGCATTATTTCAGGCATGAACAGGCACCTAAATAGAACCTGGGATGTTCCGTAAGCTAGCCTGATAACTTCCTCACATGAAGGAATCCGAAGTCCCTGTTGGAATTTGAACCCACAGCGGTGAAGGGCAAGTGGTTTGAAGTCAACAACATTAACCAATCGGACACGAATGCCCCCTGTAATTTAATTAAACCTCTAGGAGTATTTTGACAAGTCTGTGTAGAACATACCAAAAGCCGGCTGATGTATTACAGGAACCATCGGATACACCATCTGTGGAACAGCTGGGGCTAAAAAGTTCTCTACAACATTACTGGAATAAGGAACATTCCTGACAGGTCTATAACCACTTGACTTCCTTTGATACATAGCTTCAGTATACTACTTCAGTAACTGGACCTAAACATGAAGAATGAGAGAAAAAAAAATTATATTAGAATTGTGTAATATTTAATTTGTAAAATATAAATAACTAATAATATTTGATGATGCTATAAATTAATGACTGATGCAATTTATGATCATGAAATAGTCATTTAAAAGTTAAGAGATATGCAACTCATGTAACAGATGGCTTTACATAAGAACTTCTTTTATATAAGGCCATCCTTAATAATATATATGTTTGCTATTGCCGACCCAGAGTTATAAGAAGTGGGTCGGTAGGTAGGCTTTTTTTTTTTTTTTTTTTTTGATATATGATTTTTACTGAACGCAAGTTAATACACTTAGTACGTTGTAGCAGATTGTGGAAATTTGGACTATGTACACTATCATCATCGGCGACGGCAAAACTTACATGTAAAAGACTGTCAAAACCAATAAAAAACATGTTCACTAGTAATCATAACATGAAATAAAAAAAATGACTATGTGGACATAAATTCAAGCATGGTCAAATTACCGATGTGATAAACTTCTCCTGCGTAAATATTCCCATACGAACTGGAAAAATTATAGTGGATCACCAGGACATATCGTTCTATCGGGTGATCATTACTCAATTTATTACACGTCTGTAAAAAATAACACACGCAAGATTTGTCTCCTATAATATCTGAATGGTGGATATTTGCACCCCTGTTTTAAAAATGTTAAAATATTTCATTGTTAGTTACCGAAAATTATCGCCGATTGTTGAAATTCCATAGCGCTAAAAGACACAAAAACACTCGCGCAAAAAGTAGCATCCATAAATAAAAGGAATATAATGTTTCCATTGTTAAATAATAAATACAAAATTTACACACGAAATGACCTCTGACAAATGACTGGTCGGCTCTTCTGAAGAATCTGTGAATCTTTGATGTTTACACACCTGTAGTTGTTGCCGAATCATCAAAGAAGTGCCGACACTCAACTGACTTCCACCTCATTTTTATATATCAGAAAAAAACTGTCATTTCTTTTTGTCAAGGAATGATTACACATGTTTAATTATTGCTCAAGTAAAAAAAAATGTTGGATATTTATTGTGTCAATATTATTGACATATTATTAATCGGAAGTTCATTTTGACATGGAGTTTAATTAGACGTATGTATATTTGTGATTTTGATTGTGATATGTTATTTACATTTTTACGATCTTGAAGATATTGTGCAATACTTGTGTCTTCTATCAAAGCAACAATGCATATGAAAGGACCACAGCTTCCAAAAATTTATTTTTTCGGTCAATTTTATGACAGAATCCCCGCTGCTACCAGAAATGTTTCATTGCATGGACTAAGTATTTAATCTGTGTCAGCAGTCATCAACAAACGAACATGTACTCCAAAGCACATTAAAATTACCACATGGTAAACTAGTGACCATATAAATGCTTTACAAATATTCATTAATTGAACAAACATTATTTTTAATCCCGTTTTGATACGTTCTATTATTAGTTAATTCAACTTAATTGCCTCGCGCATGCAGTACTGCGTGACGTAAGGAAAATATCCTTCCCTGGTTGGTTGCTATTTATGTAAATACTTTAAATAGTAATGCACAGAATGCCCTCATGAATTATCACTCGTTACTTTACATATTAAATGTGTGATTTTCCTCCGATTTTATTATTGTTTTCGAGGGAATTTTTTAGGTCGAATGCCCTGGCTGATTTGGCGGAAATAAAAAAAAATCTGATTTTTTTAAGCTGAAAAAAACTTTTGAGTCGGGGCATTTTCGGTGGGTCGGCCGGCAATAGCAAACAGATAATTTTTTAAGAGTGGCCTAACATGAAATTATGCTTTTATCAACTATACATGCATATTAAATTGCATTTTTTTATGTTGACTAATTCATAAGCATCATAAGAATGTTAAGCTTTTAATTTTGCTGACAAATTGTCACTAAAATGTGTACAATTGCCCAGTTCAATAAATTTGACAGTAGACCATATAGCATTTTTCAAACCAAAAGTTGCATTGATCTGGTAAATACAAAATATAGGAAAAATTACTGCTGTTACAAAGTAATGTTAACTTCATCAGCAAATTTGGGTCAAAATTTTAGGATATTCGCAACTTGATTTTTCATTTTTCGTTTCTTTTTTTGACATTTGGGCTAATAAAATATTCCTTATCATTTTCCTTTCTTATTCTTTTTAAATGTTCCATATCTTTAAATTAATTCACCTTAATAAGTATCTCTATACATGATAAATATTCTTTCTAGCCTTTAACCTGCTAGAAACGGAAGTGATCAACCTTTGTCACTCAGTATAAAGTCAGACCATCCTGTATGTCTATGCTGCCTGACCAGGCTGTATACTGTTAGCTTACTATCTTATAAAAGTTATATGCATGTTTTTACTGTCAAATATGGTAAGACAGATTCAAGGTGAAAAATATTCAAACATGGCAAGTGTCTCATAAATGTTGCTAAATTAATTGCGATTCAGAGTCAACTTGTCCCATAGTCAACTCGTCCTGTGGTCAACTCTTCATCTTTTTGGTCAACTCGTCCCGTGGACAACTCGTCCCATGGTCAACTCGTCCCTAATTCGTCCCCTATATTTTATTAATTATTATTATTGTTTTTCATATATTTCACAAAATTTTATAGACTTTTAAAAAACTTTATATAAAATTATTGTTGAATTGGACATTTTTACGGCTATAGATAAGTGAAATATATTTTTTTTGCAAGTAACGAGATGGTTTAAAATTATTCAATATTTTCGCTTTTCCAGTTTACAAAACAATAAAACATTTTATATAAATTAAATGTAGTTGTTAATTAAATATATCATGACATGTGCCCTTTGTTACCAAATTAAACACCTGGTAATTTGATAATAGGATCAAATCAAAATGCTACTTCTGTTTATAGTCTGTGAGAGCATCGCGAAAATACGTTATTTTACAAAATAATAGGAAATGTTAGATATTCAAACCCTTTATTACTGAAACAAAATGGATTGTGCATTTGTGGTTCTTATAATATAAAAACATTTACAACCTTGCAATTAAAATAAGGCTGATAGATCTAATTCAAAATAATGTATCTGTCAAATCTCCACTATTTTTTTCCGCGAAACTGCCTTAAACACACAAAAGAATTATAATTATCGAAAAGACCATTTTGCTTCTTTCAAAGGTTGTAATATTTTCTGGAGATGGAAGATGCACCTCAATTTTCTTTTGATAATGAGAACTTAGAATTAGTACATGATTTTTCCTATCTAGGAATTCAATTCATGGAAAATAGTAAATTTGTTAAAACAAGAAAACGTCTTATTGATCAAGCGAAGATAAAAAAAAAGCTAGAAAATTGTTACTATCTGTAGATCTACAGACCCATTTGTTTAACACAATGATTGTTCCTATTCTTTGTAATGGCTCTGAAGTTTGGGAAATAGAAACTTTAAAGTGTTTTGATAAGTTTCAGCTTAAATTTTACAAAATTATACCTAACCTCAAGCAAAGTACTCCTATGGTTCGATCCTGGGTAACACCATTTTTATTTTTCAGAAACACTATCTCTGCAAATAAAAAGTAGAATTATTACCTATTGGTGTACGTTTTTGAATGGTGAAATTGATAAACTTGTAATATTTTATATAAGACTGCATACTCAGTATATTTTAGATATAGAATTGTATTACCGTGACTTTCATTATTGGTTGAGTCAATCTGTACCTATTCCGTTTAATTTCAAAAGTCTTGTTAAGCTCAGAGATCATTCATCCAAAGTTGGAACAGTGATGTCCAGTCTTTAAGCAAATGTTTAAACTAGCGTTTATATAAATCAGAGTTTGTAATCGAAGATTATTTTAACATACTTCCTTGGCAACTGTCTTCAGCCTTGTTACAACTTAGATGTATGCATCATGAAATACCAATTGAGAAAGGTAGATTCATAAATATTGAGAGAAATTTACGTATGTATACTTTATGTGATGCAAACAAACTGGATGACGAATTTCACTATCTCTTTTATTGTTCACATTTTGTTAATAGTAGACGTAACTTTATTAAATCGTATAGGTACCCTAATGCATTGAAATTTGAAGATCTTATGAATATTGAAAACAAGTCACATGTAAAAAAGAATTGCTTTAGTTTGTAAAGAAATAATTACAAAATGCAAGTAATAAGTATAATGTTGTATTTTAGTGTCCTAGAAATTTTGTTACTGAAGCATAATTTCCGATTATTATTGAGAATCTAGTCATATCTTTTTTATTTTATGGGTACAATATAATTGTAACTCATTCTCATGTTTTATGTATATTTTATGTATATTTATCTATATTTTTCTGTGTTCTGGTTGTTACATGCAATTTTGTATTGTATGTCACATGTTCTTATGAACGATGACAATATTTAATGAAATCTAAATCTAAAATCTTCAGCTTGTTAAAATATAGATGAATGAATCATAAAATGCCTGTAGAGAAAGTAAGATTCCTAAATATAGGGAGAAACTTACGTATATATACTTTATGTGAGTCAAACCAACTGTATGACGAATTTCAATATCTCTTTTATTGTTCACATTTTGTTAATAGTACTGCAGTACAGCACTGTAGACGTAAATTAATTAAAAACATACTATTATAAATATCCTACTGCATTGAAATTTGAAAATCTTATAAATATTAAATCAAATCACATTTAAAAGAAACCTTGCTTTGTTTTGTAAAGAAATAATTACAACATGCAAATAATATTTATAATATTACACATTATTAGTCTCCTAGAAAATTTTGTTAATGAAGCCTATATTTCGGTTAGATTCATGAGTCATCATATAACTTTATTTTATTTTACTGGTACAATATAATTGTCACTCATTCTCCAGTTTATTTTTTTCTGTGGTCCGGTTGTTACATGTTCACAATTTTGTATTTTATGTCACATGTTCTTAATGAACATGACAGTATTGAATAAATCTTGAAAATCTTTAACTATTTTTTGCGACGTATATAAATTATACATGTACATGTATTGTATATACAAGATTTTAGCGTGTTTCAAAGGTCTAAAAATGATAATATAAATCTAAATTTAAGTTAATATATATTTATTAAATGGCTGGTATTTTATAATATAATATAATTATATATAATTATATAAAATAATATAGTTTATATTATAGCCAGACTATGTACAATCTCCCATACTACTCGTAGAATAGTAAATCCTCTCCTGGTCTTACATCCTTAATAATAATGATAATAATTTGATAATAATTCAGTAGGGAAGACAATACGAGTTTATGATTCTCAAATTAAAATATTTTTTGCATATCTTTAAAATACAAATGTATATGTATATTTGTATCAAAACATATTCAATGAATAACCTTCGATAGTTTTTGCCATAGGAAGTAATTTATGATTAATATCTTTGATTGTAACATTAAAGTACCAATGTTAAGTAACAGTAATGGTAGTTGTAAGTTATTCTGAGCATTCTAAGAAAATGTATGATTATTTACAAACTTTACATTAATTAATTTCTTTGAATTAGTCTGGATAAGATCTTGACAAATTATCAACGTTATGTTAAGTATACTCGTATTTTTTTCTTTATGATTATATACTAATTATCAATTTATCACTCAAAGTCCATCGAAGCTGTGGACAAATATCATGAGATTCAAGATTCAAAATATTTTATTTGGTAACGTAAACATGACGTTTCTTGCTACACAACACATATATACAATGATACAATATAACTTGTCAACATGACACAAATTAATAGACAGTTATATTTTTAGCGGAAAATATGATACTTATAGTCAAAACAAGAAAGAAAATGAAATCGAGAAAACAAGGAGGTTGAACTAATGGAGATTTTGTACATTTAATGACTTACAGCTAAATAACAGTCAAAATCAGTCAAATGTTTCATGAAAATATTGAATTATAACACGGACAATTAGTATATTTTTGGTTTATAAAGGTATATACAGTAATAAGCTTATTCAGATATCATATTAACAATACCCTGACGTATTTCAAACGCTTCATATATATATTTACATAATTTAAGTTGCATGTTGCTGTTGGTATTCTGTATTAGTTCAACGAATTTATGGACACTAGGTCTATTATAATAATATTTCTTTAAGTAGTGTTTACGTATATCATTATAAGCATTACAAATACAAACAAAATGAAATTCGTCCTCTATATCACGTGAGTTACAAATAAGACAATATCTCTCACTACGTTCAGTTCTACAATTACCATACCGTCCAGTTTCTATTCTAAGTTGGTGTGAAGACAATCTTAATTTTGTAAAAGCAATCCTAAATTTCTTAGGAATTTTATCAAGATACAGTGAGTAATCAAATGACGTCTTAAAAAGTCTATATGTGCCTAGGCTTGGGCTAGTTGTTACATTATGATACCATGACTGGATGAATTGATCAATAAGAGTTTGCTTAAATAATAAGTGTACATTTTTAAGGTTATAAATACTTGGATTATACCATATATATGACAAACCTGCATTATCTAACAATGATTTCACATTAGACAACCAGTTATTTTTTCCTCTATTAATATTACAAAATCCGGCCTGGATTAAAATCTAGAAAAAGGGTGAACCCTCGGAAGCAATGAAAACAACAAGATTTTATGAAACCCATTTAAGTCCCTGTCTCCAAAAATGCCTAAGTTCTTAATTAGTGTAATTGAGTCCAAAGGCTTTTAACCACTTTAAAAACTGGCAAAGCTTGACAATGAAACCCTTAACTTTAAAAACGAAACATTCCAACAAATCAAAGAAATGTTACAGAGTTTGTCTATAAAATGCTTGTTAGACCATATCTCGAGTAATGTAGCACAGTGTGGAGTCCAAATACACAGTCAATTATACAAATGATCGAATGAAATATCATTCAATTAAACTTAACTTTTGGGGCATGTTGTTCGTCTGAACAAGAATTTGATCGCGTTTGACATCACAGTCTTCTCCACCAGCTTTCTTAGTTGTTAAGGATCACTTAATCAATTATGCAGGTATCCCATTAGACTCAATCATTTGTCCTCTTTTGTTTCCTACGTTAAACCTTTTGCAGATGATACGAGTTTGCATATATAGAGAGAAATAAAGAATCCCTAAAGAGTAAAGAACGCGCAAAAAACGATTAAACATAAAATGATGCAGGCTCGATTTGATTGAGCCTGTTCATGGACGGTATTGTCAAGTGTAAACTAGTCGTAGATTACAGACATTCGCAGCAATCGATCTTATTTTAAACCTAGATCGAATCAATACTTGGGCTAGAACTTTGAATATTTCCTTTAATCCATTTAAAATGAAATACATGAACTTTTTAGGTATTAAAACTCCACAGCCAACAGTCAGGTACAAATCTGCACCTATAGCTCAAGTGACATCCCGTAAACGTGCTTGTATAACTTTATGAACACATCTACAGAAGAACTGTATTGTAAATAAATTAAGAAAGAAAATCCTATCCTAGATTAATTTTCTTTTTTTATTTAACTTTATACAAAATTTACAGCCATTTATTTCATTCTTTCATTTAGAACGTTGCAATTTATATATTACCTTTCTAGGGCAGACCCAGTTCAATCCAGACTGTAATTTTCAATTCATCGCTTTTGAAAAATCTCCCCTTTCCAGATTTACGTTTTTACAGTAGAGTTTCATTGTAGACAGTAAAAATAAATTTTATCCTGGTGAGTATTTATATATTTTATTGCTAGCTGAAAAAATAACAATAAACAAGAAAAAGAAAGAAAGAAAGAAAGAAAGAAAGAAAGAAAGAAAGAAAGAAAGAAATGAAAAATATAAAAAAATTGTGCTCACATGATTTTTTTTCATTCGCAAGACTTTGTAGATATTGAAACTGAATCAGTCATATAAGGTCGTAAGTACAACTTACGTCGAGCGTCGAAGTATTTGCACAAGGAGAAAGAAATAATTTAGTGGTGTTTACATTCAATTTGTGGTCTCTGATCATTTCCGGTTATTTTCGGAATTTTCCGACTATTCCCGGTCATAACGAATGATTCCGAAGATATGCGAATGGAAACAAACACTGTTGAGAATGGATTATTGCATTATAATATTTCATGTTTGATTTACACAAAGCAGAAAAGAAAGGTAGCTTGTTTACTTTTAAATAAATGTGAAAGCTTGTGAGAAAAGAGTATTTCGTAGTCAGATAATAACAGATTAACTGCGCATGATTACCTGGCATACATCCCACAAAATGGACGACAACAAATCATTTTTTGTTACATTCACGATAGTTATGTTTAAATGGTGAGCTTACAGAAGAAAAAGAGCGATGACGTTTTAAAATAAAAAGGTTATGTTGATTGTAAAATTTTACTCGCTTGTGCATTGTGTAAAATATTAAATTAGACCCTAATAGTTTGTGGAACACATGTCACGAAAACGTGTGATATTTTAGGTGGTCCGACCCTTGCATCGCAATGCTTCGTTTCTGTCAATAGAAAGTTACATCTAACACTAATGCTTTTACTAGCTTGCTTCATTTCAATGTAACGCTTCTTTAACACTAGCGAAACAGTAGTATAGTTCTGATATTCAAGAATGAATCTTGTATAATTTAATGATACATGTAGATCCACAGGGGATTCTGTCATTTTTTTCCTTTCCCACTATATATATAATATAAAAAGGGATACAACTCAAAATTGCCCAATTCATGAAAAAGTAAATACAAATCGGTATACAACAGTTTTTTTTCTTCTGATTGTTGGACATTGATGAAAGATCGAATCGATAAATCGGATAATTTAGAAAAATGACTCACTTTGTTACATGGACAAGATATTATTAAAAATAACATTTCATGTTTCATTTTTACACACGTTCGTAAAATTTCGGTTTGTAAAATTACATGTGTAAAACGACATCTTATGCAAACGTATGCTCATATAAGAAAGTTTAATCATGTAATCGATTAAATATCAATTATCCACCACCATTAATGATGCAATCATTAACTTCTGGTACAAATTATTGTAACAATTTACGTTTGATTTGATAATTTCTATCCTCGGCTTCCATTTTGATGTTGCCCGTATGTTCCAATGCGTAAATCCAACTTCTGTTAGTAACTGTCAATTTCATTGGCTAATGAATAATAATAATCCGGATAATAACGGCATATAGCCGCGACGAATAGCGTTATTTTCATCAGCCAATGAAAATACTCGGAACATAAACACACCTGCAAAATGGACGACAACTTGACAGCCAGTGTAAATATTGAAATGAAGTGTTTGTAGTAGAACTTGGGTAATGACTCGTTCATATATTAACTTCTACAATAATTTTGATTGAACACTGTTGAATAGAGGATATTTTATACAGTTTACACGTATGAATGATTTTACGAACCCGTGCTGTTAGTGCAAGGCCATGACTTGTATCCCTTGTTTATATTATATATATAGATTTAATAAAATAATGACAGATTTCCCTGTGTGTAGATCTATCATTTCAAGATTCACAAATATAGAAATTATTGTCCAATCTTCTCAGACAATTTTTGGGAACCAGTTTGCGGTAATTTATTCATATTTAGATAATAGATAGTTGTCTTCCTATTCCCAGTGAATAAAAACAATAAAACCGCACATTAGTAGCATTTTGAAGTGTATAAGCTATATAATATAAAGTACAGCTTTGACAATTTTTCCAAAGTCTGCCGATCATCGTGATTCTTTTAATAAGTGGATTGTCATAGCCACATTCGTACAACAGTTGTGATTTTTCGCTTATTGGGTAAAATTCGCGCTGAGGGATATTGTCACCTCAGAAATTCGTAGCGACATTTTGCTCTCGGGTGACCATTAATTATCGCTGAAAAATGTTGGACCCACTATAAAAATTGTGAAAGACTGTTAGTGCTTGTGAATCGGTCCTTTAATCAGTACCTCTTATAAAAGGAAAAAGATCACAGTACCTCAATCTACCAAATATCTACTGCAGTCCCGTAACAAAATAATATTTCTTCCCCATAACATAGGTAAAAATTACCCCTCCAAACATATAACGGGAAAAATTGAAAAGTTTACAAGTTAAATCCATCTTAGATAACCCCTATTGATTTTGAGGTCACCAGGGTAAAGGTCAAGGCCATAGGGGCATTGACTAAGAAAAGCCTGTCTGCAGAATAACTTAAGAATCCTTTGACCCACAGTCTTCAGATTTGGCATGGAGGTTAGTCAGGATTATTAGATGACCCCTATTGATTTTGCGGTCACCAGGTCAAAGGTCAAGACCACAGGGCCTTAACTAAAAAAAGCTTGTCTGCCAAATAACTTAAGAATCCTTTGACCAACAGTCGTCAAATTTGGCATGGATGTTAGTCATCCTGATTATTAGATGACCCCTTTTAATTTTGAGGTCACTAGGTCAAAGGTCAAGGCCACAGGGGCCTTGACTAAAAAAGCTTGTCCACCAAATAACTTGAGATTCCTTAGACCTACAGTCTTCATATTTGGTATTGAGATTGGTCATAATTAGTAGATAAACCCTGTAGATTTTAAGGTTACCAGGTCAAAGGTTAAGAAGCTTGTCTAGTCAATTACTTAAGAATGTTTGGTCAACAGTCTTCATATTTGGTATTGAGGTTGGTTATGACTAGTAGATAACCCCTATTGATTTTAAGGTGACAGTGTCAAAGGTCAAGGTCACAGGGGCTTTTACTGCAATAAGCGTGTCTGCTCAAATGCTTAAGAATGCATGTCCACAGTGTATTGATTTTGACATTTTCACATTTGAAGCATATTATAATATGTTATCATAAATCATATTCATCATAAAACAATCCCAGACAAAGCGGCATGAAAGGGTGATGGGTATTCAAGTCATGCAGTGGCAGTTTCAGTTTTTAGGTCAGTAGGTCAAAGGGAATGGTCACATTGATCTTTGCCACTAAAAACATGTAGAATACATAACTTAGCAATGCACTGGCTTACTACCCTCAGATTTGGCAGGGAAGTTGTCCTTGAGCTCTTAATGACCAATGTTGATTCTGACAAAGTGGTATGTGGGGGAATCCACGCCATGACAGTGGCAGTTCTAGTTTTAATTATAAATCGCAGCAATTAATATATAACAGATACATTTTTGGATGATAATTTTATTCTTAATGAATATATTACCTTTACCTTAATTAATATATTCAATAGTAAAGTAAGAGTGCAGGTTTATACAGTCATGTTGATTACAAGTTCTTGAGCTTGAGGCTTAGGTGAGATGCATATTCTTTGGGATGCGTTGAATTAATTCATTTCATATTCCATGATGTCAAATAATCATATATGTGGAGGTCAGTTGGCATTATTTGTGAACAGGTTAATATTAGACAATGGTACAGAATTAAGAAATATCATTTTGGCTTCCAGTCACTTTATCACTGAAAAAAAAGCTAAAGTTTATTTTCTTTAGATTTTCATCAGTATTATGTGCTGCAAAAAAAATCCCAGCTCGCCTGAGACTTAAACCTACAATTACTTCCTACCTCTTCATCACTGTGCAGATATTGCCATAATTATATAAAAAATAAACAGTCTAACAGTTATTCTCCTTCAATTGGGTAAATAAACATGTTTGTTTTTAGTTCAAACTGTACATACCTGTATGATATGATATTAATAATGCAACTACTACAACTGTAAACAAGTATATGACTCACCAACATGCACATTAATATGTAGCAATAACAATATATTTTGTAGTGCAGTTTTGCATGATTTAATCTTTACAGTTTGGAAATCTGTGTTATTGACTAGTGTAGCTTTATGATTAACACTACATTGTTAATTTAAGAGATTTCATTAAAGTTGCATTTTGTCAGATAGTTACATGTATAACTGACAAAATTGTCAAAGAGAAACAGAGACTGACATTTTAAGCAGCATGCCTCCAGATTAATGCCAATTTTCATGAAAAATTTTAAATGTAAAAAACCAACAAATTATGTTGGGAACAAAGATTACAAACAGCACTTACAATTTACATGGGTTGCTGGCCCAATCCTCTGGTGAGGCATAATTTATCTGTGACAGATGATCTCTGACAGTAAAGGTTATTAGCCATTTGTATCTCACTATCATGTGGCATCAGTTGTCTGTCACTTGTGGAGAAATTAATTATTACTGGTTAGTTATCGAAGAGTCAGCTTGGTGGATTGACAATTGATATACAATTTACATGTATGACCCAAAGTGTGTTAAGGCATAAAAATTAGAAAAATAAACCAGTCAATCATAGTCATTATCTATACTGAACACAATTATTTATTTGGGAAGGTGTTGGATATAAATTTGGCCGTGTCTGTCTGTCCCTAAATATGTCCTAATATCAAAAAAGTACAATTAAAAAGTAGCATAGTTCAAGGTAGTAATAGGTCTTTAAAAAATCTAGGTATCTGGTATAAAATCAATGTCATGGTGGTGAAAGTATAGGAAACACTAGTGTATATTTGTGTGTAGGTTGAAATTAGTTTTTAAAGTAGATTATTGATTGTTGCACCTTTATTTGTATGAGTCATTGACACAGGCATTAAAGCAGGCATCTCACCTATTACTCTGTCTACATGCTGAAGTAGTCAAATTATTAGATAATTATCATGTAAAAATGCACAAGCTTATAATAAATTCCTGACAGTACTAGTTCTGATTTTGTTTCCTTGTATGACATAAGAATTTTATTTTTTGAACAAGTATATTAACAGTAAGTTGAATTACTGTAGATATCTACACATGTGTGCATGTCTGAGTCTTGGGTATATACTTTCCTGTAACAGAAGACAATACATGATATCATAAACATTTTACTCTTAGGTTAGTACAGGTGATTGATCCCGTGGCATTTGTTTATGGTAACATTGTGGAACCTCTGATTTGTAAAGAGAAGTTGGTAGTTACATTTACTTTGTTTTTGTTTGTTTCATTTTATGCCTTTTCCCAACAGTGTTTCAGTCATATAGGCGGGTAGTTTCCTAACCATTGTTCCTGGAGAGTTACACCAGTACTACTACTACTAGACTACCTTCCTCCGTGCTAAACTACCAAAGCATCTCCCAGGGATCGAACCCACGCCAGAGAGGTAACTGGATTAGAAGTCATCGACTCTAACCCTTCGACCACAGAGGCAGTTGTTACATTTACTTGCAGGCATGAATAACAAACTAGAATTATGTCACAGAATTGCAAATCCTTCATTTCAAAACCCCTACCTGAAATGAAACCCTTGCCTAAAATGAAACTCCTGTCTAAAATAAAAACCCTTTCTAAAATAAAAACCCTGCCTAAAATAGAACACCTGTCTAAAATAAAAACCCTGCCTAAATCAAATATTTGTGCAACTAAGGGCAGCCTGAGAAAAAGGTGCATTAAATTTACATAAATTTTTTTCCAACAGTCAAAAGTGTTATGTAATAAAGTTAATGGAGTATAAAGTAAAAGTTTGTGGTGCCCTCTTTAAATGAGCATTAAGGTTTTTGATAAATGGACAGACGGTGGTTTTGTTCATTGATGTAAATGGCATTTCACAATATTGATTGCAGGATGTGTGTTGAAGATGTAAATAATACTGTTCATTTATAATTTGTATACATTTTCATTATGTTAACCTCTTATTATTTGAAATGTCAAAAAGGATGATGTTTTGATACAAATTGTATTTTTACTAACCACATGATAAGATTATTATTCTGTCTGGAAAACATAAAATAAAGCTATTTACATGTATTTTAGGTTTAATCCAAGGGATTGTCAATGAAAGTCATTTTCTAACATAATGTAATATTATGATGAAAATAAAAATAGAGACCATGAATTATAGAATAAAAGCTTATATTAGGTTAGATTGACAGATGCTAAAAGTCTAACAATGTATAATCTTGATACGCAAAATATTTCTTAATATAAAATGAATAAATAGAGTAGTAATAAATATACTTATAGTACATTAGATTTTTTTAGTCAATATTTTTTGCTGAATATTTTATAAATATTGATAAATATTATAATGTTAAGATAGATGTTTCATTTTGAAGATTAATCAAGCTTGGCATATTTGCATTTGATATTTTGAATGCTAAGGTTAATGGTAACAAATGTAAAGCTATTCGGTTTTAATACTCACCCCTTCTCATTCAGTCTCAGGGGGCTATGATTTTTGAATTTTCAACCCTGCAGGGACAGGCAGGTAGTAAAATCCGTGCTAACTGCCACTGCACTGCAAGTTGGAATATTTACCTTGAAAAACTAAACTATTGGACTTACATTTTGATATTTAATTTGCTTATGGCAACCATTTTGATATCAAAACCGCTAAAGGCAACCTTGAACTGTTTGATATTCAAAACAGGGCATGTCCATATAGATTAAGCGGATAAATTATGATATTTCTAGGATTTTCATATGGATAATGTGGAAACAATGTAAACAAATTTAGATGCGTTTTATTGACTCACTGTAAAGAGAAATCTCGGAGGTAAAGTAGGAAAGCTAATTGTAATACTGAACAATCTGCCGGGACGTAATTTATGATATCTTCATAATATTAATCATTATCATTTCTCTCTCTTACAATATTTTAGCCTACCAGTACTTTTCCTAAGATTATAATTATGTATTTTCCTATCATTACATGTATTTCTGTGGTGATAAATGTACTCTGGATTAGCTTCAGTCCGTCCTTACCATGCTTACCATATATACATTTGTAATAAAATTTGGAATTATCCACTATAATTTGAAAGCGGTTCAAATATCAATCAGCTCATGTTATTACAGGCATCTAAGCATTAATACTATCAGAAAGTACATTTTATTCAAAAGAAAAATGAGCATTTTAATTTATTTTTCATAAAAGTGTTAAAAATACAACTGAACTCTAGTTGTTTAAAGTTGTTTTGTAGTTAACATGTATGTATGTTGTTATATGAAAAGGGGAAAAAGGGAGGAAAGTAGCAAGACTTACTGCTAGCCTTCTTAGGCACTAGCCATATAAGTACTTGCAGTACTTTGATTTTACAAACCACAGGTGGTTGTACTTCTCTAGTTTTTGGTATTAATTTTATATTTGAGGGGGTGGGAATACTTATGCATTATCACTGGGTGTTTAAAATGATATTAAGGCAAAGTGTCAGATGTCTTAAGATAAATTATAGTTAATGGATAAGATTTTTTCAATCAAATTAAATGTGATGGAGATGTTGTATAAATGATATTGTTTATATTTCAGATTGTCAAACAAGGAAGTTATTGATGTAATTATATAAGAACGTCACTATGAAGTGTTTTCCTTTGACCTATGAAGATGTTCACAAGTAGATATAAGTGATACTACAAGTTCTGTTCCGTACAATGTTACATGACTAATTAAAAAACAAAAATGGTGACAACTTGAAGCAAGAAGTTTTTGACGTAAGTTATCAATACAATTTATGACAAAATGGTTAATATTTACAAGTGCTATATACATGCATTGTTTTTCATTATATAATGTGATATTGTGAAAAGATTTAAATGAAAAAGGGTTCAGTCAGTGCAGAAATTGTTATGAATAATGATATACGCCATGTTGAATTTGCTGACTTTAGGTCAACAAGGCCGTCTTGCTGATTATGTGAAAAGGAAGATTTTGTTAAATACACACAACCCGCTGTCGGGGACTTGGTGAACTACAATATTGATAATATGAGTTTGAAACAAGTAACTGCCACAGAGCTGAATTTTGTAAATAATAAAACAGGTTTATTACATTTTATACAGTACGCTGTGAAATATTGCTGTTTTCCAGATCTTTATCATTTAATAGGTTTTCATGAAAATGAATGCATTTTACATGCTGTAAATTATGATGTTAACTATTATACCAGCATATTTTGCATTTTCAAGGTCACTGATTCAGTGATTGTCAGTTTAAATCCTATAAAGCAAGTCAACTATGATAGTATGGTTATTTAATGTAGTATATATATTAGGTTTTATGAGCTGAAGGGATTGTGTTATGTAGTGTATACTCCAGGTGTGACCACAATGTCTGTCATTGATTCATTACTTAAATTCCATACATGTTTTCCTACACATAATTCTCACAATATTCTAACATGTATGTTACTGACTTATTGAATTTTTTATGTAATAAATGAGTGAGGTAGGTGTGCCCAGGCTTGAAATAATGAATGAAAGTGTGAAATCAAGAATGAATTAGTAAATGTGTGAAATCATGAACAAAACTGATATTATATGAAATTGTGAATGGCATCATGAGTGTTGTTAGGAAATAATTGAATAAACGAGCAAAATCATGAATGAAGGAGTTAAGAAGCAAAATCATTGATGAATAATAAGTTAAATTCTTGAGTCATGAATGAATTTATCTTTTAATAAGTAATTATAATCGAAAGAGAGTGAAATGATCATTGATAATGAATAAGGTGTGAAATTCCATTTTCAGAGCATCAGTATGGAATAAATGAGTTTATAAGTGAGTGGAGTGAGTTGAACGAGTGAGTGTGTGAGTGAACTGAATTGAACTGATGACCTGTCCTGACCTGACTTAAGAAGTAAAAAATGAATGAATTAAGAGGTTAAACATTGAATAAATGAGTGAATTAAGAAGTGAAATAATGAATGAACGAGTAACAGAGTGAGTTAAGTAGTTTGGTAATATCTAAGCTATATATATATACTCAACTACTGATGAAAATTTGAGTCCCACACAAAATTTGACACACACATCTCAATGCAATCTATTCATGCCATGCACTGTTTTGAAGTCATGGCTATGAAAACTCTGCTGAGAAATAACCATCCACAAATTTTTTTCTGAATGTTGTTGAAATGTCGGGCTAATGTAGATTTATGTGAAGTTTTACTCAGAAATAGCTTGTTTAAAGAATTCAGAATATTTCAAATATGTAATTGTGTAGATTCACCCACATTATTTTGATTGATGAATACAGTTAATGTAGGCAATCAAAATATCATTTTACGAGGAGTGTTAATTTTTGCCATATTTTTTAGTCCTTTAGGCTGAAGCATTCAAATGACATAATATGAAAGTAACTGGTGTCATTTTACAAAACATCACTGTTTCACAGTATCGTCACACTATACTTAAATTTAGTATAGTTTTCTTGAACTTAGTGGTGACACAAAATACTGATGCAGACAAAAATAAAAATCAACATGAAAAATTTACAATGATTATTTCACATTATTATACAAATGTTATATAGTAACTATACATACATACTCTTCATACTTCAAGACGTTAAAGAAAATGTAATTGAACTTGACCTTGCCCTTAAGTTAGTTTGACCATGGCACATAAGGTAAAATTAGTGAATTTTGTCACCTTTAAGTAACCTTTACTGTCAAGGTCAAGTTATTGAAATTTGCTGAAATTTTCATAACTTATTTATTTACCTAGGAATTGATTCATTCTTGGGCAGTCATATGACAAAACTAAGTAAGAAAATGTTGAGCATGGCCCCCCCCACCCCCACCCTTGCGGTGACTTGTTATTATATTTCTAAGATAAATTTATTGTTTCATGTGCAGATCTTGTATTTATCAAGATTTTGAACCAAAAGGCCAGATCCATACCTCAAAATTTTGAAATCATGCACTTCATGTAAATTTTAGGTGGTGGGCAGGGGGAGGCATTGGTTACTCAGTTACAAATTCTCGTTTTTATATCATTTGATATACAATGTATGTCTAAGTTAACATAAAAGGAATAAGTTCAAAAAATAGATCTTAATGTTCACCTAGTGCTAGCGATATTTTGATATCACCATCATGCTTATTGTTGCGTGTTCTTATTAGATATGAGGTTTTGAATCAGTTAAAAGTCTTTTGTAACTCTTGGTGAAAAAAAGCTATTAGAAATACAAACCTTATCATGCAAAAGTTTAAACTGTCATATTACAGATGCCTTTGATTTCAAGTATGAATAGAATTAAAATCCCAGCTAAATACTGGTTTTGATCAAAGGCATTGATTTTAAGATGTCTAGTTTTGACTGCATTTCAGAGATGGACGGTCGTCGGGTTGCTGATTACTTTGTCGTAGCAGGGCTACCGGACAACCCGCTGCCTCTAGAGGAATTTTCAAATGAGGCTGCGATTAAGTCTACTTATAAGCAAGATCCTATAACAGATATCAGTGTGATAAACAAATCACTTGGTGAACGTATACCACGTGGATACCAATGTCTAGACAAAACACCTAATGAATATCCGGCAGATTTGAACCATGGTAGTATACGTGGGAGTGAGATGTACATATGTTATAGGCGTAGCAGGGATAAGCCGCCTCTTACTGATGTCGGGTATATATTTTAAGTTTTATTTACATATCCCAGTTTGTTCAGTCTAAGTGATATATTTGCACCTTTCAATTGCAATATTAGATAAATTGATAGATCCCCAGCTCAACACAGATAGGAAATATTTAAGAAGCTGAAGGATTTCTATCACACATGTATTCATGTCCATTTTCTTATGAAAACAAAGAATAGGACACCAATATATGAAATATAGCCCTGTTTTAAAACAGATCAAAATATTTGATTCCTTCTAAAACTTTGGTTGCTATGGAAAGCATTTTACATAGAAAAATTCAAATTAATAGAAATATAAAATACTTGTCTTTCAATCTTGAAAATTTCTATAAGGGTGATTGAAATCACTGAAATCAAAGCAAAGACAATTTTCTGAAGGTATTTTCATTGTTGTAGATTTGTTGTGAAATTTAGACAAGTGATAGATTTAAATTATTTATTTTTGCCTAATGTGATGAAACCTAGTAGCTTATAAAGTTATTTGAAGAACTCATTATAAGCTTGAACTAAACAGTACTGGTGTCATGTGACAACCCTAGTATGACTCAAACCCATGATTCCTTGCTTTAGGGTTGGATACCTTTACCACTAGGCCACTGCTTCCCTTGAATGACAAAGGGAATAGTGTTTTGATACATTATCTCAAAAAAAAGTAGTGGCAGTGTTTTTAGAATAAGTTTGAAGTTAATAATTGTATTTTTACTATATATACAATTAAAGGTTTAATAATTGTGAAGAGAGAATATTTCAAATGTGCCAATAATTTCAGAAATGAAGCATTTTTTACGTTACATGTTTTTTTTTATTGACAGCGTATTGTATGAGGGTAAGGAACGATTAATGTCGGGATGTGAAGTTATACATACAACATACTTCGGTACACCAGCAAACGTTAACAACAGTAATAATGGGAGGACGTATATTACATACAGAAGGGCGGCAGAGAATGCCCCTAGTGATATGCTAGCAGTAGTTGATCTCTGTATTATCATAGAGAACAAGGTAATAAAAAATGTTCAATACTTTCTCTATACAACAATACATTTACCATTAAATTGCTGTATCGTAAATGTTCATACAATTTAGTTAACAAAAAAAATGATATGTGAGAAGTTACACAAGTTATAGTTTATTGATAACTTTCCTAAACGTATATACCCCTTGACAAGCTTTTGACGGTAATGTTTAATATTTGACTGGTTTCCATTGTTTCTGTAGTTTAAGATGAAAAGTGTAATGCATTTGATTGCTCATTCACACTGGAGGAGGGAAATTCAAGTTCCATTTTATTTGTGATAACTTTTATGAAAACAAACCTAAGAGAAACACTTGTAAGCCAGGTAATTGCCCATTGATATATCATTGAAAAAGGTTTAATGAAACTGTATGTATTTATGTTCAATTTCTTGTTTGTAGGGTGAGAGTCCTCCTCATTCATACTGCCAGATTAGTAAGAATCTAAACAGAGGCCTGGTAAGTTTTAATTGGGGGCAAACATCCATAGACACTCATTTTAATGTTATTATTTCATAAATTTTGAATAGATATTAGCAATTTAAAAGAAGTTTGTTTTTAAAAAAAAATCAATAGATTTTGTTTCAGATCTGCTGAAATTTTATTATCATAGTTAAATAATCTGATAAATAATTAATATACTGATTTTGGCTAAACGTTCTTGAAATCCTGTTTTTGTGTGATAGTTGTAATATTTTTCTTAGCATATAATGTAGGTTTGGGTGTGCATATAAGTAAATGTACATTATGTTGTTAAGGAAAATGTGATTTTCATGTATTTACGCAGGTTGGTTCTGATGTTTTCCTGTGTTACAAGAAGGCAATGACAAAAATTGATATATTAGCCTACAAGCCAGGTAAGGAAATCTTTTAATTTTTATGCCCCTGCCATATAATGGCAGGGGCATATAGTGTTACCCTGTTCCGTCATTCCGTCATTCCGTCCTACCGTCATCATCAGTTTCCGTTCATTATCTTAATAACCGTTGCACATATTAAACTCAAATTTGACATATAGATAATATTATGTCATAAGAAAATACAGGTCAAGTTCGAAATTGGTCATGGGTCAATGATTTTTGGCAGAGTTATGCCTCTTTTACTTTGAAAATAATATGAAATTTTCAGTTTCCATTCATTAACTCCCCAATGGTACAACACATTCAACTCAAACTTGACATATGGATATGTCAAAGGAATGCGCAGGTCTAGTTTAAATTTGGTCATGGTTCGATGATTTTTGGCAGAGTTATGCCCCTTTCACTTTGAAAATAATATGAAATTTTCAGTTTCCGTTCATTATCTCCCCAATAATACAACACATTCAACTCAAACTTGACAAATGGATATGTCATGAGAAAATACAGGTCAAGGTCGAATTTGGTCATCGTTCGATGATTTTTGACAGAGTTATGCACCTTTTACTTTGAAAATAATATGAAATTTTCAGTTTCAGTTTATTATCTCCCCAACAGTATTACACATTCAACTCAAATTTGACATATGGATACGTCAAAGGAATGCGCAGGTCAAGTTTAAATTTGGTCATGGTTCGATGATTTTTGGCAGAGTTATGCCCCTTTCACTTTAAAAATAATATGAAATTTTCAGTTTCCGTTTATTATCTCCCCAACAGTATCACACATTCAACTCAAATTTGACATATGGATATGTTTTTGGAATGCGCAGGCCAAGTTTGAATTTGGTCATGGTTCAATGATTTTTGGCAGAGTAATGCCCCTTTCACTTTGAAAATGATATGAAATTTACAGTTTCTGTTCATTATCAACCCAACAGTGTTACATATTCAACTCAAAATTGACATATGGATATGTCAAAGGAACGCGCAGGTCAAGTTGGAATTTGGTCATGGTTCGATGATTTTTTGGCAGAGTTATGTCCCTTTCACTTTGAAAATAATATAGATACATCTTAGGAATAAGCAGTTTAAGTTTGAATTTGGTCGTGGTTCAATGATTTTGGACAAACTTATCTTACCTGAATGTTGGAAAAATTTTGAACTTTCAGTTTCAGCACTCATACTTTTGTGGAAATGTATATAGCCATTATTTTGGCTACAAATATGCAATATGCTTTTTTCAAAAGGTTAAGTTGTAAAATTTTTGGTGAGAATTTTGGGTTGTTATATCATATGTTAAAATGGCTTGAAAAAAGATAATTTTGTGAGCTGCCCAGCTTAGTAATGGTAGAATTATGATTCTACTTAGGTTTTTCATTGCTGTTACATAAGTGGGAAAAGGTCTCCTTTTTATAAGTGAAATTGAAAGATTTTCAGCTGAATGTAGAACACAATTTTTTAGCTAAAAGTAAAGTGATAGACTTGCCATTTGAAATTGGTACATTATAAAATTATATGTAATAAAACAAAAAATTCAAATTGCTAAAATAGTTTCGAGATACAGGTTACAGATCTTCAGGTTTACTGTGCTCTTGTATGATCCGAAATTTCAGTGCAAGATTTCAGATTGTATAGATATGTTATGACAGAAAAAATAAGTCAATCTTTTAAGAATCCTCAGCACATTAATGGTGAATATTAATTAAATACGGCCAATTAAATACTGCCAGTGCTAGTGGGCATTTAAGATGGTGCACTTAATAGACATATTTAAAAGATTTTGCAATTTTCATGTAGTTTTTGTTTGCTTCCGGGGGGACTCCTAATTTCCTGTCAACAGCAGGTGGTAAGTGCTGTGTGGCAACCTTAATCTCAGATTTGTGATATTTTTATGCTTTGGGATGATTGAGTCTAGCACATTTAGTGTTAAGGATGGAAACCTCTTTAACAGTTGCTAGAGGTGTATAACATGTTGCTCGTTTTCATTTTATCTAATGATTCAGCAATTTTCATGCAATTTTGTTGTTTCTATTGCCTCTGGCGGATCTATCTTTTTCCCATTTTTTGGTGTCATTTTAAGTTTTCATTATCATAGAATACTTATAGATTAAGTCATAAAATACTTATAAATGGGTATACATTTACTTGGATACACATATTACCATAATCAAATAATACATTGTATAATGTCAGTAGATATTTGCTAGTGGGCAGCTGTATTGCGACTTAGATTCCATAATTGCTTCAATAGTATAACCATTAAAATAGTCATAATAGATCATCATCATGAAAATGACTGAAGGAGAATAAAAACAATGTAGAATTTAACATGACATTTGGAAATAGATGTGGCCCAAATGTTGTTTTTTTAGCTCACCTGTCACAAAGTGACAGGGTGAGCTTTTGTGATCGCTTTTCATCCGGCGTCCGTCCGGCGTCTGTAAACTTTTACTTTAAATAACATCTCCTCATAAACCACTAAGCCAATTTCATCCAAACTTCACAGGAATGTTTATTTGGTGGTCACCTTTGAAAATTGTTCAAAGAATTTAATTCCATGCAGAACTGTGGTTGCCATGGCAACCAAAAGAAAAAACTTAAAATATCTTCTTTTAAAAAACCAAAAGAGCTAGAGCTCAGATATTTGGCATGAAACATCTTCTAGTGAGTGTCTACCAAGGTTGTTCAAATAAAAGCCCTGGGGTCAAAATTGGCCCCGCCCCAGGGGGTCATTGATTTTCCCTATATGCATATAGTAAAAACTTAAAAATCTTCTTTTAAAGAACCCAAAGAGCTAGAGCTAAGATATTTAGCATGAAACATCTTCTAATGGGTGTCTACCAAATTTGTTCAAATAAAAGCCCTAGGGTCAAAATTGGCCCCGCCCCAGGGGGTCATTGATTTTCCCTATATGCATATAGTAAAAACTTAAAATCTTCTTTTAAAGAACCGAAAGAGCTAGAGCTAAGATATTAAGTATGAAACATGTTTTAATGGATGTCTACCAAGTTTGTTCAAATAAAAGCCCTAGGGTCAAAGTTGGCTCCGCCCCAGGGGGTCATTGATTTTCCTTATATGTGTATAGCAAAAACTGAAAAAAATCTTTTTTGAAAAAAAAACAAATAGCTAGAGTTTAGATACTAAGCATGAAACATCTTCCAGTGAGTGTCTACCAAGTTTGTTCAAATAAAAGCCCCGGGGGTCATTCATTTTCCTTATATGTGTATAACAAAAACTTAAAAAATCTTCTTTGCAAAAACTCAAATAGCTAGAGTTTAGATATTAAGCACAAAGCATCTTCTAGTAAGTGTCTACAAAGTTTGTTCAAATAAAAGCCCTGGGGTCAGAATTGGCCCCGCCCCGGGGGACATTAATTTTCCTTATATGTGTATAGCAAAAACTTAAAAATCTTCTTTGAAAAAACCTGAATATTTAGAGTTTAGATATTAAGCATGAAACATTTTCTAGTAAGTGTCTACAAAGATTGTTCAAATAAAAGCCCTGGGGTCAAAACTGGCCCTGCCCCAGGGGTGTCATTGTTTTTAACTATATGTGTAAAGAAAAAATTTGAAAATATCTTCAATTAAAAAACCCAACGAGCTAGACCTTAGATGTTTAACATGAAACATCTTCTAATGGGTGGCTACCAAGTTTGTTCAAATAAAAGCCCTGGGGGCCGTTTTATCAACGCTCTACGACACGTCGTAGACTAGTTTTTTGTCGCAGACATGTCGCAGAACGTTAAGACCGTTTTATCAACGTTTGTCGTAGCCTACGACGTCGTAAAAAATGTCGCAGCTCTACGACAGGGTTAGGGCTGTCGTACGATGTTACTGTAACGTCAAGACTGGCGATCACTGTTAACATGTATGCTCAGCACATTAATTTTTATGAAATAACTTTTTCAGAATAAAATAAAAACAAACAACATATTTCAATTTGTTTTCTTTTAATGTCAATCGCTTATTAAGGGACTTTATACATGCGCTCTAAGTATAAGAAAGAGACAGAATATACAAATCTTATACCCTATAAAAATGTCTAAAATATCGTTCGTTTGGAGCAAATATGCCTTTACGGTCATACTCTATTCTATTAATAATGAGTTCCAAAGATGTCTACGGAAAACAGAATAAAAAATAAATTAACTCACATCTTTTTTCTTTCACATTAATATTGGAAAATCATAATATTTTAACTAGATTTTACATAAATTTAGATATTTCTTTGAAGAAACCCATATGGTATAAAATAAAGGACACAGGAAAGTTACCGTGGTCATGACTCCGGAAAAACAATTTTAAAAAGAGAAAAAAAAGTCAATAGAATATAAAAAAGATCAACAAGACAAGGCGACATTAACTAAAAGTTACCGTGGATGAAAAGCACTAATGTTTAAATTATCAAATTTTATGGTAAACTGCAATATACAGTGTACATATAATAATTCAGTCTGCACAGTCTGCACAATTTGCATGGTGTATTAATTATGCATTTTAAATCTTTAAAAAAATCTAGAATCCGAACTGTAACTACGTAAATTGCAATTCCGGATGGGGAGTTATTTAGTATACTACAACTACATGAGATATACGTATATATATGTATAAGTAGCCTGTGATTCATGCGTTGATATATTTTTTGCTTATTCATAACTTACGCGCTATTTAATACTCGATCGTCATAGGTAACACAACATCTTTGGTTTTGATAGTATCAATATATGAGCCGCGTCATGACAAAACCAACATAATGGGTTTTGCGACCAGCATGGATCCAAACCAGCCTGCGCATCCGCGTAGTCTGATCAGGATCCATGCTGTTCGCTCTCAGTTTCTCTACTTGTTATATGGTTTGTAAGCGAACAGCATGGATCCTGATCAGACTGCGCGGAGGTGCAGGCTGGTCAGGAGCCATGCTGGTCGCAAACCCACTATGTTGGTTTTGTCATGACGCGGCTCAATTATGTCAATTTGCTGACAAGAAGCAAGTAAAAAATCGACAGATTGGAACCCAGGCTAATCTATGAGAAAAATTAATCCGTTTTCCGTAAAAAAACGCAACAACAACTAAAACAACAACAAAAAAGCTACATTTTAAAGTGGATTATTTCATATAAATTACAACAAAAACAGCGTGGGCGTTTCAATTTAAAAGCAGTGCGCTTAATATAACTTTACGAAAATATGTCAAAACATCAATTCATTATTTCAATACTTTAGCAATAGTAAATCTATAAGATTAATTATATATATTTATTTAGGAACAAAACTATATCTATAGTTTGAAATCTTGTGTGTACTGAATTCCTCGGAAAATGGGTAAAAATGTGCGCCACACTTCATACTACATTGGGTGCCATTTAAGTAAATCATATGTACAAATCATTGGTTTTATCATGATAGCTAGTACTTTAAACACAATTTTGGCGTTTCTTAAAAAAGCAGCTACAATTGTTTCTAACGCGCAAAAATCCTTTCATAAAGGCCCATAAAGCCCTAGAAATGCTTTTATTTTGTAAAGCTATTTATTTATATCTTTTTATTTTTTATTTTTTTATTATTTTATTTCCATTATCATTAACCTGAACTAACGTTTGCTTCTGTTAATTTTTGCCAATCAAGAACGGTGTTAATGATTTAGTAATTTGTATGAAAGTCAAAAGTTTGCTACAGTTACAATTTTAATACTTTCACATTCACAACTACTTTCTTTAAAAATACAGGCAAAACAAAAATGTAAGTCTGCACAAACTGCATGATATATTAACAAGTTTGCTTCTTTAAAAAGAAGCATGCGAGAGTCTTTTTGCTGCTGTGAGAGATTTGTGTAATTCGAAAATATTTGGGGATATTTTTTGCATAAAAGACACAATGAATGGTTATTAATTACAATTATTTAACAAAATAGAATTTATTATTATATAGTATCATAATGAAAGTTTGTTTTACACTTCATTTTTAAAAAAAATGTTTTGAAAGATTATATGCCGGAGATACTTAAAGCGATACTTTTTCTACAAAGGAAATAATTTGTGTTATGCCATCAAACTAAATTTAAAATAAATGATAAACACATGTATATATTTATATTAAAAGTAGTATCAAAAATAAAAGTGTCTTGTAAAATTCAATAAGCACATTTTTGGTTAATGTTTTGGTAAGTATACGGAAACATTTCCTCTACATTTTCTAAAACGGGCATAAAGTATGTTAATCAATTTTAAGTCCCATAATTTACATAAAAATGTTTACGCTATAAATGAGATTCATTCACTACAATCAGATACGCAAAAATGGATGCCGCCAGCAATCGGTCTGAACACTGTGAAGAGGTCTGATGACCTCTCCAGTTATGTATTTCAATTCTTTTTAAGACTTGAAAAAATATAGTACCCGAACTGTATTTACAATGCCGGGAGTAGGGGATTATTTAGAATACTACATGAAATATATGTATAAATACCTTTAAACAATTAATATAATTCTGAAAAAACACTAACAAATAAATATACATGACACTTAAATAGAAATATTTCATGAAGATTACAAATTGGAACAGAATACAAAACAGCGTGTTTCGTTTCAATTAAAAACGAAATAAACAAAAAAATCAAAACAGCAATTTATTATTTCGATGCATTGGCAATTTAGTTGTGATAGTTATATAGTATTTTGTATAAAAGTCAAATACTACTTTGTTGACATTTTTGGTTGATAATTTTACATTCACCGCTTCAAGTCATAAGCGGCTGCATGCTTTGAAATAGTTTTAAAGGTTACAAAACCCGTGTTCAGAAACTTTATTAGACTGAGACATAATGTGCCTTTAGCATTCAGTACAGACCCGGCATTAATGGTGGAACCGTAGCGTGATTTAGTATTTTAAGGGTTGAATCGAGTGCAGAAAATATATGCTGTATTTCTCACTAAATTTGTTCTTTTAATGACATTAAAAAATATTTATCCATTTTCTAATAATCATGTAAATTTATCCGTTTGATAATAGTCATGTAAATTCCATCAGTACTTTAAGTACTTTGATTTCATATGTGACGTCAAAACGCGCACTGGCTAGACTGTGTCTCGCAAGAATTATTGTCTACGACAAAGGCTGCGACGTCGCAGAAACACAAGGGTCTGCGACACGTTTCATAAAACGCTCGTACGACGTTGTCGCAGACGAACGACACCGACAAAAAATTGTCGTAGACTACGACACGTTGATAAAACGGCCCCCAGGGGTTTAAACTGGCCCCGCTCAGGGGGCCTGTATACAGGTGAGCGACTTCAGGGCCATCATGGCCCTCTTGTATTGAAAATGCATCACTTTTAAGACATATATCATAAGTTTGTTGTTGTTTTTTTTTGTTTTTTTTTAAAGGGCTTCCATTAGTGGAAGTTTTGGAGTCATTTGCTCTTGATTTTAGCTTGTGACTTCCAAAATTTAATGCTTTTCCTTCTTTACCTTTATAATATGACTTCCAATGTCAGACATTTTCAGTCTCTGACTTCCAAATTTTGAAACTTAATGGAACCTCTGCTGAGTTTATTATAAATCCTGCATGAAAAGTTTTGCTTTCTTTTGAAGATGGTGATCCCATAAAAACCTATATTATTTTCTCTGCTTTAAAAATTATTCTGTCTGTTTGTTACTTACTTCTAACAAGACTTGTAATCTTATATTTTCAGCTATTTTGGATCGTTATCCAAAAGAAGACTACCCAGAATTTCCTCTACCTGAGTCAGTAGCAATGTTTTGTTTACCTATGGGTGCCTCCATAGAGTGCTGGTCTGCGAAGGCTCAGCACCCTTACCCTGTCTTCTCTACATTCATACTTACTGGAATAGGATGGAATAAGGTCTGGTTTAAAATTAAGATTTCCTCAAAATTTTGTTGACAATTTTCAGGTTTCTTGTTCACAGACTTTAGGACAATTTTCACTTAGTCCACTAAAAAGTTTTCTATGTAATAACATGAAACAACTCTAGGTATAGTAGAAAAAGTAAAATTATTTTTATATGTTTATAAATGTGACCACTAACAAGACAGTATCAATTTAGTGATGATTAAGAAAGTATGGTCTTTTCCTCAGTGTTTTTAAAGAGTCTGTTTTATAGATTAAGTTTGCTTAAGTTTCTTCAATGAAACACTTGGTTATTATATAGGACAGTAATTAAATTTCTATGATAAGCGATGATTTTATAAACCTTTATTAACATTTCTTTGAATAAAAAAAAGATTTATTCTATCATGTCCTTATATTATATCAGTCAAAATAAAATAAACATTACTATAAAAGGTATATGGAGCAGCTATCACATTTTATGAGGAGTTTCCGGAAGAGAAGCTTACAGATTTACAGATGCGTCACCTTGGCTTGAAAAACAAACATATCCGTGAACAGTACCGTATCATGAAGACTGTACATTCCAATAAGAGCATATGTCTACTGTCACATTGGCCTTTCTTTGATGCTTTTAAAAAATTGCTCAGCTATCTATATAGAATATCTATCACTGGATCTCATATTGTTCCAATAGAAAGGTAAATTTATTACTTTACTCATGTAGGTGTGTTATCATTTACCTGTCCGGGATTGACTTCTAATGCGAAGTTTGTTCTGCCAACTGTTTAGAGCCTGGTCAAAGTAGAAAGCTATAAGGCTGACCTGACCTATACTGAAGGTTTTCGTTACAGCATTTTAAGGGTTAAAAATTGTTTGTTATTACATGTAAATTTACAAGTTCAAGATATAATATGCTTTGAAAAACAAAACTTTATTAAAAAAAAAAATGTTGATTTACTGCAGTACAACCCACTGCATAGCAACCCCTTTTAGGAGACAAGGTTTTGTTGTTGGTAAAAGGTGTAACTGTGGAGTGGTTAACTTAAATTCAGTGTTCAATCTTAGTTTGGAAAGATTTGATTCTGTTATTGTAACAAGGTTATTGTTTTGCAGAGGTTGCTTTGTATATTATTGGTTATAAAGATTTTTGTCAGGTTATATGGCCCTATATAATTAGTTGTTTGTAAATATAACCCAAGCCATTAGGCGATATTAATTAGGAATTAAGAATATTTAGAACAAATTTATGATACTGCAAACTTCCTTTTAGAGAAAAAGAGAGAGATTTCTTTATAAATTGACAGCAGCCGTATATGTAAAACTATATAAACATCACAATTATCCAATGCAAAACAATGTTACAATCTTACAGTATTATTTTAACAATAAGCTTCTACATGAAATCATAACATTATGTTTAGGATGTTATTTATTTTATTTTCAGACATATATCACATTTCATGTATGATGTTCCTTATCCATCTCCCCAAAGGCCTAGAATTCTTGTTCAGGTAAGTACCTATATGTATAATTTTCTTATTTATTTAAAACTACAAAAATTGTGCTATGTATAGATGTCATTGTGACCCACATTGAATGGTCCTTTATTTACCAAATATATATATGTATGTGTGTCATCATTGATTGTGACAAGTTCACTTGATGGAGAATCCTTATTTAGATCTGTGTATTGCTGCTTTAAGGTCCAAGTTAGATCTTATCTGAAACTTGATCAACTGATTATTAATGTTCACTGATAATTGAGGATTGCATGGAAAAAAATTAGTGATAATTGTACTATTATTTTAAAAGAGGCAGTTAAATTGTTTAAAGTACATGTACATTCAGAGATTTATCATAATGTTCTTTGATATGTGAGAAATGCTTGTTGAGAGATACAGATTGCTTGTTAAATCAGTGATTATTGTTCACTGATATATGAAGATTGCTTGAAAATTCATACAAAATTATTAAGTTTTTATTAGTTTATTAACATTAATGAGAAGGAAAATAATTGATAGCAATGCATGTGTTTATCAAATGTATTTTGATACATTTCAGTTGAGTCATGATTCAATATCTCTGTCTATGCCTGAAGACTCGCCTCTCCCACAAAGGTACATTAATAATTAAAGGTTCTATAATAAAGTTTAATGTTTTCTTTCTAATGTTGAAGTAGATATTTTCATTTTCTTTCAATCATTGTATTAATACAAAATCCAGGCAAAGAAGTGGACTGGAGAGTGACTAATATTAACAGAAATTGTACTGAATTTAGAAATCTTAGACTTATATGCCAATTTGCTCCACTTTTCAAAGAAAAGGTGTGAAGTTATTTCCATGACCCTCTTGTTTAGTTGAGGTTGGTTAACCTTTTTGTTAAGGTCCATTTTCACAAACTTTTCACTTGAAATTTGAAATCATATCAAAAGGGCAGATAATCCAAAAATTCCTTTTTTGCAGAGTCTTTAAGTGTTGCCCCTCTCTACTTACAAGTTTTTTTGCTTTTGATAATTTCTCAAAAACTATTTAAAGGTACTCGGTTCAAATTTGAAATTCATTTTCACAGTTAAAAAAACAAAAACGGAATGCATTTTAGAAAAACAGGTTATTTTTAAGCTGATTTTTTTCTCAGTTATGCCCCTTTTATGACTTAGACTTTGTATTTTGTTTCTATGTGAATTGACCTCATTGATTTTTTCTGTTTATTAAAGTGCTTTTCTGCAAATATTATTTTATCTATGGATATTAAACATAGAAAGAAGAAAAAATGATATTTAACATTTTTAAGTTAAAGGGTTTAATTTGGGTTTAACTTAGATGGGTACATCACTATCCTTAAAGCTATCTTGATAGATTTAGATTGCACTGTCTTAAAACCATGTAATCATTTGTAAAGTATTCATTAACATGTAAGGTCTGAATTTAGATACATGTGGTATCAAATTTCACATTATAATGTTTGAAATCACCTTTATCTTTACCAACTTACTTTCGATTTCATATTGTTACAGTATGCAGTTTCAAATTTGTATGCAGTATCATATTCTTATAAAAAAAACACATTGTATGTTATTATAAATAGAACCATCAAATTCAAGTTTCATTTTCAGTTTTATTATGAGTAAAGCTATTTAACTACCTTTTTCCTAAATTATGAACCAAACTGATAAAATATGATTCAGATTGTCTGCCCTTAGACAAAGAATTAATAGGCTCATTGTATTTCTTAGAAAACTAAATGAAATTAAACAAATAGCTACTACATTGAGATACCGATGTTTATTTTGTCCTTTAACATGTTTAAAGCTATATGTCTGCTGCAAAAATCATTTTGAGTCTGAATATGCCTTTCATTGTGAGTCTATTATATATATGATGTTGTGTATTTTCCAGTGGTGCTTCATTTGTAACGATGTTAAGAAATCTGGGTCCAGAGAACTGTATGACAATATTGCTGTATGTTCTAAATGAACACAAGATTTTAATACATTCACTCAGACCTGCTGTCCTAACTAGTGTTGCTGAGGCAGTCTCTACTGTAAGTGATATTTTTGTTCCCTATTTTCTCTTTTTCTGGAACATTTCTTAAAATTTGATATTGTCCAACATGATGTGTCATCAAGACTGAGGGTGCTACAAAAAGCTTAAGTGACAAATTGAAATTTACTCCTATACCACTGTATGATCAAATTGAATTGATATAAAAAAAGAAGATTTTACTATTTTAAGTAGTTGCTGACAATACAAGTTAATCAGTATGTTTTTGTCATTACCTAACTAGATTAAAACTCACAAATACTGTTTGATGTTTTAAAATAATCTTTATAAATGGTTGAAAATTGTTGAAATCACACATTTGCAACTATTAAAACTTGAAGCCAGCTGTTCGGAGCTGAATTTTCCCATGTGATCAGTGCAGGCCAAATCACCAGAACATATATGGCCTACAGGCTGTTCAGACAATACTTTACTCTTATTTTTGAAAAAAAAAAATCTTAAAATATTGAATGTTGTTGAAAGATGGACAAGTCTATTTAAGATACAATGTATTTAGCATGGTAAGTTTTAATAATTTTGTTTATTTTACAGTTAATATTCCCTCTACAGTGGCAGTGTCCGTACATTCCTTTATGTCCTCTCGGTCTATCAGATGTTCTTAATGCTCCTACACCATATATCATAGGTAATATTGCTTCTTTTCTTTCTATATGGAAGTGTAATGTATCATACTAATACTTTAGAAGATAATGTTTTATGATTGACTTGACCCTCAGTCTGACCTTTACTTGTGTCAGAAATTTACATTTGCATTTTCTTTATTAAAACAACATGTACTTAAAAGCATTTATGCTTTAAAAAAGTACTATATTGCTTACAATTCTTCTTTGATATCAAGATTAATTAAAATGTTTGCAATGTCCATCATAAAGAGGTAAAAAATAAAACAAATATTGTTAGATTTGTTCCCTTTTCTTGAGCTTCAAATAATCATTTTGTAAAAAAAAACAACAGTTTTTGCGTGGTAGAAGCTTATTTATATGAATGTAAAGGTATGATAATGTGTTTGTTTGTAGGTTAAGACTAGAGATATTTTGTTTGTGTTTGTAGGTTTAGACTCGAGATATTTTGACTTGTTTGATCCCCCACCAGATGTGATATGTATAGATCTAGATACAATCAGGATCTGGCCGTAAGTTAAACTGTTCATTATGTTTCCCTCAAATTGAGGGTAAGTTTTTATGTTAAAACGTTTGATTTTATTTTTAAAACAATGATCTTTTACATTTATTGAGTTCAGTTAATAATTTTAAAGATTAAACCAATATCTTCGTATCATTTTTGTGGATGTTTTTTATGTTGCTCTTAGGGAGTAAAATATAATATGATTGGGAATATCTCCATAATAGATATGTGATTTTAATCTTACTTCTTTTGAATTGTTTGTATCAATTTAGGAATATCCATATGAAAAGTTTGTCTCCAAACAGTCTTGAGCCTGATGATATTGCAGGATAAAATAGAATTTGCAGATTTTCAGTATATAAATAGTTCCATGGTAAAAGTGCATACAGTACAGTGTTTAATTTAATGTTAATTCAGGCCAGATGACAAAAAGAATATCTCATACAAACTGCTGCCAAAGAAAGCTACGAAAGTGTTGCAGGAGTCACTTCATAAACTGTATGATAGACTGAATGAAGAATTACCTCGACAAGGTCATGATGATGTCACCCTTGATATTGCTCCCATTGATCAAGATTTTAAAAGAAAACATAAAGAAGTGAGTGATAAAACATGGAGGACAAAGTTTTTACATATAAAATATATGGTTACAAATACAAATCATAGATATTTGCAAGAAAGTTTTCCTCATTAAAATAATGACCTCAATATAAACTATAACCATAGTCTTGAACAACAAACTTTCCCAGTATTGAAATTATATTCCTTTTGTGTACTAGTGTGACACAGCTTTGTATAAGTAATCTTTATTACGAATTGCTACACATTAATGTTTCAAACAGATAAAAAAATCTTTTTGTTTCTGTACTAGATGATGATGGAGTTACAGATACAGGAGTCATTCCTGAGGTTTATGGCTTGTATATTGAAAGGTTATAAAAACTACCTCAAGCCCATAGAGAATGCACCAGATCTTGACACAACAAATGCTGCTTCCCTCTTTGACATGACAGGTAAAGTATCTCTACCACATGCTTTTTATAAAAAATATAAACAAAAACACAGAGATTTCTTCTCTCCTTTAACTAAACGGTTAATTTAGTTTATGTGCGTCATAAGACCAAGGGGTTAAGTTTGTTGTCTTCAAACCACTTGCAATCTCACCTCTGTAGGTCCAAACGCACAGAGGACTTTGGATTCTTTCTTGTGAGGAGGTTATCCAGCTAGCTTAATGAACGTCGGTGGTTCTACTCAGGTGCCCACTTGTGCCTGAAATATGTGCAGAGGGGCACCTGAGGTTTTCCTCCACCAATAAAGCTGGAAAGTTGCCATATGACAGTGCGACATAAACCAAACAACATAAAGAAGTATTATTGTCTAATGACACTGGGATCTACAGTGATCCTGATGGTGGTTAATAGATCCCTTTTTACATTTTACTTAGGTGAATGACACAGCCAACTTTAACCTTGCAACTGACTAATATCCATTTGTGAAACTATTACACCAGAAATCAGTAGTTTTCTAGGCTGTCTACTGGAAAATATAAGTTCTGAACAATTACTTATGTTATGCCTTGTGATTGGAGACATAAAGTTATTAAACTGTCTGTCCATCAGTCCATATAGACATGGTAAACATTTTTCAGCAAGATTGAGTTTTCCGAAGTTCTTATCGTACAAATGACTTCAAATTTAAACATGTACTTGCAGACAGTTTATATAACCTCTGAGATTAGATATGTCAGATTATCAAATTCTCATTGTGAGACACAGAACAATTAAAACTTGACCTTTCAACATTTATACCACTACATCACTTTAAAAAAAAAAACCGAAAAAAAAAAACTTTCATCTCACAAAACTGTTCATCAAAATATTTACTGGATGGCCATGAATTTAAGTTTTATTCTTCTTTTGGAGCATTTGTATATATCTCTCATTTTAATTCATTCACTTAAAATCCTATATGATATCTATATAATTTTATGTATTATTTCAGGGTTTTTAAAGAGTAGGGAGAAAGCAAACCAAAAGTTTTTCCAGACATTATTGAGGACACAACTATTTAACAGATTTATAGAGGAGAGATCATTTGTCTCGGACAAAGATGACAGTCTAGCTTTCTTTGATGAGTGTACAGAAAAGGTCAACATTCTTTCTAACATTGTCTTTCCTCTACTCTCAAAGTTCAATATTATTTATAGAAAAGTCATAAACTATGCTTTAAACTTGGTCACAAAAGGGAAAATATATGGCCTAGTAGTTACGGTTAAATTCTTCAAATCACTATCTCATTATCACTGTTGATTCAGATATTTGCAAAGAGTATTGAATTTATTCAATGAGGAAACTATACAGCTTACATTTTCATTGTGAATGGTTCTTCTCATATATTTACATGTGTCTGAAATAATAAACTCCGTGCCCACCAAGGTCGTCTACACAATGTTCTAAATGACTTTATCATAGCATCCAGCTCGTAATATCAACTTTAAGTCTGCTTGAGGCAACTGAATCTACATGTGCCACTAGTGGAGACCAGGATTAAGAATAGGGGAATAATTTAAATAATACTTTTGAGGGAAAGGTGTCAAATTTTGGCTTCAAAATAAGTGAATTGATGGCCCTGACATACACATTCTTTATATGACTAAGAAATGAAGAGTGTATAGCTAGACATCATTGTGGCCTGACTCAGTATGATTACATTGGCTTGTTGTTAAAACTACTAGCACAGTATTATTGTATGTACACTGTGTATATAATGGAAAGTATTGATGTATATACTTTGTGTATATACAGGATATATGAAGTTGTTTTAAATGTTACAGGTTGACGAAACAAAAGATGAACCCAAATTAATCGAATTGGATGATTCTTCTAAAAGGTATATCATTCAGTTCAATTATATCATATGCTTTAGGTGAAAAAGATAAACCATTTCATAATATAAATAAATAGGTGAAAAAACACACATGAAAAAATATATCTCTATATAACAAATAGGGAAAATAATACCATACATTTGACATTGAATGGTAAACCATACAATTTAGATGGAAGATACAAAGTACACCATATTATAGGTGATAAATTGTCACTAAACATTTAAGGCTATGCAATATGGATGAAATGGTTTACAATATGTTTCAGTAATATGTAACTCCCCAACTCCAATCTTTACCAGCTTTAGATTTCTAACAAGAAGATTTTGTGCAGTAATAACTTTATTATTTATAGAAGCTCCACTGAGGTACAAAAGTGTAAAAAACATTAAATTTTGTAATTTGACATAGATTAATTGGAGGACTTAAATTAGGAAAGTATGAAAAAGATTTTAAAGAAATATACTTAGACTAAGAATCAAAATGATATTTAGTGTAATTCTAAGTCTGAATTTAGTTAAATGTGATCAAACACTGCATTTTAAGGTCATTTTGCACATGATTGTTCTGGGAAAACAAAGTGAGTGAATGATCTTAAAGGGACTCCACTGAGGTTTTTTGACGATGACGGGACTGGAAATAATTTTTTGAGATTATTACTCCATTTGATGTAGATCTATCCTAATAACTTATGTGTAAAATTTCAGATCATTAGCTAGCTCCATTTTTCCAGAATAATTATTATAATAGTGAAAAATGACCCAAATTTGAAAAGCGTTTAAACGCTTTTCACTCAAATCAGACTGAGAATAGCACAAACATATGATTTTCAATGCATTTCTTGTATATTTCTTAGTTATATTTTATTTATATTTTTGTTTAAAGTGCTCGTGTTTATCTATGTGAAAAATTAAAACGTTATGTTTTAGGCTAATAAACCTCAGTGGAGTTCCTTTAAAATTTGCACACAAGTTCGAAAAGAATTACTTGTATATCAAATAAAAAAAATGAAACAAGAGTTCTTTTGTGGCATAAAATCTCATTGGAGAGTTGGTTTTAAAGATTGACATCAAAGTTTTAACATTTATCCAATCCAGCATGTTATATTTCAAAAGTTATCTCTCTTTGAACAGAAATTCACTGTATTATTTACACTCTCTTTCTTTATTAACTTCAGTCAGTATTATTGAATTAATGTATATTTCAGTGAAAGAACAATGTTCATTTTACCTCCAGAGCCTGTAGGCTTGCCAGAAGGGAAAGCATACAAGTTAGTAGTTAAATTGCTTTTGTTAGCTCACCAGAGCTGAAGGCTCAGGGTAAGCTATTAGTATCAAAGGGGGATGCTCCGGCGTCCGTCGTCATGCGTCAACAATCGTCTTCTTCTCTGAAACTACTGGACAGATTTACTTCAAATTTGGTCTGTAGCATCCTTGTGACAGTCACACTTGAATTTGCTCATGTCATTCCAATTGGCCCCTTTTAGGGGTCAGCAGAGCTAAAAATAGAAAAAACCTTTAAACATCTTCTTCTACAGAACTAATAGATGGATGATCACAAAATTTTGTCTGTAGCATTCTTGGGTAGTCTTTTATCAAGTTTGCTCATATGAATTTGATTGGCCCCTTTTAGGGGTCTCTAGGGCTAAAAATAGAAAAACCTTTAAACATCTTCTTCTACAGAACTAATGGATGGATGATCACCAGAATTTGTCTGTAGCATTCTTGGGTAGTCTTTTATCAAGTTTGCTCATATGAATTTGATTGGCCCTTTTTAGGGGCCGCAAAAGCTAAAAATAGTATATCCTTTAAACATCTATTTCTACAGAACTAATTGATGGATGATCACTAAACTTTGTCTGTAGCATTCATAGGTATTGTTTTATCAAGTTTGCTCATATTATTTTGATTGGCCCCTTCTAGGGGCTACTAAAGCTAAAAATAGAAATACCGTTAAATGTCTATTTCTAGAGAACTAATTGATGGATGATCACCAAACTTTGTCTGTAGCATTCTTGGGTAGTGTTTTATCAAGTTTGCTAATATTATTTTGATTGGCCCCTTTTAGGGGTCTCTAGGACTAAAAATAGAAAAACCTTAAACATCTTCTCCTACAGAACTGATTGATGGATGATCACCAAACTTTGTCTGTAGCATTCTTGGGTAGTGTTTTATCAAGTTTGCTCATATTATTTTGATTGGCCCCTTTTGGGGGTCTCTAGGGCTTAAAATAGAAATATCTTTAAATGTCTATTGCTAGAGAACTAATTGATGGATGATCACCAAACTTTGTCTGTAGCATTATTGGGTAGTCTTTTATTAAGTTTGCTCATATTAATTTGATTAGCCCCTTTAAGGGGCCGCTAAAATTAAAAATAGAAATACATTTAAACATCTTTGCCTACAGAACTAATTAATAGATGATCACCAAACTTTGTCTGTAGCATTTTTGGGTAATCTTTTATCAAGTTTGCTCATATGAATTTGATTGGCCCCTTTTAGGGGCTGCTAAAGCTAAAAATAGAAAAACCTTTAAACATCTTCTACTTCAGAACCAATTGATGGATGATCACCAAACTTTGTCTGTGGCATTCCTGGGTACTCTTTTATCAAGTTTGCTCATATTAATTTGATTAGTCCCTTTTAGGGGCCACTAAAGCTAAAAATAGAAAAATAGAAAAAACCTTCGAACATCATTTCCTACTGAAATAATTGATAGATGATCACCAAACTTTGTGGCATTCTTAAGTAGTCTTTTATCAAGTTTGCTCATATTAATTTGATTAGCCCCGTTTAAGCTAAAGCTTAAATACCTCAGGTCATGGCATTTCTTCAAATTATTGTTTAAACATATTCTAAGCTCAAATCTAATATTAGAATATATTGACATTCCAACACTGAAAAGCAGTTGTTTCTGGTGAGCGACTCGGGGCCATCATGGCCCTCTTGTTTATCTTAACATTTACCTTGTGTTGAATTTTTATTTTGTACTGGGAACTGTCCATGAATATGTTATAAATCTTTTAGTATCATATAACAATATTTATTAGTATAGATTTTATTAGACTACTGCAGGTCAGCAGGTCTGTTATTGTTCTGAGGCTATTGAAGGCTTAAAAGAAAAAAACTTGACCCGCCAAAATATTTGCTCAGTAGAAAATATGTCAAATTATGGAATTTTTATACCCTCCACAAATAAGGGTGGTATATAGAAGTGAGCTTGTCAATCAGTTGGTCGATCTGTCCACTTCATGGTTTCCAGACAATAACTTCAGTTGGAATGAAATATCGTAATCAAACTTGGTGATTAGCAGGCTTATGTTGGAGACCCCAGTTGGGTTGTTTTTGGACTCCATAGGGTCAAGGGTCAAGATCATTGTTACTTAAAATAGAAAAATGGTTTTCGGACTAGTCATTCCTAACTAGTCCGAAAACCATTTTCTATTTTAAGTAACAATGATCTTGATATATACATACATATATATGTCAAGCTTTTGTGGAGACCTCAGGATTGCTCTTGGACTCCCTAGGTTCAATGTCAAGGTCACTGATACTGAAAATAGAAAAATAGATTCTGAAAGATAACTGGAGTAAGAACTTAGGTATTGTATTTTGACTAGGTATATAGGGAAGTTATGTGGAAACCTCGCTTGGGATTGCTTTTGGTCCCAAGGTCATGGTCACTTTTTACTAAAAATAGATAAATGGTTCCCAGACAATAACCAGACTTAGGAATGAAATATGATAAACTATGTATATAGCAAGTTTTTGTGTATTTGTTACATGATTATAATACAGGTTAATTCAAATATGGCTTCAGAAGACTTATTTTTCAATTAGTTAAAGTAACATTATGCTCATTTTATTTGATGTCAAGTTGAGCAGAATAGCTATATACACAAGATTGACTATTGTAATGGTTTTTTTTTTAACCAATGATTGATGCTAAAAAAATGTTGAAGATAAAATATCAAAACTGCCTTAAAGTTTCATTAAATAAAATATGTAAACATATTTTTCCATCGGCTTAAAAACCAAGCATTCTATAGTTTCTTTATTATTTTTAGCTCACCTGTCACAAAGTGACAGGGTGAGCTTTTGTGATCGCTTTTCGTCCGGCTTCCGTCCGTCCGTCCGTCGTCCGTCCGTAAACTTTTGCTTTAAATGACATCTCCTCAAAAACCACTGAGCCATTTTCATCCAAACTTCACAGGAATGTTCCTTTGGTGGTCACCTTTAAAAATTGTTCAAAGAATTTAATTCCATGCAGAACTCTGGTTGCCATGGCAACCGAAAGAAAAATCTTTAAATATCTTCTTTTAAACAACCCTAAGAGCTAGAGCTTAGATATTTGGCATGAAACATCTTCTAATGAGTGTCTACCAAGTTTGTTCAAATAAAAGCCCTGGGGTCAAAATTGGCCCCGCCCCCGGGGGGTCATTGATTTTCCCTATATGCATATAGTAAAAACTTAAAAGATCTTCTTTTAAAGAACTGTAAGAGCTAGAGCTAAGATTTTTGGCATGGAACATCTTCTAGTGAGTGTCTACCAAGTTTGTTCAAATAAAAGCCCTGGGTCAAAATTGGCCCCGCCCCGGGGGTCATTGATTTTCCCTATATGCATATAGTAAACACTTAAAAAATCTTCCTTTAAAGAGAACTTTAAGAGCTAGAGCTTAGATATTTGGCATGAAACATCTTCTAGTGAATGTCTACAAGTTTGTTCAAATAAAAGCCCTGGGGTCAAAATTGGCCCCGCCCCAGGGGGTCATTGATTTTCCCTATATGCATAAAGTAAAAACTTAAAAAATCTTCTTTTAAAGAACCCAAAGAGCTAGAGCTTAGATATTTGGCATGAAACATCTTCTAGTGAATGTCTACCAAGTTTGTTCAAATAAAAGCCCTGGGGTCAAAATTGGCCCCGCCCTGGGGGGGAATTGATTTTCCCTATATGCATATAGTTTAAACTTAAAAAATCTTCTTTTAAAGAACCGTAAGAGCTAGAGCTTAGATATTTGGCATAAAACATCTTCTAGTAAATGTCTACCAAGTTTGTTCAAATAAAAGCCCTGGGGTCAAAATTGGCCCCGCCCCAGGGGGTCATTGATTTTCCCTATATGCATATAGTAAAAACTTAAAAAATCTTCTTTTAAAGAACTGTAAGAGCTAAAGCTTATATATTTGGCATGAAACATCTTCTAGTGAATGTCTACCAAGTTTGTTCAAATAAAACCCCTGGGGTCCAAATTGGCCCCTCCCCAGGGGTCATTGATTTTCCTTCTATATACAGGTGAGCGACCTCAGGGCCATCATGGCCCTCTTGTTAACAGTATTGTTGTAAATCTCATTAAAAATTGTTCATAAGTTATGATTTTAAAAGGAAAACCCCATGGTAACACTGAAGTTCATATACAAATTTTAACATTCAAATAAAGACTTGTATAATTAGCTCGTGTATGCGCTATGTCATGGTTAAATCAATTGTAACCATGTGGATCACAGTAAATATGAGATGCTCATGCAAACAAACTTTTACCGTTTTAGTTTCACGGTGCATTAGCCCTGTCGTTTACAAAAAGTAATCATCTCACAAAAAGATTGAATTTGTATGAAAACATCTGTTATATAATGCGGAAATATACCGTTAAATTCGGACTGCTACTTTAAAATGTTTGTAAATTTTCTATTGATGTACAGATGACCCAAAAGCGGAGTTTCTTATGTAAATAGAATTTGTACTTCCGATTTCACCACAATTTATGGCTTATAAAACTAATTTTGGTTGTCTGGACACCAAAATAAGAACGGGAGTCGATATGAAACATATTTAATTAAAGAAATGTAGCTATTTCTTTTTTTATGAAATGTTATTTATTGTAGCTTTAAATATAGATTGTTATGAATTGATTACCACTTGTACAATCCAAAAGATATTTTTGGATTTTTTTTGTGAAATACATAGGTTATTGAGTATACATTTTAAGTAAAATATTAAATTGAAAACAACTATGACAAAATAAAAGCTATTTTGAGTTTTCCTTTAACATGCTATATTAACACTTTGATGGGTATAATGTCATTAAGGTGGGGGATACGTACAGTTTTAGTTATTTTTGTACATATTTCGCTTATTAGTCCCCTACCGGTTTACCGGAGGGGACTTTAGGTTTACCCTCCGTCCGTCTGTCCGTCTGTCTGTCAGTCCGTCTGTCTGTCAGTCCGTCAGTCCGTCCGTCCACAAAACTGGATCCCGCGATAACTTGAAAAGTTCTGAAAATATTTTTATGAAACTTCGTATATAGATAGATGGCAGTATGGAGATTATGCACGTCTTTTTCTTTTCTTCCTATGTTGACAATTCTGGTTGCTATGGCAACAAATAGGCTGAAAATATGGCAAATTTTACACATAAACTCGATCCAGTGATATTGCAAAAAGTACTGGAAATATTTTTATGAAACTTGACATATGGGTAGATGGCGGTCTTGGGATTATGCACGTCTTTTTCTTTTCTTCCTATGTTGAAAATTCTGGTTGCTATGGCAACAAATAGGCTGAAAATATGGCAAATTTTACACATAAACTGGATCCAGTGATAACGCAAAAAGTACTGAAAATATTTTTATGAAACTTGACATATGGGTAGATAGCAGTCTTGGAATTATGCACGTCTTTTTCTTTTCTTCCTATGTTGAGAATTCTGGTTGCTATGGCAACACATAGACTGAAAATATGGCAAATTTTACACATAAACTGAATCCAGTGATAACTCAAAAAGTACTGGAAATATTTTTATGAAACTTGACATATAGGTAGATAGCAGTCTTGAGATTATGCATGTCTTATCTGTTCTTCCTATTTTGAAAAAATATCAGTTGCCTTGGCAACAAATAGGCTTAAAACATGGCAAATATAACAATATTTGTGATTAGTCAAAAAGAGCTGAAAATTTTTATGAAATTGCATCTTTAATTCAAGATATATCTCCTCTTTAAGAATTTTGCTTTTAAAATGTTATATTTTGGTGACAGGGATGTTTCAAATATTAACTTTAGAGTGTCCTTCAGTCCGTCTGTCTGTCTGTTCATAAAAACTGTTTCCTGTGATCACTTTTAAAGAACTTTTCCAACAAGTTTACTTAAAATAGAGAAAAATTGAAACATTAGTGAATGGCCAATGGCCCTTCAGATTGTTGATGGGGTTCTAACCGGTAGGGGACTTATGGATTGCTTGCAATACTATGATAATTGCTTGTTGATATACCACTGACAACAGGAAGTTATATTTCCTGTTTACATACTTCCATTTCTGTCAGATGTTGTCTATTACATTTAGTTACAATCTGTTATTATAAAGAACTATTTGATATCACCATTTCTTTTACCATGAATTAAAACAAATATTTGCTCATTCTTAGTAAATAAAACTGCATGTTAATGCCAATAGTTATTGCATTATAAATTATGCGTAACATTGAATATGTCTTAAAAAACCAACTAAATTTGTTTGCAGCTATAATGGATTTCCCAACTTGAACCCTGACCTTTTCTTGGAGAAGAATAAACCTGACAGATCATCAGCAAAGGTTAAAGGTCAGACAATACAGCACAGTCCAGTTGCTAGGAGAACAAAACAGGAGATTAAGACAGCTCAGAAACTTGCCCAGCAATATATCACACAGCCTCCACTATGGGCAAAATGTCTTCTTAGTCACTGTTACAGGTAATAGTAAACACCATTTTGATTCCCCCCCTATCCCCTCCCCCTCCCACACCCAAAGAATGTTGACTTTTTTTATTAATATTTGACCGGAACTCTAAAATTAATATCTGACCAGAACTCTAAATAAGACATTTAGTGTTCTATTGAACAATTTCCTCGAAGGCTTATTGTTTGTGTTTTGCGATTCATACATTTTGATGGTCAAGGTCAGATTAATTAAGATTTGCTTAAATTGTTATAACTTATATATGCTATAACTGACATGTTGAATAACAAAAGATTTAACCACAAACATTGACATGTCCCCATTCTTATTGTATCCACTAATCGAATAATAAAACAGGCCGGAGATCTATTCTGATTTGACTTTGACTTTTTGACATTGACCATCAAGGTCAAATTATTGATTATCAATTCATATATGACCTTGACCTTAATTTGACCAATTTATTCATGATAGAGGACAAATTTCTTGAGATGTAATATGTTGAGACAAATTCTCACACAACTCATGAATCAAGTTCATATGGGTTGTTTTAATCTGTATCTTGCCCACTTAATGAAATGAACTTTTCCTGTTGAACATTTTCACCGTTTTCAGGTATTTTAAAATTGTACGCAGCTGCCAATATATTGTTAGGTCAGATTATATGAATAGGCTGCCTAGCATAAGACTTTCCCAAGAAATTTTCTGAAGAGTTAAGAGACTATAGACTAGATTGATCTATGTTACTATTTTTGTTTGCATTGTTGTAGTTTATGGTTTATGGTACTGCCCGCATTTATCAAGAAAAGTTCATCTGTTACCAAAGCACTAGCATTGGCCTATGAGGTCTTGAAAAATATGCAGAGACAGAAGTTAAAACCCCCAGACGAGGTATGTATGAAGGCTAGCTGAGAACAAATCATGGTTAGCTTTTGTTAACAGCAAGCTTATTTCGCAAACAGTATTATATTCTGTTAAGCAGTGGGAGATCACTGTTTCAAAAAATCTTGTACCTTGTGACCTCAACCTGCTTTATTTTGTAAAAGACTTGTTCAAGTTTTGTGTTGATTTTGCAGTATTCAACACCATATTTCTACTGTGTAACTAATGCAGTAAGGACTATTTTTGCATATTTTGACCTTAATTTAGTAATTTACTTGGATTGAATTTGCCATATGCAATGTACAAATTACTTTCTTTGGTTCACTTGACAATATTTTATTGTTTGTTTATACATTTTCAAAATTTTCCTGAAAGTAGGCATGTTGCTTTATGAGTCAAGAAGTCAGATAAAACATACATGTATAAACATAAAGGAAAATGTTGATGTATATGTATTTGGAATGTATTGTATTGCAGTTGTGTTATCGGGTGATGTTACAGTTATGTGGTCAGTATAACCAACCTGTCCTGGCTGTTAAAGTTTACTCTGAGATGAAACATGCTGGTGTTCAACCAAATGCCATTACCTATGGTTATTACAATAAGGTAAAATTTTCAGGTTATTTCTTACTGAATTTTAAACATCATTATTATGTACTTGTGTTAGTGTATCTCCATTTGAATGGTTTGTCCGTCTTGCTCACCTGTGCATCATCTGTGGAATAACTTTTGAAAAAAGTTTTGCCCACATTTTCATAAACATTTGCACTAGTTTTCAGGATTTTCATTTTAATATTCCTAAATGCCTTCTTTCTCTGTATTTTTCTGTTAAAAATGCGTAATTTAGAGTTTCTGGACCTTTTTAACTTCAACCTATTATGAACAATGAAAGTATCCATTCCAAACCTTTACTACACCTGCCTTTGAGGGATATACTATCATTAATTTTGTTTTTGATTGGAGGCCACTGTGCAAGGATCATAACTGAAGCATTGATTTTTACTAAAATGTAGACTCTTTTTTTTAATTTGAGAATGAATTGTATTTGCAAGATCAATCTTCAGTTTTTACAGCTACAGAAGATACTCTTTATGTCTTTTGGATTAGATTGAAGGTCACTGTCAGAGATCCATCACTTTGCTTGGATTTTGGATAAATTATAGCCCTATGTCAACTTGAAAAATTCCAAGTTTTGTTTGCAAGAGAAATTTTCACACCCACTTGAAATTATTCTCTTGTGTACACTCGTCTTTGAGATCATAGATGTTCAAAGTTCACTTTTCAAAACCCATGACTTGAGCATTGACTTTTACTGAATTATAGCCCTTTGTGATTGTAGAAAATTCTTGTTACAAGTTTGAATTATCAACTACATGTATTTAAGGGATACCCTTGAAACTGCATCTATTACACTTGTTACAGGCTGTACTAGAAGGTAAATGGCCGTCAAGTGTCAGTAAAGGGAGACTACTGTGGAGAAAAGTGAGAAATGTAATCATTGGTGTAGCCAAGTTCAGGAAGGCTATACGACGACGAAGTTTATCTGCATATTCTAACTCTGGAAGCGAGTACGATCAAATTAGTCGAACAAGTTTTGACAGTTTCCTTGAGGATGAGAAAACTGATGTTAAACATGAGTCTATCATGAAGCATGATAGTCATACAGGACGGGTGGAGAAAGTTATGGAGGAGATAGAAAGTACAGGTAAGTTACCCTGCTTTATCTCCCCCTTTCTACTGCTATTTACACTTCCCTTCCTAGTGCATAAGCACTTTGCACTACCATTACTCTCTCTATCCAAGCTGAAAGACTCCTTTGCATTTCCTAAAGCTTTCTCTCAAACAGTATTACTCAAGAAAGATTCAGCTTTTAGCGTAGCATAATATCTTCAGATTAACAAATACTTTAATGTGGATATCGCAAAAAACTTTCATGAGTAAGAAATATTTTTACTAATTATTTTTGATATTATATTTCTTATATCTTACACATAATGATGTTGATTTGATTAAATATTTGGATTCATTATAAGATGATTATTCATTATTCATCACAATAATGGATTGAATTCAATAAGTTAAAGCAGAGAGGTCTGGTTAGAAAATAATGTGCCCGTTGATACGCACTGATTAGAGTAGTGCATGTGATATGTGTAAGCATGTTTTATGGTTTAATTTTTGCTACAGATGTTTACACCAGGCTACGCTGTTGATATATTCATTATAGCCAAGTAGATTTTGTTAGTTTCTCTGTGTTAACATTGATATTAAAATTCATCAAGACTTTGACAGACATGGTTATCAGTGTAAAAGACTCAATTTATTGAATACTTGAAGAAACAAATTATGAAGCTTTTACAAAGGGTAATTTTGGCATTGACCCATTGAAAAACATTATAAGCCGCTCTTATGCAGTGGTTGCAGTTTAGACAGATATCTAATTGTTTAAATGAGATAAATTAATGACTGATTTAGTAACATCTCTAAGGGATGGGGGGCTAAGTGTAGTTTTGCCTATCTAGACAGTAATAAAAGCTTGTAGTGACTGTGTGACTGTTTAGATATAAGAAAGACTTTAATGATTAAGACGATGTATATGTAGTAGTTGACGTCTAGTAGTTGATGTCCTTGACACAATAAACACTGAAATGAAATTTAATTGACAAAAGCTTTGATAGTTTAGATGAGGTAAATCTAGTTGATGCCATCTTTAACATAATAAACTCCCAAGTAGTTAAGATGTTTGTGTGGTCATCTACACACAATTAAAGCATTAATACAAAAAAAAATGTTTCATGTCAAAAAAACTCAGTGGGGTCCCTTTAAGGTAAATATAGTTGCTGTGTTGAATCAGAAGTAGATACAGAATTTAACATAAATAAAGTAGATGTGGTAAAGTTGGCGGTAAATATTTTGTTGTAATACTTACGCTTTAGGAACAGCTTCAGACCGAGGCTACAACTCTATGACCCAGGAAGATGCCAAGAATTTCTCTGAACATATTAGTGAAGAGCAGAAAGATTTTGAAGCTAAACATAAAATAGACATTAAAAATGTGCTGAGATTTAGTTTCGGACGAAAGCATAAGAAGGAGAATGAAATAGTGGAAGAACCAGGAGGTAAGTTGTGGTTGTAAAAAGCCTTAATTTGTATCATGTTAGAATGTCTAACCAGCCGGCGTGCCAGGGGCATGGTTCTATCGGGCCGCTGGCAGGTGCCTCTAATAGTGGGCAGACAAAACATATCCATGTCTTCCTCCTTTATCTGTGGAAGATGGTAAATCAAGACTGCAACAGTGCTGATCTCATTTAAACCTTCTAAAGTGTAAAAAAACTTATGCACACAAAGGACACATAAAAACACATAGTATATTGACTTTAAAACATGATGGTTACATATTTAGTCCTACATAGACATAGAAATCAAAATTCGGATTTAACTATGCTTTTCCTTGTTATAACTGCTTTATTTGTTTCTTATTGAATGTATGTATTATCATCATAAGAAACACAGCTATCTTTTTGTGAACGTAAAAACAGTATCATAATGTATAACAAGTACCTTAGCTTAGAGTGTGGTGTTGAAGCTTTATAGATGACCTTGGCTTCATTTATAAGTCCTGTTTAACACTTAATCTGCTGGAACACATGGTGTCTAGTCTTCTGTGAAATCTAACCAGGCTCTATACAGTTGGCTGACCAACTTGAAATTTTCATCTTGATATCCCTGAAATTTGTAACCAAAAAATGGAAGTAAAAATGAGCCGTGCTATGACAAAACCAACATAGTGTGTTTGTGACCAGCAGTCTGATCAGGATCCATGCTGTTCTTTTACAAACCTAATTACAAGTAGAGAAACTGATAGCGAACATCATGGATCCTGATCAGACTGCGAATATCCGCAGGCTGGTCTGGATCCTTGCTGGTCGCAAACGCACTATGTTGGTTTTGTCATGGTTTGGCTCAAATGTTTTAAAGAAATTCAGCAGGTTGAGAGATAAAAAGTTCTATAATTTATATATGTTAGCAGATTGTAATTATTTGTTGCATACGTATGCTCATATGTATATGTTATAAGTGTAAGCTGCTTAGCTTTATGTTAAAGGCCCATTATGCCCCAGAAATACTTGTATTTTTATTCCTTAAGAGGTTTTTAATTTGGTGTCCTGTTATAGTTTCACACACAAAAAAAATGCTCTGTGGCGTATTATGTGAACCATGTTTTACTTTGGTTTCCTTTTGGTAAATAGTACAGTTATAGTGATTTAGTGTATTTTATATGGAAGTCAAAATATCACTTTGTTTGCATTTTTCTACATTGATGACAAATAATTTTATATTTAGTGCTAGCTCCTTCAGGTGTTGGGATCTAACATTCTCTATGACCAGTATTTCAGTATATAACTCTTGTTTACCCAGTCTAATGGAGAAAATGTTTGTTCCTGAAGCATAATGTGCCTTTAAAAGGAAAACATTATTGTCTTATAATAAGACTTCCATATTTTGTTTGTCCCCATATTTATTTGAATTGCATATATACACAATTGTTTTGATTATATTTTTTTTCGAATGTCTGCAAAATAGCGACAAACTTTCTTGACAATTAAGTTTTATATAAATATAATTTTTATTGAAGCCTAAATTCATAACCACAATCTTATATAAGACTTAAGGAATATTATAAAATCAACATTATAGTTTACAATACAAGAAAAATATCTTGAGCAAGGAAGTTCATGATTTTGTTTTACATATTTCTCTTATCATTATAAAATTTATGCTAAAATTGCTGAGAGATGTGGAACAGTTAACAGAGGTTTAGAAACAAGAATTGATAAGTCTGAGTCTACAATGTTGTCCCTATCTGTATAACAGGTGCCCGTTCGTGCCTGAAATAATACACGGAATCAACCTGAGGTCTTCCTCCACCAGCAAAGCTGGAACGTTGCCATATGACCTATAATGTGTCAGTGTGACGTAAAACCCAATTAAACAAACAAACATCTGTATAACAGTATTATCATTACAAAAACATAAAATCGGTGGCAATATTACTATTTAATGTTATAAAGCATTGTTTGGATTAAATTCATTTACTGACTGGCTTTTTAGCCCTAGACTCTTGTTCATAAATTCATGTAACACTACCAGATCTTAAAAGATATTCTATTCATTTTAGACGATGACAGTGCATTCAAAGGAACAGATAAAAGAACAAGGGAACAGTTTAGATGTAGGGTTGGCAGCATTGTAAGGAAACCTTCCCTAGGCAGCAACGGGAATGTAGATACTTTAACAGGTAACTGTAAAATGTTTCATTATTATTACATGTATTATGGAAATGTTCTTAGCAAGTACAAAGATAATGAAAAATTGGAATAAAGTTTAAAAGGATACAATAGTCTTTTGTATAGGCACTAATGGCTAGATATAAATTAAAAATTATTGCATGTGTTCATGGTATACAGTAGGTATATAAAGTGTATAGCTTAAACTTGTACCTATGCCACCAGTATAAAGACATGTCATCTCACATATACCCGTACTGTCTGACCAATTTCTTTAGTTACTTCTGTAATAAAGTTACTCAAACAAATACAGTTGCTTATGATATAAAACTTTTAAACATAAAAGTTTGTTCAGAATGTATATTTTAAACTTTCAGTAGGTTCCACTGCTGGTCTTCTTATGGTAAGTGAATCATTAATAAATGGTTCATTGTCTAAAAGCATGGATCATTCCAGTACACCTTCAACCAGCTCACAAGATGAAAATAAGAGGAAGCGTCTTCGAAGTCGGGTTTGTCATCTCTCCTCAAAGGGAATCGCTCAAACAGTTGTTTAAAATGGTTTGCGACATCGTATTTGAGTGGTGGGGGAAAAGGGAAGAAATTTTTCCAAACCTCTTTGGTTTAAAGGGGAAAATTGAAGTGCTGGTTTGACAAGGAAATGACGGGAGATGATCGATCTCAAGGAGTAAAAGTTTAGTGGCGTTGTTTGGATGAGAAACTGAAGCGGGAAAAACACGGAAGATTTTTGATGATGATCATTTTGGGGAGTGTTACTGGAAGGTGATGAAAATAGCACTGGAAAAGACAGTGAAAGTGATCAAGATATGGCTAACCTGAAACAGAATAGGATTGGATTAAGTGAACACAAACTTGAAAGTATTACCGAGGTTAAGAGCAGAAAAGGAAGTTTGAAATCAGTGACATCTAGTCCATTACATGTGAGTGCAACCCCAGTCACTGAAAATGATCCTTTAGGTCTATTTATGGAAGACCAGATTCAGGGAACTAGTTCTAGTAAGGAAATTCCAACACCAAAAGAGTCACCTGTGAAAATACGGGAAAAATTTGTGGAAACTAGACCATTTGCTAATGAGGTAAAGTTAAGAAAAAATTTAGAGAAATTAGATCTTGGGAAGTGCAATAATGATGAGGGTAACAGGGTAGATAAATCTGGTGGAATGTTTCTTGGTAAAGTAATGTCACCGGTTGAAAGGGTTCAGAAAAACTTGTTTAAGATTGAAAGAACTAACAGTTTTCCAGATAACCTAGGAAATCATGAAAGTGATAAGAATCAGCCAAACAGAGGTCAAGCTGATGTTGCCTCTCTTGGAAGATCTAGTACCTCCTTGTATGATCAAAGAACTGAGTCCCGAACTCCTAAGGCCGAGTCTGGTTTTTTCAGAACTCGCAGTTTC